TAAGGCTGCAAACAGCGGCGGGGCGAGCTGTGGCCTGGGTTCCGATCGAAGCTTCTTTGGAAAGTGAACCTATCAGTGTCTGCCGGGGTGACCTCGACTGCTTGCCACTCAGTTGCCAGCGGGCAAATGATCTACTCGCGATCTACAGTACTAAGAACAAGTACTTCAACACTGGCACAATCATGCTTCTCATCGAAGATCCTCTCGATGTTGCGATCTATGCCAAATTCGCTGCAAGTAGGTTGCACTGTACGTGCCCTATGGTCACACTGTATATAGGACCTGCCAATCTCCGTGCGCGAAATGGACGCGTACAGTCACGATATATCAGGCGTGCGACTCAGCTTCCCTGGCTAGCTTCTCGGCGCGTTTCTTTGCGCGCTGTATGGTCTGCACTGAGTATACACGGCGTGCTGATATTGGACAATGTGCTCACGTGGCTTCGTTGCCAACATGTATTACCTTTCGACGGCAGGTCGTCAGTGTTGTAAGTGAGATTGCAGCACAATGAAGTGACCCGCTTACATCGACGCGCGTCAGAGTCTCTATCCGGACCCCGATGCCAAGCATGGCTCCCTGGGGAAGTCCTCCCACATTCACAGCATTGAATTCCATCAAGCACTGCACGTTTCACCTTGTAGAGGACACGAAGTTAGTCGGACAAAAGCACACGCTTGATTCCATCAACGGTGAATACTCACAGTGTGTTTGTGATGACAGGTTCTGCCTGATCAGCGTCCGAGTCATGAACCGGTTAGCGCGCTGAGTTTAGATACCAGTAGAAAGGGGACCTGCATAGAGAGGTTGTCCCATCGCTGGCATCGGGGTCCAGAAGCCAAAGGCGTGTCCGGTCGGTCCCACATCTGCTACAACGTCTGCCAATAGAACTGTCCTTTGCTGCCTGCGTTAGATGTACACCGGAGTGAGTCTACAGAGTAATGGATAGAAAGCGGTCGTTATCTCACCCTCTCGCGCCGATAACACCCCTCGCCTAGAGATTCGATCGGTACATAATTGAACTGATAGGCAAGGGCCAAAAACATACAGAGAGAAAGACTTCTATCGCTTAAGTCCTTGAACCATCGATAGGTGACCTTAGTTCCGCATTTGTGGCAGGATCTGCCTTTAGTAAAATCTCGTTTGACCTGGTATCGTCGCGTTTATATCAACAACTATTTCTGGCAGATATCAAGGAATAGAGACCCAACTCACGCTCTGGCGCTGAAAACATCGTGCGCCTAATGACCTCCGCATCAGCATTGCGTTTTCGAGCAATACAAAGCCTACTTGCATAGTGGTTGAGGGCTGGAATCGCTAGCATCCGAGGTTGCGGTTCTGTACCACCGGTAGGATTCTTGAGTATGGCACTCGGAGCATGTGCGACCCGGAAGCTTGTTTCGTGCGCTCTGCAGTAACGCGATGGGTATTTCAGCCGTTTGTCACGCGCCTGATGAAGCAGAACGACAGACTCTCCAACGCCGATAGCAAGACCCGCCTTGGTTAACGCTCCTCTTCAGCCTGAGAATTGAACTCAAACTTCACAAAGCATTGCGTACATATAGTGGACTTGTCGTCGTGCTTTCTATACCAGCTCGTACTTTCTTGAACGCCGCACGTCGAGCAATTATTGCCTAGGGAGTGCTTGACCTTCTTAGTCAGAGAGCTAGACAAAATACCTCACTGTCAGTCAGCTGACGCCACGGGGCAAGGCACTACTGAACCTTGGTTGTACGGACGGGGACGAAGGTGGATTCCATTTCCATCGGCGGAATGGTGGTGATGGTGTTGCCTGCTGCTGCTGTCCTTCATCCGACAAGCGACCTTGGCTCCAAAAAAGACGAGGAGACAGGCCAGTGATGGCAATGGTATCCTTCAGGTACAGTCGAGCGCAGAGTATCCCGCGAGAGAGTACCAAAGTCATGCCCTAGCACTGTAGCAATGCTATACGCTGCCTGCAGACTCGTTGAAACCAAGTTCGGGAGATCAGCCCGTGTCGAGGTAGGCCCCAGTCAGTGTGGACGAAAATATTCAAACACCGCCCCTGGAGTCTAGCGATACCTCCAGAGACACTGTGCGGAGACTTCAAGTTGACGTTAGTGGTGGTTCGAAGCGAACCAGAGAAGCGAACCAGACCACTTGAAGCACACAGCTGTGTCGTGATCAATAATTTAATAAAGGGGTCGCCGCTATGCCGCGATGACGCAGCTGCCGGAATACGCCAGCTGCGTCCTCTCGGACTTTTTGTGCTTTCGTGAGGTGCGAGGTTCGAATCCAGGCCTGCGACATCCCCTCAGCGCGCCCTTCTGGCAAGCGGAGAGGGCTAGCCTAGGCGTACCTGTGCTTATTCGGCTCATATATAGACAAGGTATCGTATAAAATGGCTTGGGCAAGGCAGAAGGGCGCAAAAGGCGGGGCAGATGTCACTACTTATACCATGCGCTTACAGGCTTTATCACACCGCGGTGGCGCAGCGGCGGGGATTCGAAGCCCCGTCGCTGCGCCCCCGCGGCCCTCTTTTGCCTTTCGTGAGGAGCGAGGTTCGAGCCTAAGTAGCAGAGGGTACATCGCTTGCCTCTTTATGCGCGGCTACGCTACCATATAGGCTGTCGAGATTGGTACCGATACTCGAGTACGTATTGCTTCTAAGTTGTAACACCGAAAGCCTCTGCCGCCATCGATTATCCGCACATGCGCACTATGTCCCCGGAATGGGCTAGAAATCATCCCATAAGCGTCTGCGCTAAGGGATGCTAGGAGTGTGGTAAGAGGATGATCTCAGCACGTCACAGGGCGACCGCAGCCGGTGCAACGGCTAAATTCATCCCAAGTTTGTTAGGGATTTTTCGGCTACTTTTAGGCCGATTAGCTGGAAAACCAGCCGTTCTAGAGCAGTCTCGAGCGGCTGCTTGCAGCCGATAAGAGGCTGTTGTACGTGGGTGTAAATCAGCCGACGAAAGAGGGTATAGGTCGTCGATATTTGGCATATTACGGGCTTTTATTTGTAGATATTTAATCATTTGGATAGCTTGGAAAATAATTTTACTAATGATAATACAAATTTACAATAATGCAATAGTTACAAGCACACAATATCCGACAGGTACCATCCAAGCAATGCGGGCGGAGGATATTGCCAGGCCGAGCAATCACGTTTGGGGCACGCGACTACGGACGACGACGCCCGGAGACAGATACCCAGTCTACCTACTCGCCCTCTACAACCCAAGCCCAAGTCGTCAAAGTCTACACCGTGCCTATCATGACCGGCCGCTACCCTCCTTCACGTTCACGACATGGACCCCGTGCAACCCCCTCCTCTCTCGCACAATCGTTATCTCGACCTGACGAGCGAGTCAACCTGGGTCCGAGCGAATCATGACAAGCCAGGCTCACCTGGTTTGCATACTGTAGCACCCCTTGAGTGGCGAGTAGCGGACAAGTCGCAGAGAACATGGTGGACGAGTTCAAGGTGAGTGTGGGAGGCCAATTACTGAGCGTGCCATAAATCCCCGAGGCGCTCACGTCACGCACAGGCGAAGCACTAGGAGCATCGCAATTCGCTAAGTCGTTCGATCTCATGAGCACGGAGTCCTGCGTACACCCCAAGTATGCACATCCCCTTCTCGTATGAACCGAATGCTAGATGTGTAGCAGCAGCAGCACACCCGTAGGAGTCTCGGAAGCTTTGGATGGGCTCAACTCGCGGTTTTCGGAACCTGAATGTCGACAAGGACGCGCTCGGACTCGACGACATTATTTATTATCTTTTTGCATTTGACTTTCTTCTACTAACAGCCTTACGGCGGCTGTTTTGAGCGGCTGTGCAATCAGCCGGTGGATCAGCCAATTGGAAAACCAGCATCTTAGCAGCCGAAGGGCGCAATTCAGCCGTTAACCGGCGAAAATCCAGCGCATGTCGGCGTCATAGTGCTACGTTCGAAGTATCGGAGACGATGAGTCAACTATCCTTTCGATGCCCGCAATTTCGGCCTTGCAAGTAGCACGGTTTGGCGATCGGAGGTTCACGAACACGATCTTGGACGAATTTGATGTCGATCCAACTCTATTCTTGGCGGTGCAATCGCTCGAGGGGGAAAGGGAAGAGCGCCGGCAAGCGAGTAGTCGTCCGAGTGACACGAGTGGCAGAACACACCCGATGGACGAACCCCCGGAGGTCCAGATTGAACCCGTCCCATGATGCATCACCACCCGATAGTTGTATATTAGCATGTAGTCGCAGAGCAGTGCCCGCACACACTGACCCATAATGGCACTTGGCAGATCTAGACCATGCGAATCGCTCGTTTCTCCGTTGAAGCGAACCAGGCACTTGAATTCACATTCGACGTCAAAGGAAAGAGAGAAGAAGCACAAAATAGAAGAGATGGAAGAGGCACAAAGGATACAGATGCGGATATATACGTAGATGGATTCAGCTGTTCAATGCGAGGGTAGACGGGGGGATCAGTTGCTCGGGGATCGGCGTGGGAGTGGGACCGAGAATCGGAGAATGTATGTATAACAAACAAACAAGGACAGAGAACGAAACTGACGGGGTGGTACGTGGAGAGATGTGAGGCGGACGGCGGGCGGGAGAGGGAGAGCTAATAACACATGATCACAGCGCGCGTGTAATGGGACTCGGGCACAAGCAGCAAGCAAAGCAGACTCGGGGCTACCCAGACGCAAGGGAGAACGAAAGAGAAACGAGGGATGGCGCCAATGCTATGCGACTGCCTCGGGCTGCGCGAGCCGTAGACTCAACACGCGATCATCGGAGACCATGATGATCTCATCGCGCCCGCGCCCGCGCACACTAGGCTGTCCGTACAGCGGTACAGGTGCAGAGTTGTACCCTGCCGCGGCGGGATGGGGCATATGTTGTGGTCGCCCGCCGTAGCTCGCAGTGCTGTAAGACTGCTGGTACCCATTCGCGTACCCGCGTGGTGGCGGCGCGCCAGGCGAGGGCGGCACGTCCGTGAACAACACGCGGAGGTTGTTCCCCTGCACGATCTGCGCCATCGCGCCCGTCTCCACATTCCTGATCTCCACGAAGCTGGGCTCAAAGGCGAGGACATAAGGATAGTGCAACGCGAAGCCCGTCGGTGTCCCTTCCCAGTAGACCATGAAGTCGCGCCGAGATCGCCATCCGGAACGGTTGATGTAGAACGCGAACTCGTCGTAGCAAAGCAAGAACTCGTTGTCGATTCGGTAGATCGCCATGGGCTTGGGCTTGACGGGGTCCGCACGGCGACGGACGAAGTCAAGGGACTCGTCAGAGGGGTCGAGAAGACCTTGGATGTCGAGGCTCTCGGGGTCAATCACGTCGAAGCCGTTCACGCATGCCACGCAGAGGCGCGTACGGAGGAAGTGGATAGAGCTGCTCTGCATGGGAATGTAGAACTCCTGTAACATTCGTCAGCGCCATTCTGACAAGTACGATGTAAACGAGAGCATACCTTGTAGGGCTGTAGCGTGTCGTTCCCGCCCTGCAACAGCTTCCTGAACGTCGGCTTCGCCCGCCCACGCACATTCTGATCAATCGGCTCCAAGATCTTGATCGTACTGCTGAGCGGACTGGTTTTGACCACACAAACAAACGTCCTGTTCAAGCAGACACCGGTCTTGAAGAAGCTGGTATGGCTAGAAATGCGCTTTGCGCGCTTAAGGCCGGCCATAGGGTCGATCGCCTCAAGCGCGTCGAGGGGGAATGTGATGACGATGCCTTCAGAGAGCACGATGAGGAGTCCATAGTCGTCAAGAACGTCTACTTGGGAGACGTCCGTCAGCGCGAGCACCTTGACGGGCTCGCGCAACGGTTGAGCGAGGTCGGAGAGGTAAACGCCGTCGTTAGTGCCGTAGACGACCTGCCTGCCGCCGTCTTCCGACACTCATCAGCACATGTTGTTCACACGATAATCAGGAGCACGCACTGAAAGGCGCCGCGCAGTTCACCGCGTTCGCGCCGACGAAGAATCCCTCGCTCAGACTCTCCATCTCGAAGTACTGGCTCCTCTTCCGCATCTCCTCCTGCTGCTTGCTCACATGCTCCAGCCATTTCCGTTGAGACACGAGGGTCGTAGCCCAAAGAGTGATCTGATACGCCTTCCTGCCGAGATGTGCGAATACGAGCGGGTAGCCGCCTTTGATCCCGCCTTCCAGCTTGACGTTGATCACGGGTGAATGGGGCGCATGCGAGAGTATGACTGGACCGCCGGGGCGCGTGCGGTTGGGACGGGACCCGCTGAGGCGTAGGGTACCGCTCGTAGAAGCGGTCTCGTCCGGCGCGGCGACGTATAGCAGCTCGAGTGGTATCGGCTATATAACGAGCATCAGCGCCTATCACAGAAGCACACGTGGCGGAAAGAACGCACCCGACGGTAGACCTTGTACTGCTCTCCCTGCCTCTTCTGCTTAACCATGAGAAGCGCATGATCGAACAAGAACACAAGTAGCTCTCCGCTGTCTCCCGCACTTCTCCTCAACGTGCTCTTGAAGATTTGTTGTCGTCCCTCATCTCTCAATCTCAGATCAACCTGCTCTCCCGGCCTGAAGATCAGCTGCTGATCCAACTGCAACAGGCTGAACCTGTTCTCCGCGCGTCCGGTTTGTAGGTTGACCTCCTTGAGGAACTCGCGGACCATGGCCACAACCTGAGGCAACGTCTCTTTGTCCGGGTTATCTTCGGGCGTATGTTTCATGACGGCTTCGAGTAGGAGAGGGTAACGGGCAAGACGGGTTGTGGGTTTGGTGAGGTAGGCGTTCAGCTCGAGCTTTTGACTCTCCGGTCGGCGTTCCGTTTCCTGCGTTCGGTGTACAGATCAGTACAGCTGTAATCACTTCCGACAAAGATTGGGACCCTAAACGCACCTCGACGAACGCGGCGAACACAGGGTTGTTGGCCTTCTCCTTCTCGAACTCGTACTTTCCATACATCTGATGGGCACCGTACGCCACGAAGGGAGAAAAATGAGGCACAGCTTCTAAGAAGACATCGCCGAGCTGTGAAGAACGGCCGGAGATATCAGTTCCGATACAGCTGTAGGCCGGATTCGGAAATAAAGCGCACCTGCTCGACCACCGCGTATTGCTTTTGTCGTCTTGAGAGCGCATCTCGTAATCGCGTGTTCACGGCCAGGACGTCAAGCACATTCCAAAAGACGTCTTGCACGAAGTTCGCACGACGCTCTTCTGGGATGATATCCTTCGTCTTTAACGGAGTGATCCAGGACTATTCTCTTGTTAGCATGCTCTGCAAACACTGATGATTTGATGCGATGACGCACGTCCCGCAAGTACTCAAGCGCCTTCACAAAGTCGCGCTCGGTATACACGACCTCGTTGATGGCCTCCTGCCTCTTCTTCTCCTGATCGCTCACGCTGTCCACGATCTCCTTGGGGACACTGTGCACCCACAGCATCCCACCCTCGTTCCCACCACCAAGCGCCTCGCTCTCGACATCAACGACCTCCAACCCATCTCCGAGCGTCCTGCTCGAATCATTCTGCGGGCGCTTGAGCCGGGCCTGCTGTTCCAAACGCCGAGGACATGTGATGCTGTAACACAGCTGCTCACGGCTGCATGTCGGCGAGTAGCAGTCCGTTAGCAGTGTGAACACGCCCGTGGGCACCGCCGGCTCGGCTTCTTCGTTCACGAGCGGTAACACAGGTGTGCTCGCGCCGTTCTCCAAGCTGTGCTCATTGCTGCTCCCTTGCGTCGCTGCGCTCGCAGGCCGTGGTGGGGGCTCGATCTTCGGCGGCAAAGTGGGGGGCAACTGCGGATGCGGGTTTTGGAGTTCGCCACTCCCAAACGGGCCGCGACCACGGAATTGGTACAGATCTGCGGCAGAGTCGCGTAGCCTGTGGTCGTATGTGACTGCGTGAAAGAACTTCTGAGCATCTAGCGCTCTGCCAAGGAGTAACGCGAGGTTGCGGTCGGTGGTCTTGATGATATAGGCGATCTTGTCGACCGCTTGGCGGCCGTCGAAGGCGTCTTTGTACGTCAAGCCATCGCGAACGCGGTCGGCGAGGGCGATGCGCGCAGCGAAGGCCTCTGCGACTCGACTAAGAAGAGCGGGGTAGACGATCGGTGTTCGACGCGGCTTGCGCGGCGGTTGTGGCGAACCCGGCATGCTGATCGTTGATGGCGGGCGCAAGCCATGCGCCAAATCGTGCATAAGCGACGAACGGAGGGGTGCGGCGTAGGACGAGACTGAACCCGAGCGCTCGGACGCGTTGGCGCCAGAGCGCCGGGCGACGGCCGATGCCATGCTGGGCGGGAGGGTGCGGGCCGACTCGGATGAGCGCCGGGGTTTTGGCGACACGCTGTGGAGCGAGGGCGATGTGTCGACGGTGAGGGACGGTGCGGGTATCCGGTCCGAGGTAACGCTGTAGACCGAGCGCACGTCGGACGTTGGCCGGGAGGACGGCGAGGGCGCTGAGAAGGCGAGTAAGCAGGGAAGCTGTCAACCGAGCCAGATGCCGCCAATCGTCGCGCCGGGCGGGCGCTTAGCTCTAAACGTCGATCCCAGCATCGCACTCAAAGCATACGCGCGATTGGAGGCACAGGATATTCGAAACGGGATCGACGTACCTGTCATTGTCCATGGAAGCTCGCTGCCGTCGTCCGTATCCGTCGGACTGTGTCCGACCTGCTGCCCGTTATTATTATTCCCACCGTCGCTCTCAAAGTCGATCCCGAGCCCGCTCGAGCCGACGTCGAGGTTAAGGCCGACCTGGGGTGGAAGTGGGTATCCCGTCGGCTGGGGTGTCGCCTGCTGTTGCGGAGAATAGACAGATTGTTGGTTGTAGACCTGTGCCTGGTACGCCTGGGCGGGCGTCAATCCGTTGGAATAGTGTAGATTATCCACGCTCTGAACCGGGACAGGATACGGCTCCTCGGCCACGACACCCGGATGCGTGCTTGCGACGGAGGGAGCGTAGGTCGAACGGAGAGGTTGCGATTGAGCGTACGCCTGCTGGCGGTACGGATATTGCGGGTGCGAATACGGCGCCTGGACGGGATATGGTGAAGTCGCATAGCTCTGTCGCCTGTCGAGGCCGACGTTCAGCTGGTGCTGGGCGTAGGTGGGCGGATAATATTGCGGTGCCCCAGCGTTATGGTGTTGAGCACTGGGTCGTCCAAAGATGGACTCGTAGGCAGTGTTGCGACTGTCCCGATCCCTGGGCCCTGCTGGGTGCGCCATTGTCCTCGACTAGACAGATGGCGATACAGGCCCGAATATTATCGCCCGGCCGCAGAGTTGGAGGTAGGAAGTAGAGACAGAAGCTTTCTCACGCGTTCGGTTCGCCCATCCTTTCCGCATCTTCTTGCTCATCCTCCATCATCTGTATGAGCATCATCCTCTACCTCATCCTTCACCCAGCGCTCGCGCTCTTTGTTGAACTATATTTATCCCCTTCGAGACCGATGCTATGTTATTCGAAGAGCTTTAGACATGTCCGCTTCAGCCTCCCCAAACCCGCGTGTTTCCCTCCCCGACCAAACTCGGGCCGTATTAAGCTTTCTGCCGACGTCATCCGCCCGCACTGCACCGTGCTGACGCCTCTTGCATCGCACGACGCACAAGGCTGCTCAACCGCCTGATCCCGCGCCGCGCCGCTCGTCGACTCCGACGCTGCCGCCGCTTTCCGCGACTTATCCGCGCGTCCGCCGCGCTCCGGGCATGTTCTGCCTCTTCTCGTGCTTCCGGTCGATCCGTCGGCATACTCGGACGGTGATAGCCTGGCGCTCCGTGCTGCGTGTTTGCGTATCCTAGCCTCGCAGGGTCCATGCACCGTGAACATTCAGATCCTCAACAAACTTCAACTTGCGCATGCCGTTTGTCTTGACTCAGCGCCTGTTGTTGTCTGTCTGATCGTCTTCGGCGCCGCGCCCGCCTTTTTCCTTCCGCGGACTTCCGCCAGGCACTGTACGAGGCAAGAATGTTCCTGGGTGTGCAGTACGGATTATGGGATCCGGGGCCGGGGTATCCAAAGTCCGTTTCGTGTTTAGGTTTCTGGCTTCCGTACCTTGTTTCGCGCCACGGACTGTGTGTTCTCGTACCTGTTTACGTCTGTCCAAGCTCGGATATACTGCTTTATACGCGCCACAGTCGTCAGGAAGAACACGGGTCGCGGAGATCAAGGTACAGAAGATACGGATGTATGTGCCACAGCGTTGTGTGTTTGAGATTTCGCAGTTGTGTGCCTCAACTTACGCCACGAATAGTGCGTACGGCGAACTTCTTGTACCTGCTTTTACGGTCATGTTGATCTTGTACGTCTGCAGAGGTTCCAATCTGTACATCAGAGGGGTCATCGGATGGCAAGGTTGAGGGCGGCTACACGTCCAGCTCCCGTATTCCCAACGCTAACTGTTTACCGTCCTGTAGGATCGGCGGCATCGCGTCGTCATCTAGCTTCGACTCTATGGCTACCCTGCATGACGTGCTACAACGCAGTGATAGCAACGAGAAGCGTATCGATTGGGATATCTGCGCAGGTACAATGCTTCTCATGACGCACAACAAACCGATGCGACGATTCAGTCGCCCTGGTCTTCTTTGGTCATACATTCACAGCAACAGTACAGACCGTTCAGATCGCTCAGACGCCGGCTGCATATTCACTCGGAGAGCCGTACAAGAATGTGCACGAATACAACATCATACATTGGGCATATACATTGAACATACAAGATACAAGATACAACCAAGCAGATTCCATGCACACCGAGCCATCTCCAAGCACCCGCCGCGTCCAAACTCGCCCATCCTCGTCACACTTCCTCGCTCACCAAGCGCTGCCTCTTGCGCGCCCCTTCCACCGCCTCATCGCTCGCAAAAGTGCTGTCGGACGCCACAAGGTCCAAGTCGGCATCAGATCCATGCGGTGGCTCGGAGTCGGCGACGACGTCGAGCTCCTCGGCCTGGCGCTTCCGACGCGCCTCAAGCCTCGCGACTTCACGAGAAGTCATGACGAAGAACATCCCTTGAGTCTCCCTATAGTACTTCTCGACTGGCCCGTTGATCCTCCGCGCCTGGCGTATGTGTTGTGGGAACTGGTTCTGCGCACGATCGTTCGACAACCATCCCTTTTTGTCGGCGAGCTGATCGTTGAAGCGCTTCAACACCTTCCCGTATGTCAAGTTATGCTCGGCCCGCGTAACCCGCCTGGAATGCTCCAGTACCATCTCCTCCAGACGGTCCTCCCTTTCCTCCTCCGTAGCATCCGAAGGGAGACCCGAGGGACTATCGGGTGGCTGCTCGTACGCGGCACCGAAGAGGCCGCGGAGTTCCGACATGAGCTTGGACAATGCAGCGGGTGCTACAGCGTCCAGTGCCATCTTCATATGCGCCCGAGCGTCGTCGCGGAGATAGTCCTCCCTGGCCTGAACGTTGCTGTCGCGTTTGGCTGGAGAGAAAGTGATGAACACTACGTCGTCCATCAGCCTGCTCATCTGCTCCGGAGCAAGAGTGTGTATGTTGCAGAGGACCTGGCCGGTCGTAAGTCTTCGAAATATATTCGCGGAGAGAGTCATTGTACGTACAACGAAGTGTAGGACATGACAGAACGACTCCAGATCATCCCGGATATCGTGGAGAAAGATGTCCTCGTGCTTAAGCACTCTCAGAGACATGAAGGGCCGGGTTCCCTGCATATGTTCAAGTGATCAGAGGATATACGTGTGTGTCAAGGTGCATTCTCACCGTTTGATACGAGCGGGAAAGTTCCTCCTTCATCTTGGTGCAGAAGTCCCAGTCTATGAGAAGACCTTCGGTTTCGCCCTTCCTACCGGGAACTTTCGCGATGAGAATGTTCCCCTCGCTGATGTCGCGGTGAAGGATGTGCTTCAGGCGATAGGCGCCTTCGTGTGCTAGAGGGTGCCCACATCAGTTCATGTCATTTGATAGAAGGAATGGGCGAAGTGAACTCACCTTGCATCGCGTCGCGCAGAGCAAGACAAAGCTGCCGCGTGCTCTTGAAGTTACTAAGCGCAGTCCCCACTCTCCTGAAGAGAGTGACAGTCAAGATATGACGGTCCTTCGGCACGTCGTCAACATCGACGCCTTCCCGCCTCATGATGTCGCGATTGCACTCAGCGAAGTCGGACGCGCGCGTGCGGACGCTGGTGATCCCATACTTTGCAGGCCAAGACTCGCCGTCGCTAGCGGTTTCCTCCCACTTGAAGTAGTCCATCGCATGAATGCTCGCATCCTCAGGGACATCGCCGCCGAAGTAACACCCGGGGAGATGAGGTACACTTCCCCCGTTCTCTACCCTTTCCAGCTCCAAATAGGTCTCGCGTTCGATGGGACCTCCGGCAAGGCGCCAGCTGCGCTTCATGTAGGCGACAGCGCGCTCGGTGAGGTCAACCGCGATGTAGCCACAAGTAGCGCGGCCGACGAAGTAGGGGTGGCTCATATTAGGACGGTAAGCGAGGACCTGATGAAAAGAGTTTGACGGCGCGTCGTATACGTCGAAGAGCCAATACGTGTTGTTGTTGTTGAAAATCCGATGATTTGACGGGAACGTAGAGTTCCAGGTGACTTCGTCAGGAAGGACGTCGTCCTCCCTTGCCTGCTTGAAGATCTTCTTCGCCTCTTTCACTAGCGCATCGTCATGCGCGATCCGCACAGCCGAGGTGTCAATGCCGCGATGCGAATCGCGAGCGAAGGCACAGCACTGGATGAGGTCCCCGAGATACGCCGTCTCGCACCACTTGAACAGCTCAGAGTAAATGACGCCGCTATGGTCCATGTAGAGAAGGCGCGCGTAGTCTCGAACGATCACAAAAGCGAAGAGATGCGTCCTTGGGCTGTTCATCGAGATGCCGCGGGCGTAGGACAAGATGTAACGGCGTGTGTCGAGCGATTCAGAGTCGTCTGCGTCGAACTCCAGCTCTCCGAGCTTCAGACGGTCTTCGGTGGACGTGATGCGCAAGCAGGGATCCCCTGCCCTCCTGAGCCTGAGCTCGCCGAATAACACGACATCGCTGAGCAGGTGACGGAGGCCAGCTTCGTCATGTACTATCCTCCCAGTCTCGCGTAGTAGAAGAGAGACTCCTGGAATATTCTGTACCACAAAGCCGGGGTCGTCGATAGTCTCAACACCCTTATAACAGGCGCGTGAGTCTTGGCAGATCACCCCGTGGTTTGCCAAACTACCGCCCAAACGAGCATTAACACATTTGGCCTGGAGAAGATATCACAAGTCTCAGTAGCGCAAAAAATAGAAGGAGGTAATAGACGCACGAAACCGGTCTCTTCCAGTTCCGTAAATGCCAGGCTCTTGATTCCGAGGCTCTCCAGTTTGTAACCATGATCCACTTTTGGGCACATCTCCCCCATCCACCTCTCTATAGACAAAGGCCCAAACCACTTTCCTGCGCCTTCAAACGATCACAATCAATAAGCGCGCTTTGCATGAGCCTAAGGGCGTACGCACCCTCCATTATCTTCGACGTCGAGCACGAGCAAGGTGGCAATGCAAGGTGGCTAAGACCGTTCTGAGGACAGGTGAGGGTAATGCGTGAGGGTTGGTGACAAGAGCCAGTCGTCAAACGGCAGCATCCTTCTATAGTCGGCTGTTGCCGAACAACAACCACAACCACAGCTTGGGAGGCAGGAGGCGGTTGACGGCGCGTGTTGGCACAACCACAGTCGTGTGAGTTCTCACGCATGACTCATCATCCGGCTTCTCCAGACGGCCCATAGAGAAGTCTTTCGCTAAAGATTCATCTCGATAGTGGCCAAGTGTAACCGGGGGTAAAGGGACGTGCGAAGGAGGGGTCGAAGCAATGGGAGGCCAGGTTCGGGGCGACGGCCCGGTGCCACACCACGACGAAACGCGATCACGGGACTTCTAACTGTGTCCCGTAGATTCCAACTAGCACTATTGAGTCAGAACACGCATTAGCGCGTTAGCTCTTATCTCATAGATATATGCAGATTGAAGGGCACCTGATATGTGTGAAATATGAGTACTGCCTAAGCGGGAGCAGAACCTCTCTGTTCAGCCAAACTTACTGAGCCTTCGCGGGGTTAGCAGCGCGATTGACGAGCTGTAAGGGGTACTGTGAAACACTCACCGATCTTATATCTCTACAACGTTCGCGTCTACAGATGTGCGCTGCAAATACTCGCAGCGCATCGTTGAAGAACCAGGATATACTGACCAGACCGGTATGCGAGCAGGCTCGGGGAATCTCCCGACACGAAGTGACACCTGTCAAATCATCATCAGTCAGCAGCGGAGAAAGTTCCCGGATCGCTTCCCGCTCGTCTTGCACCTCCTCGGTCGGATCGGATGTATATAGGCGCAGTGCATCCAAACGTTGGAACACGAGATCTCGAATGAGAGTCGCCCGTTCACTTACACTCCTACTCTTTAGACACGTACACCAACCGAAACCGTTCTTCTTCAACGCCCGCACAATGTGCTCCAAATGTGGACGTGACGATCCTCTGCCCTCCGGCACGAACACCCAACCTGAACCAAGCACGGCCCACGGGCACGCACACATTCATTCGCACGCTCATGCACCTGCTCATCACCATCATCACCATCACGGTCATGGCACGCCCAGCGCGGCAGAGATGAATGCGGAGTACTATGATCGCGAGGCGGCAAACTACGAGAACATGCCCGGGGCGCGAGAGCTCCTGAAAGATATCGCAATCAAAATGCGCGAGTCCGCGACATTTGACGCGTCAACGACACGCGTCCTTGACTTCGCGTGTGGCATAGGTGTGTCAGCTTGGAGTGTCATAGATGGAAGAGTGCACTGACGAAAGACTTGCGGGCAGGCATGCTCTCGCGCGAACTCGCGCCGTACGCGAAATCCATCGTCGGTGTCGATATCAGCCCAGTCTCGGTAGCCATTTATAATCACAAGGCGAATGGTCTGGGCGCTACAGACAAGATGCGTGCCGTAGCGCTCGACCTGCAAAAGACATCAGGTGAACTCAAGGAGCAGACCTTTGACATCGTAGTGGTGAGTTAAGACTTGGAATTCGGCATTGCTCTAGGTTGACAATGCCAACGCACAGTGTTCAATGGCGTGGCATCATTTTGATGACCCCGATACGTATACCAAGATCCTTGCGCGCTTTCTTGCGCCCGGCGGCAAGCTTCTTGTCGTCGATCATATGGGGAAGCCCGCGGGTGAGGGCACATTGCCCATGCCCGACTCACTCAAAGGCGTCGTGCCGCAGATACAAGGTTTCTCGGATGATCGCATGAAGGAGATGTTTGATAGTGCGGGTCTCGTTGACATGCGGTACCGCAAGGCGTTCCGCGTACCACTACCGATCCCGGACATGCCTCACTTGACTGAGGAAGAGCGTACCGCCGATCTGTTTCTGGCTGAGGGGACGAGACCGACGCAGAAGCTCTGATCGGCGACTATGCGCAGTATTCAGTGAAATCTTAATACTACGAGCAATATACATCGTTTTCTGGACTCGACGGACATCTACCCAGAGCGTATCAGCCCAGAAGACTTGAACGACAATAAGATCCTTACCAAATTTCTTGATCCAGCTCGTGTGTCCAACCTCCACAGCAGCAATCCGACCGACTCCTCAGTTTACCGCAACAGAAGCGTTGCTTGAGCCCATTGTTGATGATCACCTCCAAGGCTGGCTCAGGAGGGCCGAGAACCCTAACGCCCAAATTGCTCGTGTCGTACGAAAAGACGCGATAGTAAGGTACGTGTCTTGCCTGCCCGGGGCCGTCTGCATCGGGTGTCCCAAATGTAGTTATCACCATGTATGTTGCCATCCTCGACTCCTGCGAGCCGTTCGCTCCAGACCGGAGATGCCGGAGGCCTATCCTGCGCAGTAAAAGCATCTCGCGTATCATGGGTTTGACGGGATCGATGTAGAAGTCCGTATCGTTCTGATCCATATGCACAAAACGAGAGGCGGTTACGCGAAACTTGCGTTCTATCAGCAGAGTCGGGTCGTCGTTGTGTTTCAGGTAGACGACAAGCGTATGCTCATCTTCAGAACCGTCACCGTTAAGAATGATGTGGGATAGGACGGCATTGGTGAGGGTGTCGTGATGGTATTCCCTCCAACGGGCGAATTCGTTCCAGGCGCGAGGATATCCAGCGGCGTTGTTTGCTATGTCCCGCATCGCTGACCATTGTTTGCACTCATCCCTGTGACCGCGAATCCACGCAGTCTTCTGGCACTGTTTCGACTGAGCAAATGAGGATCAGAGAATATAGAGAAACAAAGCGCCATAGAACGCACACAGTATTGGGCAAGAAGACAACCCATGCATCGCGCCAACGTCAACGCTCCCGTCGAACCGCCAGATCGGCGCGTCCGTTTGCAACCCGAGCAGTGCATATGCGAGTGATACGGTGTAACAGCATCAGTAAAGGCAGTTAAAGGAGTTGCCATTGCGCAGGAGATGGCAGGACGCAAGTGAACACGCCCACGTGCACGACGCTGATAGTTGCAAGCGCGCACGCGTTTGTCTGGCTCTGCCACCACCACCATGCCGTTCCCATCCACCCCGGGAGAGCGATCGGGGTGCGTATAGCGAAGTACAATGACGCACGCGCAACCGAGATTGAGTATGATATAGGGCACCTGAGTCTTGGGATGGACTAGCAAGAGAACGCGTCGCGGCTATCACTGGTATCGAACTCGGTCAGCGGGTCGCCTCCTCCGCACGACAGCCTTCCGCACACGCACAAGCGGAGTTGGATCGCGATATTGAGGAAGCACTACGAGCCGTCTCTACTCTTCGCATGGCGAGGAACTCTTTGTCTCCGATATACAGACTTCCTAGCGACGTCCTGTCCGTCGTCTTCTATTTCTGTACCATCAACAACCCTGCCCTTCCCAACCGAACACCCACCACCGGTGGCTGGTTGGCTGTTACATGGGTATGTAGCTTATGGCGAGAAGTCGCGCTGCATACGCCGAGTCTCTGGGTGAAGATACCACTCAAAGCCGGCCAATCTGTCGCAGAGATCTTCTTAGAGCGTGCCAAGTCTGCTCCCCTCATCGTCCACGTACCCGCAGCCGGTGCCTTTGGGCCGTACCCCGCCTTCATTCAGAATGTTCAGCTCATTGCCTCTCACATCGGACACACCGAAGAGCTCAGCCTGCACGCACCCATATCGCTCTACAACGCGGTGCTCGAGCACCTAAAAGTGGCAGCGCCTGTACTCAAATTCGGGAGTCTGACATCGGTCGGCAACAACTCTGTATGCCTTGACTTACCCGCCGATGTCTTTGTTCGCCGCGCGCCCATGCTTCGCAAGTTGAGCCTGACGTACGTCATGGTTCCTTGGACGTCGATACCATGGAGTAGCTTGCGAAGTCTTACCATCTTGCACCGCGATGGTTTTGAGAAGCCTACTCTACGTGGCGACTTCTCTGATCTCTGTCAAGGACTGTCTTCTGCTGCTCACTTGGAAGAGTTGGTCCTCCGCCACTGCTTGCCTACCATGACACGGATCAACACAACCACGCCGACTATACCCGTGAACTGCATTCAATCGATAGAACTCACTGGCATACCGGAAGATTGCTTACAACTGTATGAACTCTTGGACTTTCCTCCTTCTGCACGTGTCAGCATATGCCTGTCCTTGCGTAGGAAGGGAGCGGTCGATGCTCGCAAGCTCGCATCCCTCCTGCGTAACCATTTTACCGCCGGGACGGGCAGAACTTCTCCTGTACAAACCCTCGACGTAGCCTCTACCAACAGTTACGTCAAGTTTCGAGCGTGGCGTAGCCTTACCACCAATCTCGATGACACAACTCTCGAAGAAAGCGCACACATCCACGATCCATTCAGCCTGGCTATGCATTCGGAGCCGACGTTCAGTCTCGAACTCCTTGACATCCTCCCCATGGCCGGCTCCACCGAGCGCGACATTCTAGCGGAGCTGTGTCAAGCCATCCCTTTGGATGGCCTGCGCAGGCTCTCATTCAACAGCTTCCGTCGGGGTCCTGCCTGGGGAAAGGCCGTGTGGCTCAACATCTTCGGGCGTGCCAAGAACGTTCGTTCCGTGCGCATTCACGGCGATGCTGCACATTCCTTCTCCGCAGCATTGGTCACAGTCCCCGACGATGCATCCGCACCTCGATCGAAACCCCGCGGGGCGGCGACCAACAAGTTCAAACACGCGCCTCGACATGAGCTCTTTCTACCCGAGCTGCGCAGCCTTTACTTGGAAGACACATGGCTCGACAGTGACTTTTCAGGGCAGCCGTTCCACGTCAGACTCACCACATACCTTCAACAACGCTCTCGGCGCGCCCCGATTGACGCTCTGTACATCACCGACTGTACTCTTCAGGAAGAGATGCTGGTCGAGCTGGACGCGGTTGATGGCTTGAATGTGGTATGGGATGGAAGCCGTGGGGAGTACGAGCCCGACGATGAAGATTATCTGGACTCGGACGATTATCTATCAGACTTCCTGTAGAGGGGAACCACCTGGAACCACCTGTAGAAGTTGAATAGACCTCGCGTTAGGCTTATCATCCCCCCGTGTAATATAGCGCCTCTTTGTATAGTATCACGCAGAAGGGACCGTCAGGGGCGGCTGCCTAATCTATATGCTAAGTATAATACGACTGAATTTGTTATCGAAACGCGATCATCTGGCTTCGAACAGCTTGAGAATTATGTACGCGTCGGTCAAACTCTTGCACTATCTTGATCTATTTTTCACCACAGGTACACCAAAGAGCTCATAGTGTGTACATACATGCGCCGTATTTCATTCGTACATACTTTACTGGCCATCCAGCAAGTGCGTCTCATCCGCGTTAAGGACGAGGCGCGAGTAGAAGCGAACCTTCTCTAAGAAGCCCTCAGCACGAATGGCTGTCACACAGACATCAGCGCGCTGTAACCGCTTTTGAAGATAGCAGACAAACCTTCGTTGATAGTGTGTGCTCCGTTGTAAGCATCGCCACTTCCCAAGTGACTGTAGCGGAAGATGTTCCGCGTGAGGTCCCCTGGGCGAAGAGTCAGTGACCATTGCAACCTCTCTGACAATACATAGCTTACAGTAGTAGTGCGTGTCCGTGTTGCCAATCGCGAGTTCTGGGCCAACAACAGACGGCTTGATGGGCTTGTCCTCGCGAATGGCGCCCGCCAAAGTCGACTGAATCGTTCCCGCAAGTAGCTCCCACGCAGGGCTGCCGAAAGTAGGCGTGATAGGTGCAGGCGCAAGCGGATCGTCGAAGATGTCAGAAAGACGGATGTGTCCGCTTGAGGCGATGGTTGCCTCGTAAGAGGGGGCAGCAGTGCGGTCGAAGTACTCGAGCGTGAGATTGAGGTCCTTCGCGACGGGCGTCAGAACGTCAAGGTAGCGCGCGCGCACGTCCTCAGGGGAACTACGTAGAAAATTCGTTTGAGAGGGTCTCGATACAGCATCAGAGAGATAGCGTACCTCCAGTCAGCAATGCGGTGGTTGGCGACGGCAGATACATGCTCGGGCAGAGCGTTGACCTTGACACCACCGCTGATGAGATCGATGGCTTGCGACGTGCCGAACTTTGCCTTGTAGAAGTTAGGGTTCTCCGCAATGAGATACTCCTGAACCTTAGCGAGCGCTGCGTCATCGTGGCCAGCTTTGGCAACGAGCGAGCGGTACTCAGCCGGAAGGGACTCGTCGTACGCGGCGTCGCACTGCAGCTTCTCGAAGTACGTGCCGTTGCGGTTCAACTTGACGGGGAAAGGATGGTCCTCGAGAGCGGTGATGAGCGTCGAGAGGTATCCGATACCCTATCGAATGTAAATATGTTGGGATGAGGGCGGATGCTTCGAACCTACCGTGTGCGGCGGAGGAACGCTTGAGTGACCACCGAGAGTCGTGACCTACAACACCGGTTGTCAGTCTTGTCCATGTCAGTTGTAGAGCTAGTCGTACCTCGATCTGGACGTTCAACTTGCCCTTTTCCGCGGTGTTGGGGAAGGCAATGATGACATCGTCATGCTCCTCATAGTGTCCACCCTCGTCAACAAGCAACGCGAAGCCGTCCTTGCCGTACACATCAAGAAGGTACTGGGCGATATGGCCGGCACCCTGCGCAAAAAGAGCGATGTCAGATGTATAGCATGTACTAGGAAATGAGGTCGTACATGCTCGCCACCGCGCTCCTCGTCGATACCGTACGCCAGTACGATCGACCGCTTTGGCTTGAATCCAATCTTCAAAAGAGTCTCGATGGCGCTCAACGAGGCGGTGGAGCCAGAGTCGTCGCAGCTGCCACGACCCCAGATCCAAGTGCCGTCGTAGTCTCCGGAGAACGGCGGGTGAAGCCACTGGTCGAGAGTATCTTCAAGAACAGGGACAGTGTCTGGCACAACGCTTCAACGTTCGCTCAGACCTGGACCCACTGAAGTGGCATACCTTGGTGACCCGTCAAGATGATGGGCTTCAACGACTCGTCCGAGCCTTGCCAGTGAATGACAAGAGCATAGGTGTTGACTTTGGTCACTTGAAGTTGGGAGTGGCTACAGAAGGACTCAGTCAAGTTAGGTCGGCAGAAGATGCACGGATATGAACGTGCATGAGGGGAAAGCGCTGTTCGAAGAACTTGTGCAGCGTCGCGAACCCATCCCAGCGCTTATCACCCGTACTCGGCGACGGGATATCATCGTACACCTGGGTCCTAATTCCGAATCAGTCAAAGACATTCGCTCAAGCAGACGAATCGAAACATACGGAATACGAATGACGCCAGAAAGGTTGTCATAGAACCATTGTTTGTTCTCTGGCTTCTTGAGCAGCTGATCAAGGGCAGATGCAAGTTCCGCATTCGCGCTCGGCGCTATGGGACCCGTCTGCGGGCACATCCCCTGCACATCAAGACCGAGCTCGACGGCAGCAGGGCCAGCAGGCACAACAGCCTTGGGTGCCCGCGCGGTGCTGCCATAGTTCGAGAACTTGCCCAGCGCGAAGAAGCCCGCGCACAGAAGCGCCGGGATGAGACGCGCACGACGCGAGCGCTGCTTGCGCTCCGTCGCCACCGGTGCGGGCAACGTCTCAGCGCCCTTTTCAGCAGGATAGTCGGTGTAAGGCTGCATCGCGGAGACGGACAGGGCAAAGGCACTCCGTCGAACCAGGTGCTCCGATTATATGCTCATCGTCCGGTATCGCGTGTGCGTGGGTCCCTGGTCTGGGAGGGTCCTCGGAAGCGCGCTATCTGTCGCACTCCGCGTGCGCGCGCGCGAATGCGGGCGGGCCGGGCTGGATACTGCTGGATAAGCTGCGGGATGTTGAGTTGCCGATGATGATCGCGGTGAGGGCGGACACTGTTGCGTCGGCCGTCGTGCGCCCCGTCGGCACTCCAGCGCCGGGTGCGGGGAAATAGAGCAGGAAAATAGTATAGGCTACAGCTCTAAGCATTACGTATCGTGACGGACGCAGAAGTTCTATCTAAATACTAGTATGTGGCTGGTGTCGCTGAATGGTATCGTACGAATGTCGATTGGATTGGTGGATAAGAAAGTCCGGAAGCGTGATATGCATGGATCAAATTAGCGCAAGCTGGCGCCCACAGCACAAACCCAAATGAAATCAGAGATGAAAGTTGGATGAAAGCGTCATGCAATATGTTCCCGAGATTGCGCATAGTCATGCACATACGGGGCAGGTCCATCCACTGGCGTCCTCTCCTCAGGGTCGAAGGTAGCACTGGGCTTTTTCTCGACAGGAGACTTAGTTTCGGGCTCCTTTTCGTGTAGGGTGGCCTCCTGTTGAGCTTCGATAGAGTCGTCGCGCTTCTTCTCTGGAGGGTGACCGACAATACCGACACCACGCAAGAAGATCGACAGGGCGGTGCCTACAACAATGTAAGCATCGCGCCAACAACACACACGAGCACGTCAACTTACAGAACATAGAGAACCCAAATCCGACCCACATCGCGTCATGATACGCGCGTAGCTGAACATCCTTCGGTGCATTGTCCGCGTTCGCGTCAAGCGTCAAACCGGCGTTCTTCGTGCCATTCTCGAGAACCGCGTTGTACACGATTGTCGAAACACTCAATCCGATAGCCGTGCCGATTTGTGTCATAGACTGGAATACAGCGCCGGCAACAGATTGCTCTTGTGGCGGTGTGATCTTCGCGACGAACAGCGTCCCCGACGCGAACACGAAGTCAGCGCCCAGCACAATGATGAGCGCCGAAGGGAAGCCGTATGCCCAGTACGGCAGCGCCGGGTCGATCACGGCAAACAGCAGGACGGCGACTCCCGTGAGCAACGTGCCCGTAGCTGATCATGTGAGCGTCAGCCTCTTACTGCGGGAAGTGCCACAACTCAACGAGTGCACTCACTGACGATCCATTGGACGTCGACACGGCCAATGACGAGCGCAATGATTACGTTCGCGGCGATGCCCACGAAGGTGATGGGAAGGATCCGGACCATGGTGAGGATGGGCGTCAACTCGAGGTAGTCCTGGTAATAGAGCTGTACCCAGACAAGCCAGCAGGTGAATGAGGCCCAGTTCATGCAGGCGATGACCTGCATGAGGAAGAAGCGACCCTTGGCACGTTCCCACATGGTGATGCGCATGAGCGGCGGTGCAGCCCAGAAAGAACGCGGGGCATTAGGATCGTCCAGCCGCTTTTCGAGGAACCATTGCCAAAAGCCGAACGCGATGACAAGCGCTCCACCGACGACGAATAGTCCGATTATGTCTGTATTTCCGCGTCAAGATTAGTCGGGGGACGGAATGAAGACGGGGAAGCACTGACAGTCCGTCTTCCATCCCTCAGGGGCTGAAGGGGAGTCACTGAGCACGAAGACAATGAGAACGAGACCCGATGTAACCAAAAGAGCCCCTATCCAGTCCACCCTACGATCTTCCTCATGGCTCGGAGTATCCGCATCGATACAGAGGAAGCCCAGAATGATACCCAGCGCAGAGGCGCCAGCGGTGACAAAGTACAATGTACGCCAAGTGGGACTATAGAAGGGTTCTCAGTCAGATTTGGCAGGGAGAAGGTAGTGCATCTCACGTACCCTGACAGCTGTGTGACTACAGCGCCCAACATGAAACCGATAGCACCTCCCATAGGTGCGCCGGCAGAAAACGTAGCAAAGGCTAGAGAACGTGCCCGGGAAGGAGGGAAAGAGTGTGCGAGGATGCCGAGAGACGCGGGTACAACAGCTGCGCCTCCCAGACCTTGGAACCCTCGCAAGATGTACAATGTCATGGCATCTGTGACAGAGTCAATACAGGACGAAGAACAGATGTTGAGGAAGCCTGCTCACCGTTCGCAAAGCCACATCCAATATCAAAGATAGCAATGATGGCAAACCCAATCAGCCAGACTCGCTTCCGCCCATACAGATCGGCCAGTCGACCGGACAAGAGCAAGAAACATGCCTGACCGCAGAGATATCAGACACGCAGCGGCAACCAACATCGCGAACAAGACACCCACCGCGCTGATGGCATAGGCATTAATGACCCATTGTGTGCTCGCCTCCGTCTCGTCAAAGTCCTCGCCGACCGAGGTGAGCGTGATGGCTGGATTGCCAATAGCAATCTGAAAAGGTTGTTAGTGAAAGTACACCAAAATTCCAGAAGCTGCGACGCACATTCATGACCATAGAGAGGGTGCAGGCCGCCACGATGCCTACACTCCTGAGCACCCCCTTGGGCGTATAGACCTCCGACGGTGCGGTCGAAGGGGCATGGGTGCTCGCTGCATCGCTGCGTTTGGATGCTTTGGAGCCGAGCGAGCTGTCGCTGGCCTTACTCGCTGGTCCCGTGGGCGTCGTAGGGCTCGTCGACGTCGAAGCCATGACGCAGGAAGGTTCAAGTCTAGCGACGAGTGGCGCTTTGTGGGAAGCCTGCCTATATAGCCAGGCCAGGCGTCAACTGACGTTTGCGGCAGAAGCCCGAGCGAAACAAGCAGTGGAAGTTCCGGTTTGAGCACGAAGCTCTCCAGGCGGACCGAACGGCGGTAAAGTAATTATCCGTCGTAGCCAAGCCTCGCATATTCAGATGTCGCGCCAACCCTGCCTGTGCTTTTGCGGACTTTCATGGCCCCCACCTAGATCTCCGCTATAGACGCGGGGGGCGCGACTCTGATCTGTTCTTTATCTGGATGGTGGTCGGACGAGCATTGCTCCGGCACTCCGTCAGACTCCGCGGTCGTGGCGCGACTTCAGCGCTTCAGAAACGCGCTCTCGCTGCCTTGGCGCGTCGCGTCGCGTTCGCTGCGGAACCGAGCGCGTCTTTACGGCGTCCTGCACTGCGCAACCCCTGCAAATCCCACATCGTCTGATTTTTTCTCAAGAGGATTGGCAGGGCGCCTTTTCAAAAGGCATTTCCCGTCAACGCATCATCGCTTGTCTGCTCAGCGAACTGGTGACATATGCACTGCGGAGCCCGACGGCTCGTGTACCGATTGTGGCCATGAAAGGATGGCAGCGGGTAACAACCCGCCGACGCAGGAGCGCTCGTCGTCTTCTGTAGTTTCCGGCGCCACGATATGAACCCGAGTACGCAGCACGTATTAGTAGTTTACTCCATATAGGGTTCTGTGAACACGTCGAAACACGATCCTGACGCGATACCCGAGGCCGGGCTTATTCCGACTGCACGAACAAAGCGAGCAGACGCCCAAACGTTATGCATTATGCCTAAGCTCGACTTACTCCTTTGGGTCGAATTAGTAAACTCAGGCTAGCTTGATCGTCATGCAATTAGCCAATCGATGTTGTCATACAAGCATGCATGGTTTTGAGGCGGCGTGTGGGCATACAGGGAATGACATGGAGTGCGGCGGGAGAGCAGCGATGCAGAGTACAATATGAAAGAAAAACAACAACAAAATCCCTCTCATGCCTCAGCTGCGCGCTGCTTCCGGCGCACGTCACGCTCCTCGGCGATGGTGAGCTTGGTACCCTTGCCCTTGGGCAGGGAGACCCATGCCTTCGAGCCCTCGCCGATAACGAAGATGTTCGTTATCCTGAAAAGAAGTCGTCAGAATCAATAGCCGAGACTGCAAAAGGTTCTGGGACATACCGCGTAGCGAAGGTACGGTCGAGCGAGTCCTTGACATGGACAATGTCAAAGTCACCAATATGCTTCTCGCGGTGAACAATGGTACCAGCGCGACCCATGTTGCGACCGCCGGTGATCATGACGATGTTACCGGTGTCGAAGTGAACAAAGTCGGTGATCTTGTTCGTGGTGAGGTCGAACTTGACCGTGTCGTTGACCTTGATCTGCGGGTCGGGGTAGCGGATCGTGCGGCCGTCGTGGGTGACGATGTAGGGGACACCCTTGTTGCCGAGAGCGACCTTCTTGACCTTGAGGAGCTTGTAGGTCGCCTCCTCAGGCGTGATGCGGTGGATGACAAAGCGACCCTTGACATCGTAGAGCAGACGGAAGTGCTCGCCGGACTTCTCAATCGAGAGAACGTCTAGAAATGCCGCTCAAAATGCAGTTCATTCTCCACGATATGCAATTAAACGCACCCATGAAGCCAGTAGGGTAGGTGTTGTCGGTGCGGACCTTGTTGTCGACCTTGATCAAACGCTGCATGACGATCGACGTCACCTCGCGGCCGGTGAGAGCATACTTCAAGCGGTTGCGCAAGAAGATGTTGAGGGGGAGGGACTCGCGGAGCTTGTGAGGGCCAGGCGAGGGGCGGGGAGCCTAAAGAACGTTGAGTTTATTGCCAAACGCAAAATGCGCGATTCGACGCACGTAGGTGCCGCCGAGCTTGTCGAGCATCCACGACGAGGGCGCAGCAAGGCGCTTAAGATGCTTTTTCGGTCCGCGGCCCTGTAGAGAATATCAGTATCTGGGCAGAGGATACGGAGGACAGACCGGGGAGCGCATGCAGGGCCATCCTCATCCAAACTTCCTCATCCCAATCCAGCCTCCAAACCCTCCGCTACCGCTCCCAAAAGCCCATGAACGCGCCCCACAGTCTGTCCAAGCGGCATACGGACCATCTTGAGTGTCTTGAGGGTGAGGAGGAAGGCGGCGAGGCTGGCGTTGACGACGAGGACGAGCGCGAGGCGAAGCGGTCCGCGCCTGGGAAACCACTCTGCCCGAAAAGGAAGGTCCCATCACCCGCTTCAAGCCGGGCCACACGGTCTTGCCTTCTGCATTCATGCACACGTTGGGCTCAATGGTACTCGACTACAAGTGTTATAGTGACATGTACTATGTGCGCATGATCTCAGTTGACCTCGCTTGCCGGAGCAGGCAGCCGTCGACATGTTTCTCTATGATTGTCTCTCCATGCTCTGGCGGTGATACATCAGCGCCAGCTCCTCTTCGAACGAAAATAGGGCTCACTGCTTCTGACAGACTTTGTCGCAATAGCCAGTCTCGCCGTATCTACGGCAGACTAATTAAGGACGATCTTGAAGCTTGCGGCCCCCAGGACACTTCCGATTACCGCATAGTCGTTTCCTCTCTTCTCGGTGATGCAGCTTTGCGCTCTTCTCGTCAATCTTCGCTTTCTCTCCGCACTCTATCCAGGACTTCTCAAGATACTGGATGTCAGGATACTTATGCTTTTCGTAACTCCTGCATGCGGCTGCGCGCAACCCGAGTAAGCACTCATACCACAGAGTCGGGTCAACGATGGGATTGGAGGCTATCACTAATACTGATGGAACTCATACTCATGGGACTTTTGCAAGGCCGGCTACCTTTGTATGAAAACCTCGTCGGGTTTATCTCTCCAGTCGTCGTCTAATTGACTATAATCACGGTGCGGGTAAACGCCGACAAGACTCCCGGTGTCCCTCTTTCCATGCACTAATCATCGCTGGTCAGCAAAGTCACACTATTGTAGGCACCAAGGTCGAGCGTACCGTTTCTGACAGACCTTATCGCAATACCGAGCTTCCCCACAGCCGCGACAGATCATTAGCGCATGATCGCTGATTACAAAGCGCGTCGTGCCGCGGCGACGAGGACAGCTCATGCTACAGCAAAGCCGTGACCGTTCTGACTCGTGCTGCCTCTCCGCGCCTTTCTCGTCAATTCGGGCCTTCTCACCCCATTCTATCCATGACTTTTCGAGAAATAGGATATCCTCATGTGCGGGCTTCCCGTACTCTCTGTACGCAGCCGAGCGCAATCCAATGAGAACTGCGTACCAGAATGTCGGTTGAGTTCGTGCCCAGAACCCATATTGCATGCGTAATGGTGCGGATGAGGCAGGATGGCGCCTGAATAATTCCACCAATTGTTTACATTCGGCCTCTGCACGCATCGTCAATAACGGTCACCATAGAGGAGCAGCGTCACACTGACCATCAGGCGAGTAGTCGACGCAATCAGCAAAGAGGCGGAACATCCCATCCATCAGGACGAGACCGAACATCTTCGGTTCGATGAATTCGTACGTTCCGGGTGTACCCTCTGCCGTTCTATGATACTCTTCCATGGCGCTGGACAGCGGGATGAAGCATGTGAGGACCGAGACTCCACAGCGGAATAGGCGTACGCACAGAAGGATGGAGATCATGGCGGGCCAACTCTGTTTCTCTTCCCAGTACGCAGTCACAAGCTCGTGCGTGGCCGATAGTATGTCGTGTTCGAGCAAGAAGCGCCGGCATTTCGAGTGACAGCAGATGCCCGGAATGACGAGGAGCAGTAGCAGAATTCTGTACATGGCGAGGGAGTCCGAAGTGTGATCCCTCCCAGAAGGCTTCGCGTTGAAATCGAGAGCAGATTTAGCGCGTCGCACTAGTTCTTGGGGGCCATATTCCGATACCAACGATGATACTGCCAGGCCATCGGGCGCAAGTACCTCGCGCCACTTGAACCCAATGTTCGGATCCCTGTAGAGGATACCACAGAGCCCCTTGTAGATCTGAATAATCTTAGCGCTTGAGTCTTCAACGTGGTACCAGGCGTAGAACATGAGGTCGGCGATGCGATTGGTAGGATCAAGAGGTTTGTCGCTGCGACAGTGCTTGAGCGAGGCTCCAGAAAACTTGAGAATAAACTCACCAGAGTTCGGATATGGAGCCCACGAGGAAGCCAGAGTCACATATGAACTCTAAGATGTCCGGCTTATACTCTGAGCGCAGAATCTTTGAACGCGAAGCCCAGATGCTTGCCCATGGTTCGTCACAAACTTCCTCGAGGATGTCGGAGAGAAGGCGAGAGTTCTCCGTCTTATAACAGGCCGCTATGAATGAGCTGAATAGTCGCAGTGTCATAGAGACGAGAAGCTAATATATAGTCTGATGAGTTGTGATGATCATGGGTAGAGAGTCGAGCGACGAACGTACATGCGCGTCAGTTTGGTGCATCACGAGAAGGGTGGGACTAGTTATACATTCGGTCAAGAATGACAACAGTCCCGCTCTTAAAAGGTCCCCCAGAATATCTTTGTAGCATAAGATGGGATCCGTGAAGAGCTCTAGCATGGCTAATAAAGGCTCCGTGTTGCTGACGCCGCAATCAACTGACGCTTGCCAGAACTTGCGGATAACTTGAACGGTCTTATTTGGATCTTCCTGAATATCACGTAGTATCTTCTTCTGTTGAGGTGCTAAGAAAGTGTCTTTTTCACTCCGAGAGGCGCATACCTTGCGATTCTGGGACTTCTTCTCTTCGAGGGATTGCTGGGGCTCTCCCTTGTGCGAACTGGAGGCGACTAGTACACCGTCCATTTCGAACGGGACGCTGTATTGGTTCGCTTTCCGCGCGTTCAAGACAACGGGGGTGTCTTAGGCCGTCGGCGTACACCCTGGCCAGCAAAGTGTTCGGCGCGAAGTTAAGTTATATAGTGATAGTGGTCGTGGGGAGATAACATCGAGCCGATTAATCCCGAGCCTGCAGGCATGCGTTATCAATGATTTCTCGCGGATCAGCCAAGGTACCATCAGCCAACAAATGTGCACATGATGTGAAGGATTGTATGATGCGTACAAGCATGGCTACCAGTACTCAAGAGAGCGATATGGCACCATGGCGCCGCCACGCCTCTTCCGCTCCGCGTCCCACTTCTTCACCCATGCAGCGATCTTGCCGCGACTCGACTCACTCCCGACGTTCACGGTGGCGATGATCCGCGACCAGTCAAGAGAGAGCGAAAAGCAAGTGAGCTCATAGAAAGAGCTATGCTCGCTATAGGGAACACCAAATAGTTTGTGGGTTGACGTAGAGTTCCGCATTGGTCGCAGGTGTGTCGGGCCGAACTCGCGATGCGGCTGCTTTGCCACCACACTGGCCACACTAGGAAGGGTTTCATTCCCAACCGGCGGAGTGTATCTGCATGTGCAAGTTAGTATGGCAGCAGCGCACACGCGAGCAAGGCTACATACGTCCAGCCGGTTGGCCTAAACCCGATGATCTTATCCCAGTGGCTCTTCCATCGGTCCATGTATTCTTTGATCCGGTCCGAGGTGATCACGCTGAGCGGTACAAGGTGCACGCCAGCAGAGTATGGGTCCTTCGTAAGCATTGCGTGAAGTTCTGGATCCTGTTGACATCGCAAGATAGCAGCCTTGCGCGAGTCGCAGTATACCTTCGTATTCAGAGCCTTGGCAACGGCCTTCACAACACGCTCTTTGCCGATGGAATATGTTCTATGTCTGGTCAGCAAGGGCTCCGCTGAACGTCGTGTAAATGACTTACCCGACGACGACGAGCGTCTTCAGAATCTTGGCCGGCTTTTCTTCCGTCTTGGTAACGGCAGAGAAGAAGGTGTCCACGGTCCTGGCAGTGCCTGTCTCGCCGCCAGTGAGCGACACATGTTCGCCAGCAACAAGCTTCTGAGCTAATTCAGCGCAAGCGGATATGACTTGTGTCTGTGAAGGGAAGGTGTACTGCAGACGGATCTGGTTAGATAACGTAGATAATGGGGCGCAAGTTGCCGCATACTTTGGGATTGAGATACGTTGTATCCAGATAGATAGTGTCGATCTTCCTGCCCTTGACGGCAGGGTGTAGAACGTGCTGTGGTGATGCACGGAAGTCCCCACAATGTAGGTATCGGAACGTACGCCCAGTCCCAACAAAAGGCGATTTGATTGAGCTGTCTCCGGCGTCTACCGTTTGTTTGCCTTCAAAGAAGAACAAAGACGACCCAGGACCTGTTCCACTTCTTGAGTATGTCATCTCCCACAAGCGTGTCCGCCACGTACAGTGATTAGCTTCTATGAGAGTAACTGTGACGCCACCAGTGTCAGGTATGACAGTCGGTGCATCCATGGGTAGAGGGTGTACCCATTTACGATCGACTGAAAGCATGTGGATGATAAGGTTGGCGGTGCCCTCTGCGAACCGAGCTCAGCAGAAGAGCAACGGATCATATCCTGAGTACTTACCTGAGCAATAAATCGGGCCAGCTTTCCAACTCGACGAGAGATTTGTGTAGTGGTCAGAATGAGCGTGACTGCAGATTTGGGTGTTAGCTGATGTGGAGGCGAAGATAAACGGACGAACGTCAAGAAGTACGCATTCACTCCAGGTATGGCCCCATATCGGAAGGCGTCAACAGCAATGGGCATTCCAGTCATGACCTTATAAAAGGGGGCCTTACGGCGGGAGGACTTCGTTGCGCGGAATGTGCGATCCTCTGCCACCTGAGCCTCCTTCCAAGCCTCGTTCTCATTATGTGAGGACATGAGCACGTTGAAGACATTCGCGCCGCTCCTGCCAGCAGGAGCTGGTGTTGGTATGCGTGGAGTGACAGAGCCAGAGCGTGAACCGCCACAAGTGTCGACGTGAGATTGAATCTTCTATGCCGACGGTCAGCACATGCAATATCCTGACGTTGCTGGCACACACCAAGGAGGGCCAGCCTTTCAGTTTGCATCCACACTCAGGGCAAGACTCTAGTGAGTTGGCGAATGGGACATTCTCTATGTCTTCGTCCGCATCCATCAATTCATCGTCGCCCATGCCCCATTCGTCGTCAATCTCAATCACGTCCTCTGCTTGATTCAAGACATGTTCGACTGGTTGCAGGGCCGGAGTCTTCGTGGGCGATGCAGAATATGAGCGACCAGGGAACGAGGCCGAAGTTGCCATGGATGCAGTAGGGCTCATGGAGGGTGTAGAATGAAGAGGAGAGGTTGAGGAGGTGTCCGACTTTGTGAGAGCGCAAGTAGGGCGCGAGTGGGACGCAGACGCTAACAGCCCCGTATTCTCGCCCAGCTCCTCGCACTTCACAGTTGGATCGATGTCCCTCCTAAGCTTTTTGGGGCTCGGGACGGATGGTGGGTCAAGGACTTCGATGTCGCTGCTCCCAGGTTCAGCAAATGTTGACGACTTCCGCTTCCCCTTGCTGGGTCCAGGAGCAGTCAATTCGACCTCTTCGTCGGAGTCAATTACTATGACTTCCGTATTGGGCGGTGGAAAGGACTTGGCCTTCTTCGGGGATGCGTTCGGTCTGCTAGACGCGGGCCGCAGGCGCGGTACAGCAGGCGAGCTCTTTCCAGGTTTGGCAAAGAACGAATGCAGCGTATTGCTGGTAGCTACGTTATCCGATCTCTTTCTTGAAGCAGACATGCTGAGTGGGGTACGAGAGGTGAAAGTGAGTAGGTGCTTTGATGATAGCGGTGGTGGTGGTGGTGCAGATGAGAGTAACAAACGCGTCGCGGCACCGATGCTCAGAGACATCGAAACGCGGTCACGCGAGTTTTCCCAGGCCAAGGCTCTTAACCCCTGAACGGCTTGACCCAGCGTACGACGGTGCGGATCCATTGAGTACTTAATCTCAATCTGATAGCCGGCGCCTCATGGCACTAGCAGAAATGCGTGTATCATCAATATATCTGCTGAGCTAGTACTGCAATAATTCAAGATGAGGTACTAGTGAACCAGGCGTCTTAGTATGACGGACGCTGTCTAAGGAGGAGTACCTGCGAAGACTTTCGTCAGAATCGAGTAGTCATCGAGTCATGTGTAGCTCAAGCAGACCTTGGTTGCCACATCCGGTGGTACCGGGCCAGAGACCAGCACTCTCGCCTGACAGGCAAGCGCCATTCCAGAGGTCGCTGCCGTCAGAGCCGGACCACTCGGCACACGAAACTTCCTCAAAGGAGCCTGTAAGAGCGCCATGACCAGATGGAAAAAAGGCGCCTGCAGCGCCAGTGTCTTGGCACAAGTCAAAACTTTGAGCAAGTGAGCTAACGCCAACACGGATGTAAGACAACAATACGCACTGGACCTGCGCGCCGTGCTCATTGACAGGATTTGACTCGGATTGGCCACACCACTCGCCATTTCCCGAAGACGGGCACATGTCCGTGGCCTTGACAACGATAGTATTGAAGGGGCCAGTGTATGACGGGGAGTACGGATCCGACGTCGCAGTGATTGCGAAGCAGCGACCGCAGACGTCTCCAGCGCCGAGGCCGGGTTCCGAACCGAACGTCAGCTGCGATACAGCGACAGTATACCCGTTTGCAGTCTTGCCGCAAGCTGGAACGGCTCAGTCAGATCGTTATCGTATGAGTTATCTGAGTAACGTACCTGGAGAGCCACATCCAGTATAGGAAGTGAAGGACGCGCTACCAGACGCGATCTGAAGGTAACCGCTGGCCGATGCTACATTCGTAACAGCTCCCACGGGAGAAGAGGACGTTGAGGTCGCAGCAAGTGTGGAGGATGACGACGGTGGTTGGCCGCACTTCGCAGACACAGTAGCCACAAGTACAAGAGTGAAAAGACTGGAGAAGGCTTTTTTCATGATCATGTCGAAAAAATTAGAAGGGTTGAGGGAAAGAATGTGGTAACAAGCAGACCCGAAAGACGGATGTAGCTGATGTTGGGGATCTCTCCCAATGCCTCATTTCTTATATATACGCAGGGCCAGGCAACGCGTTGATCATGGAGACGCAGCTGTATGAGCGTCGCCGCGCGGGTCAATGTCGGTAGTGACTGGGACTCGGATGCGTGAGCATTCGGGGAGCATGTCCGCGACTATTATGATACCCATTCCCGATATACAATGGTACTGGCAAAGAGACCTGGTACCAATTACGAGCCGGAGACAGTACCGATACGCTCGAAAGGGGCTTCACCGGGTCAGCTGCAAGCGGTAGGGGTCGACGTTCAAAACTCGCGCCGTGCCTGTCGACGACGTTCCTCTCAATGGCTTGATGGCCTCGAGGGATACGGTCCTGTTCGAGGCCTGTCGATATGGAGACGGCAAGGGCACGTTCCCAAGTACTCTCGTTGGCCGAAAAGACGATGATGGTCCTGAGCTACTCGTGTGCCTTGCGGTGCCAATTGAATCCGAGGGACGGCAAACGCCGAACGTGGCGACTGCGTGAATCTGTGCGCAGCTGTGAAGCGCTGAAACTTAGACCTTGCCTCACCGCTTTTACATGGACTTCCAGGACCTGCTTTACCATGAGCCAATATTCGAGGTCCTCTGTTAGCAAGCGGCCGGACAGGACTCTGACTATCCGATGCGAGTACAACCGCAGGTTCAAGAAGATCACATTCACTTCGGCCCGGAATTGCAGTTATGATGGCTTAAAGCAGAAGGTGCGCTGACTACTGTGGCCCGCATAAGCTCTACTCATACCTCCCTCCTCAGATTCAACAGAGTTTCTCTCTATTGCAGAGCTTTGAGATCGAGTGGACCGACGATGACAAAGAGAAACTTTACATCTCTTCGGACGACACGCTGACCGAGGCAATCTCGTTCCACGACGGCGGCGACGGTACCTCCTCTTCCAGGTCTTCGATATATTCTGCGCGTTCTCGTCGCATTTTGATCGACGTACAAATATTGCTCCACGACGATGGGCCTAGCTTGTCCGACTCCTCATCCCTATCAAGCCGCGAGGAGTATGACGAGCGCAATGGAAGCCAGTATTCCTTCTCGCTCAATGGTAGTGTTGATGGACCGGTGGACGACGATGCACGCACTGTCAGCTCGAGAGACACGGGCAGCGCTGCTCGTAGTCACAAGTCCGGTGGTATGCTGCGCAAGCTATTGGACCCCGCGTCCCGCTCGCAGGGCTCGAGCAGTCAGAACCGAACACAGCGACCTCAGCAACTGCGCAAGTCCGCATCCCAGATGTTCAGCCTGGCGTCCCGCTCGCGGAAAGAGGAGTCGCAGGACGACGACGCGGCTACGGAACTCGGGACCGAGCCTATGGCCAGCAGCTCGGGACGATCAACCTATAGTCGCACGAACGAAGTTTCTGTGTACGCGCAGTTGAAGCGGCAAGAGGTCCAGCAGGGACCTTCTATCGGCCCGTGGTTGCAAGAGCAGGAGAGCCGGGTGATCAAGTCTATGCCCATACCCGTACCATCCGATGCAGACTCGTTCTCGCTAAACACGGACACGCCGTTCTCCGATGGTGAAGGACCTTTTGCAGATCAGATCTCCGTCGGACGAAATCAGCGAGGCGAGAAACGCTACACCTACCGCTCAAGCGCCTCGGACGGGTCGCGGGGAGATGAGTTTGAGATACACATCCAGCAGGGCAAGCTATATAGGCATCGCAGCCACAATCATCGGCCATTTTCCCTGGACACTCGCTCGTCCGAATCCGGGGATCAAGTATCGTCAGGCTACCCCATGTCCTCACAACAGTCGTTCCGGCACTATTCGACCTCAGACGCTCCGCCTCCACCAGCTTCGGAAGCGTTCACCATCCCGTCTGAGCTCCTCATACCTGACGATGTTACGGACTGCTCCGAATGCGGCGCGATCCTGGACTCTATGCGCTACATCTGCACGACGTGCGGCGAGAAGCCTGCCGTACCGCGGGCAGAGCTAGAGATGATGCATTACACCGTGATGACCCAGTCACGCGACACTCTCGCTACCGAGTGTCCCCCCCATGCCTACGAATACCCACCCATGCCTCACCGCAATGGTGGCCCGTCTTCGTCCACGTCGTCGGATACTCTACGCACACTCATGCCCGGTCAAGGGCGTCTGGCTCCCCCTGATGGCCACCGTCATCCTCGCAGTAAATCGGATGCGTCTTCGTACATGTCCACCACATCGACCTTGCACCCCGGATACGAGCTCTGTCCAACGTGTGTTCAGACGAAGGGCGTCAATCATTCCCTTCTCGGCGATGGAAACGGCAGCTCTCCCGTCTCTCCCAGGGGTCTACTCCCCGCGCAGGACCTCGCCGTAGCGCGCCGCAGTGCACCGAGCCAGAAGGGCCAGCTGCGGCACGCGTTTGCCGAGAAGATCTGGGGCACAGACGGTTGGCAAGACCTTGGTGAGTGCATTTCACTCACAGTACATGTTCGGTGTAACTCATATACTGCGGCGCAGAACAGGAGTTCAACGGTCGGGAGGTCTGTTCCGGCTGTCAGGCGCATATGCACAAGGGCAAGGGGCGATACAAGTGTGTCGCCTGCGACGACTTTGCGTTGTGCACGGCATGCTACAGGTGCGGTGTAGTCCTTCTATCTTGCCATCACCGGCCTGACCGCATTTGACAGCGACGTCCACAACATCCACCCCCGACACGCGTTTATCGATATGCCAGACGACCCTACGTACGCTAGAAGTACGGCAGATACGTCGACATACTACGCAGACGCGACTGCGGACGAACCCTGTGGGTATCTCTCCCATCGATAGGCATTCAGCGGCTGACCTCGTGATGTAGCGTTGAAGCATCCTAATGTCGTCTGTTACAAGTTCGTAGTCTACCCTTTTCTGTGCGGGTACGTCGGTGATCTAACAGCCTTACAGCTGCAAACAGGATATTGTCGGAGCCCGGTTCCACTGCGTGAACTGCGTTTCATCCGTGGACATATGTTCCAATTGCGAGGTTGCGGGTTTGCACGGGGATGACGGCGGTGACGGTCACAGTTCTTCGCATGTCTTGCTCAAGGTTCGTCGCGAGCGTAGTAATTGTGCTCCAGCAATGGACTAACTCATGGTTCACGCAGTTCCCAGCGCCTCTTGCCCCAAGCGAGGAGCAAGCGGTCATTGGGGCGATCGCTTCACACGAGCACGGCGGTATCAATGGCGCCAGTCCTGGGAGTGTGACCGAGAGTTTGGCAAAGACAGTGCTTAGGGAAAAGGCTGCGCAGTTCGACCCCGAGAACCATCTCATTTCGTGCAACAGCTGTCGGAAGGTTCGTATCTCGCACTCGCCATCGACGCGCCTACTCATCCGAGCCTTAGGAAATTCGTGGCGTCCGCTACCAATGCTTGTCATGTCCCTCCAAACCCAACTCGTATAATCTCGTACGTGCTTCCAACATCCAGTGCAGAACATTCATTAATATGCTGTCAGTGTTCCGACTGCGAGCCTTGGTCTTGGAACGTGCACGACGCCATGCACATCTTCATCGCGCTCCCACGTCCTGTCGATAACGCGCAGCCACTGCAGTCTGCTACCCCGCTGCTCCCTCGTGACCTCTACGCGTATCCCGCTGGACCTGCTACGAAAGCTCACAGTACTGTTGATCCAGACGGTAGGCTGACTTTTTTGATCGGGGGGTACAATTCGAGCTGACCACTTCTCAACCTACCTAGATTATCTGCGCGACTTAACGCACCAGTTTGCGCTTTGCGACCGACACATGACGAAGATCAATGGTCGCTGGTTCCGGTGTGCTTACTGCGAAGAGTCGACTGACCTCTGCGGCGTTTGCCACGGCTACGATACTCATGACCCGACGCACGCCTTCATTGTACTCAAGGCCCCCATCAACATGAAGTCGTTCAGGTAAGCTACCATGTTTTCAACAGGGAACCAAAGATTTGCTAAACGTAAACCGTAGGGTATTCGCCAACCTGGATAACCAGGACAACAGGAGCCCAGCGGTGCTCAAAGGTCCCATCTATTATTCTTGATCTGCGTCTTTACGCTTTGTCTCTCTCTTTGCATCTATCTGTAGCTCTTTTGTCATAACCTGTACACGCGCTTCTCGAAGTCTGTATACCACCGTGCTTGCTGTTCCTACTATGCTATCGTAGACAATACACAACTGCCTTGTCAAACTGAGTGCTGCAGGTTCTATGCGTTTGTCGTGACCTGAGACAATATTTGCGCGGCATTCTGAGAATAAAATGGGACGCGCTATAGGTGTTGGGCGCGGAAGTTCAAAGCAATGCAGACAGATATACAAGCAAAGCGTGGAGCGACGAAAAGAGAACGCAACCGGCAAGACTAGCCTTTCTTGAATCCTGCGGCAAGCGTCAGTCAGCCACAGATACCGAGACAAAGAGAAGCTACGCACCCAGCCGACGCCTCTCGTAGAACAAGTCTGTTCTGCTGGCTCCCAGGTTCACAATCTTCGGACAGCCGTCCCTATCCTTCTCTAGTCTCGTACATTCCGCACAGTAGTACGCATCAGAGATACCTGCAGGTGGTCAGCATAGATAAGAGTTAGATTGAGCGTCATGAACGCACCGGGGGAGCCACAGATGATACAGCGTCCACCATAGGTACCGAAGTTGCACTCGTCGCAGATGCGCACGAGCGTCTCAGGTCGCACATACGAGTCGCAAACGGGGCTGCAACGAGTAGTCAGTATAAGCATATGGTACAAAATCTCTCGACACGCACCACTTGCCGTCACATTTCTCGCACAGGCGTCCGATAGCTGAACGCCAGTTCAGTAAACAGGGTTTTAGAGATGACCTCAAAGTGCTCACCAATACCAGGCTGTCGCCTGCACATAATCAAATCTGTAGTACTTAGTCAGCATCAGACCTTTGATAGATTCTGTAGAAGCACGGACCGGGATGATGCTTAGACATGGTGGACGGTGGAGGTAGGAGACCAAGTTGCTGGACGCGCGCTTGACGCGAGTCGCGATTGATGCACTGATGCGTGAGCGAATATTGCTGACTCAGCCCAAACGCGGTCACGCGCCATATTCTCGACACGCGCACATCCATGCCCGGGGTAAGCCCGAGTCTTAAAGAGGGCTTCCTCTGAGCGCTCAGTCGCATCGGGTCAGGTCAAATTTTAGATCATATCCAATATGAGTATGTAAGTACATTAGAGCTTCGACTTTACTCCTTCTCCAGCTTGAAATAACTCGTACAGATCCGACGCAGCGCACTCAATCTCCTTCGCGAACTTCGCATTAGGCATGTCCGTCGTCGACGTGATGGTGTACTGTAAGTAGTCTACTCACAGTTGAGCATCTTGTTCTGCACTCTCTCAAGTAAAGCACTCACCATCGAAGCCAGTCATGTACGCCACACCAAACCCGTCGGGTACGACCTCTCCCCATCCGTACGGCCCGAAATGCTTGCTGAACACCGCGCTAGTGCTCAGCTTCCAGTAGCTGCTCCTTTGTACCAATGCATCGTTGAAGACTTCCGGCATCTCCTCGCCCTCCTCCAACACCTTCTTCAAACCGAGCAGATGGCGATCGATGCCCTCGCCCGATCCAGCCGCCTTCGCGCGTTCGACGTGCTTCTTTGCCGCCGCCAACAGAAGCTCCTTGCGCTGGGAAGCAGAATATGAGGTATCATCCATCGCATCGCAGAATGCGGCGCTCTCGGAGCTTACGACGCGGATGGCCTCGGTGCGGCCTTTGAGGAATTTGCGCGTGGTAGCAGCCTCGTACGTCGCGGCGTATTCGCCAGTGAGACGTTTGTACGCGAGCTGGATGATGAGTTGCGCCCATGAGTCCGGAGATACGCCGAACGTCTTGATCGTGCGTTTGCCGTAGGACGTCTGGACGATGTTCATATCTTGACCCTCAATGAGCGCGCTAGCGGCGTTCTTCGCCTCCTCGATTGCCTTTTCAGTCGTCTTGCTCACGTTGAAGTCGAGCGGCTTGGGTTGTGCAGCGAATGAGGATGGACCATGGTCGAAAGAGGGAGATGCGAGAAGATCGAGTAGTGTATCGCAGAATGTGACTGTGGGTGTCCCGTCCATGACTGAGTGCTCGCCCATGATACCTGCCTGGCCATTGTCGAACACGACGAGGTTGATGGGCTTGTCTGACCAGCGATCTTCTAGACCCATACGACCTGTTGAAGGGAATGCGCCGTGCCACAGATTCCGTGAATGCTCAACGATACCCTCCGGCGTGTGCGTATCCAAGCATAACACGAATGCCGACGAGTGAATGGCCTCCAGCACAGAACGGTTCTGAGCATCGGCTGCAAGCTCGACGTAGTCCTTTGCCCATACATCGCGGTTGTTCGAAGTCAGGACACCCACACTAGGCATAGGAGTAGTGCTGTTGTCCACAATATGCCTCAACTGCGCCGCAAGAGCTTCTGTACCAAGCAGCTGGCCCTGTGGTGCCATATCCACACGCCAGAACCGACCATTCCGCACAACAACGATATGGCCCGAGTCGCCTACATCGCCTTCTTGCGCATAGCTCACGCTCCAGTCAAGACCCTCTGTTCCGGGTACGCGGCAGCAGTCGAACATCCACCGGAAGGTGTCCATGCAGAATGGCGCGGCTTTGGATCCTTCGGGCGCGATCTCGCCGCGCTTGAGCATGCGTCGGAAGAGCATGCCTGCGCGTGTCAGGGCGGCGGCGCGTTGGATGGGGTCCTTGGGTGTGTTTGGCACGTCCTTGAAACCATCTGCACAGTGTTAGCACCCGCAGATACAGTATCTCAAGCTGAATACGTACAGAAGTATGATACATTCACAATGACCTGCCAACAGCATGAGTGCCACGGAATTGACGCGATCACAATCAATGCGTACCGAGTCTCTGTAGCCCAGGTATCCTCCGTCGTCCCACCACTTCTCCAGCCAATGCTCCTTGCCCTCCGCATGCTTCACCAGACGCGCGTGCAGTTCTCTGCCCAACCCCCGCGCGAACTCGTCCGCCTTCGCACTCGCCGCCCTCAACTCCTCCTCCCCACTCGCAAGCGGCACTAAACTCTCCTTCAACCGTTCCACCGTCTTCTCAAGCGGCGGAACCGGCAACCGCGGCAGCGTAGCCTGTGCAGAGAACGTAGATGAACTTCCAGAAGCGGGCAATGGCGGCGCGAGTGATTTCCAGTCGTCGCGCCGCGGTGCGGGCGGAAGCGTGACTGAAGGCATGGTAGATAGTGAGCGTGAGTGCACGGATAGCCGGCGCCGGGCGAGGGAGAGCATCGTGCCCTTTCGTGGGCCGAGGAAGAGATGCTGTTCTTGAGCCTTTCCCCGCACTGGACGCGTCTTCGCACGTGAATTCGCCGCTCCGGTTGAACTTGCAGACAATCACACAGGCACAGAAAATAATCGATGAAAGTGTTTCCTTCTACATTTCTAGTACAGTTCTGGCTTATTCTACAGGATCTATCCTCGAGGAGGTCTATGCGACTTAGAAGGCGCGCGAGACGAACTTGTAGAACTGCTCGCCCTGGACCTTCGCGACGCCGAGCTCGAGCTCGGAGGGTTGGCGGCTGCCGTCAGCGCCGGCCATAGTACCAGCGCCCCACGGGCTGCCACCGTGAACCTCGGTGAGGCTCGTAGACTCCGCGAAAGTGTGCGCGTAGCCCATGGGAACGTAGACGATGCCGTGGTGGGCAAAGGTGCTCATAGCAGCGATAGCAGTGGCTATGTATATCTTATCAGCATGACGCCGAGGTATAAGCGTAGGCAATGCACGTACACTCCTGTCCTCCACCCTGTCCAGCCGTCGAAATGAACAGACCCGCAAACTTGCCAGCGAGCTTGCCCTGCGCCCAGAGCTGGCCCGTCGCGTCCCAGAACGCCTTCCACTGTCCGGGGAAGTTACCGAAACGGGTCGGGATACCGATGAGGAAGGCGTCGAAGTTGGCGAGGTCGTTGGGCGCGAGGGTCGGGTAGTCCGCCTTGGGGGGTGCGTGGAGGAGCTTGAGGATCTCCTCGGGGAGCGTCTCGGCGATCCTAGGATTATCATCAGATGCACTGTTCGACTGGGAGTGGGAAGTGTGGGATGCGCACTGGTAGATCGTCGCGGAGCCGCCGGCAGTTTCGATACCGGCCTTCTCAGCCTCGGCCACTGAACGCCATAGATCGTGGGTCACGATTATACGCGAAAGGCTAGAGCGGGATACGCACGCTTCGCGATGTGGCCGTACATCGAGTAGATGACGATAGCAACGTTGGGAGCCATAGTGCCGTATGCGGATATTTACCGTATGTGTGAATGGGAAGAAAGAGCGAAGAACTGGCAGTTGGGATAGCTTCGAATTTTCAGATCGGGCCTATATATACGTTCGAGGAGTAAGGCCCAGCAATGCATCCTGTCATCCTGATTTGCCACCAGCTTAAACGGATTACACAATCGCCAGATCTCCTGTAGCGTATGGTCATTGGCGGGCGGCCCAACAGATCTTCCTCGTCCTTTCCAGAACGTCCGTCGGGAGCTCGGGAGGGGGCCTTGCAACCGCGCTCGGCGCGTGGGCAACGGGTCCTGATTTGTCTAATGTTTTACGCGGAGCGTCGAATGCTTATTTGAGGGCAAAAGGATTACTTGAGCAGGGGGTTATGACTGGGAAACGGTTACGAGGAGAGGTGTAATCTATTGCTGCGAGATGATGGTGGAATGCAGGGAAGGGTAGGGCGCCAGACAAGCGCGTTGTTCGACCCTTGCTTGCGCTTTACGACCACGAAGTTGGGTAGCGCTGACTGTCTCCTAAACGCGACATGTAACACTCACCCTCAAACCCCGAGGTGTACATTTACCGACACTCGAGACGCAACGGAACCGGTACATTCCCTGCACAAACGCCCAACACAGACATCCCCGATCCGTTCTGGACACCCAAGCGCCCACACCAACCGACGTGCCGCCGGCAACAGAGCAAGTTGCCGACACACGAGCGCCTATCGCCCTCGATCGCCACCTGTTCTTCATCTCGGTGTATCGAACCTCGCAGGCGTCTATATATGCACTTCGACTTTCTACCAGAAGTGGCCCGGGGTACTTGTGACTGGGGCCGGCACGTAAACGGGCCCCCGACGCGATGAGCAGGGGGCTCCGCCGAGCTGGCTTAATCTACATCCGCGATAGCGCGCGCGCACTCTAAAGGCTGCGCCGCGTTCGCTGAGGTCCTCAGCCGATTGTCTTTACCCGTCTTCCTGTCGATCTTGTCCTCCTTGATCCTATCTGCCGAACACGATGCTGAACGACGGACATGCTACCACGACGACGCAGGATGTGCTGAATGCCGCGACGGGCCCGACGTCGAATGCGACGAAGAAGGCGTTGTATGCTGAGCGGCCGACGGCGATCTTGCATCGGACGCCGTGGCGCCCGCCTGTGGCTAGTAAAGCGCAGGGAATGGAGATCACGCTTGAGGATGGGAGGGTGTTGCTTGATGCGGTGGGCGGTGCTGCGGTGGCGTGTATCGGGATGGGGAACGAGAGGGTAAAGCAGGCGATCAAGGATCAGGTCGACGAGTGTGCTTGTGAGTACTACATATGTAAATGATGGCGTGTCCGGAGTGCTGATCTTGCGCGCATCAGATGTGTACAGTATGCAGCTCTCGAATGAGCCCGCTGAGGAGCTTGCCAATCTGCTCGTCGAGCAAAGCAACGGCGCATTCGAGATGTGCGGTTTCTTCGCAGGTGGTACGTCTGCACTCACCGTTCATAATAGGTACTTGCTGAACCGATGATGATCAGGATCGGAGGCGATGGACGCCATGCTCAAACTGAGCCGTCAATTCTGGGTCGAACAAAAGCAGCCCCAACGCGTAAACTACATCTCCCGCGAACTCTCCTACCACGGCAACACTCTCGGCACGCTCCAAATAAGCGGGCACGTCACACGCCGCGCACCGTACAACGCCATTCTGAACCAGAACAACTTCCACAAGGTGTCCCCTGCGTACGCGAAGAGGTTCCAGCGTGAGGACGAGAGCGAGGAGCAGTATGTCGCTAGATTGGCGAAGGAGCTTGAGGATAAGATTCTCGAGTTGGGGAAGGAGACTGTCATTGGGTTCATCGCGGAGACGGTTGTGGGCGCTACGACGGGCGTTGTGGCGGCGCCGAAGGGGTACTTCGCCGCGATGAAGGCCGTGTGCGAGCGCTACGACATTCTGTTCTGTCTAGATGAGGTCATGTCAGGCATGGGCCGTGAGTTTCATCTCATAACGCTGCTAGAAAATGCCACGAACTCATTCATGAATAGGAATGGGCACGATGCACGCGTGGGAGAGTTTCGGCGACGGCGCGGCGCCGGACATGCAGGCCGTCGCGAAGGGCCTTGGTGGCGGCTACGCGACGATCGGTGCGGTCCTTATGGGCCCGAGAGTCACTCGCGGTATCCGCGACGGTGCCGGCTTCATGAAGCACGGCCACACCTAGTGAGTCTTCCTTATGCAGATCATCGATCCAACCTGCTGACATGCTACTCAGCCAGAGTCATCCGATCGCGTGCGCAGCGTCTCTGGCTGTCCAAAAAGAGATCGCCGAGGGCAACCTGCTCGCCAATGCGCGCGAGCAGGGCGCGTACTTTGGGGAGCTTCTCGAGAAGCGCCTCAAGGAGAGCAAAGCTGCGCCGTTCGTGTTTGACGTTCGGGGCGGTGGCGCTTTCTGGGGTGTCGAGTTTGACTTTGACTGTCCCGAGGGGAAGGGATACAAATTCAACCAACCATTTGCTATGGCGGCGCAGGCGCGCGCTCTGCAGAACGATCTCATCATCATCGGGATGACTGGTGGTGCCAGGTTGGACAACACGAAGGGTGACACGAGCATCTTTGCGCCGGCGTACAATGTCACGAGGGAGCAGGTGGAGAAAATTGTGGATGTGTACGTGAAGAGCGTGGAGGAGGTTCTGGCGGAGTCTGCCGTACAATAGAACGATGTAAAGCGTAGTGTAGGCGACGGGGTCACAAAGACTCAAAGGAAGTCATATGGAATCGCGCAGAATCGCGAAACTCACGTGGGCGCGTGGGAGCCTCGGGGCGCACGAGCCGGGCGGTGGTGGTGGTGCGCGGGCGGGCTGGGGCAGGATTTGAACGCGAACCACGACGAAGGGAGGCTTGCGTGCCAACGAGTGCGATGGCTTTCTGCTTGTTTTAGATTTTAGATGGACAACACTTCGCGCCCGGACAAGCCGTCGAACGCCGCGAATCCGACAACAACAGAACCAGAACCGTCGACCTCCGCCTCATCGTCCTCCAGCCGGACCCTCCGCTCGAGCGCGCGCGTCAAGGCAGCCAAGGACAAGGGAAAGCAGAAGGACGAGCCACCGCAAGAACCCCGACAGACCCGCGCCCAGGCGAACAAGCGCAAGGGAAAGCAGCCCGCAGAGGACAGGCCTGCGAAGAAGTCAGTATATTTATACGGTTATATTCCGATGCTGACGTATATCCCAGAGCGAAGCGAAGCAACGCAGGAATCACCATCAACGAACCGACAGCGGACCCCAAGGGCAAGAAGCGCGCGATCGCGACTGGCTCTGACGACGAGGAAGGAACCGAGCCCGAGCCGAAGCGGACAAAGTACGCTCTCCGATCATCCACCACGACGAGCACCATGCCCAAGAAGAACGTGACCAACCCAAACTCGCCCGCCAAGGCAAAGGTAGCCGCCGCCGCCAAAGGCAAACAGGCCGCGCCACCGCTGCCCGGGCCGTCGCGGCTCCGGGAGGAGGACGAGGAGGAGGACGGGGATCAGATGATGATGGGCGACGAGGAGAAGGTCGAGCAGGACGAGCACCACGACGACGCGGAGTTTGCCGGGGACGAGGAGCACGATGAGGACGAGGATGAGGACGAGGAGGGGAACGGGGGACCGGGCTCCGCGGCCGAGGCTGCGCGCGGGTTCGCCGGGCTGGACGCGGAGAGCGCGATGGCCATATTCTCCGATTTCCGGCAGCTGGGCTCGTACATGGTCTCGCTCTCGGGCAGGCTCAAGACGATGCTCCAGAACATCAAGCCGACGGCAGACCCCACCACGCGCCTGCTCACCCTCCAGGAGCTGTCCGAGCTGCTCTCCATCAGCACAGAGGACACGCTCGCAGGCAGCTTCCCCATCGACGAGTTTGTCCGCGCCCTCGTCCGCATCCTCGGAGGCACGGGCCGCACTCCCGAAGACGGCGAGGACGAGGACGGGGGCGAGCCCGACGAGCAGGACGAGGACGCGGCCCTTGCGGCCGCTCTGGCGCTTAGCAGTGGCAATCAGTACGCCGGCGATGACAACCTCGAGGCACAGGTCCTCGCCGCCCGCTGCCTCGCCAACCTCATGGAGGCCCTCCCCGGCATCGCTCAAACTGTATCCTATCACGGCGCTATTCCTGTTCTTTGCAGCAAGCTGACCGAGATCTCGTACATCGACTTGGCGGAGCAGACGCTCAGTGTAGGTCCATTGTTGATTATGCATCGTGTGACCCATCCTCAATGACATTCTTCTCACAGACGCTCGAGAAGATATCTGAGGAGGTCCCGGGACATATCGTCCGTGAGGGCGGTCTCGCCGCTCTTCTCACGTATCTCGACTTCTTCTCCATCGCCGTACAACGTACAGCCCTGCAGGCCGCCGCCAACTGTTGCCGCAACATCAGCTCCGACAACTTTGGCATGATATCGGCCGTATGGCCCATCATCCGGAACTGCCTCGGATACAGCGACCAGCGCCTCGTCGAGTTTGCCTGCCTTTGCGTCATCCGCACCATTGACAGCTATCGATCGTCGCCCGAGCATCTCGAGTCTCTGGTCGATGAGCCCCTGATCATCGCTGTCAACCAATTACTCCTTCCGGCAGGTGGTTCGCCTCTCATCGCGCAGGGCACCTTCACGCAGCTGCTTCGTGCGCTTGCAACCGCTGCTCGTACAAGTCCGCCCATCACCGTGGCACTGCTCGAGGCTGGCATCGTCGACACGCTCTACCAGATCCTCACCGGCGTCCTTCCAGCAAGCACTTCGAGCGAACGCACCGAGCAAGGCAGCTCTGCGGGCGGTCAAGGTCTTGGAGGTGGACTCGCGGACATGACGGTCATGCAGAACCTTGCGCACCGACCCAAGGACCAGGTCGAAGAGGCGCTCAGTCTCATTGCCGAGCTTTTGCCGCCGTTACCCAAGGACGGCGTCTTCGACCACAAATCGTACACCGAGAAGTCGCTCGCACGCGCTGTCAAGGCGAAGGCCAAAGCTGCTCGTCATGCAGCTCGCGAGGCCAACTTGGCAACGATCAACGCGCTCATGGGTCTTGGGCCGCCTATCTCCAGCAGCTCGGCCACTCCCTCTGGCGCACCGTCTGAGGCTGCTACGCCGCCGGCTGACGTCGACGAGGATGGCGGTCCGGTGCCTATTATGCCGGTGAAGGACGCACCTGCCGAGCGTCTTGCCGTGTTGAGGAATAAGTCGGCGGTCGTGGGAAGGTTCATGAGCCATATCGTGCCGATCTTGGTCGATGTCTATGCTGCGAGCGTCACGACGAGTATTCGGATGAAGACGCTTACTGGGCTGCTCAAGGCGGTCAGCTTCCTCGAGCCCGAAGGCGTCAAGCAAGTTCTTATGGTGAGTTCATTGTACCATCCCGCAGGACCCTGACTAATGATGATATTACGCAGAATGTGCCCGTCGCCGGCTTTGCCTCGTCGATCCTGTCTTCGAAAGACCACCCGTCGCTCGTGATCAGCGCCCTTCAACTCGTCGAGCTCCTCCTCAACAAGCAGCCTGCCGAGTACAAACCCGCTTTCCGCCGCGAGGGTGTCTTCCACGAGGTCGAGGTGCTCGCCCAACGTGCATTGATCGTGTCTAAGCTCAAGGAGAAGGAGAAAGACAAGGACGGCGCTGAGATCGAGACACCCCCGCCTGCTCCCACGCCCGGCAGCCAGATCCCCTCAACGTTGCCAGGGTACAAGAAGCTCACGCAGTTATCCATCGACCCTGAGGACGCTATCACGCTTCGCGCGAGGGCTATCAAGTTGCACCATCTCAGCGCATCACGCGAGAGTGAGGATGCGGATAGCCTGTTTGGCACTCTGCGTCGCATCGTGGCTCGTTTGGCTGTCCCTACCCTCAGCGAGAAGGACGCGACTACGGCTATGAACGAGCTCGCGGGCCTCTTTGCGCATGCCAGTACGAGCGTATCCTCATTCGAGCTACTCCAGAGCGGCGTTGTCGATGGTCTACTTGCTTTCGCCACAGACGATGACCGTACCCTCTCCGTCGAGCGCCGTCAAGCTATCCTTCTCACCGCATTCCGCGGCGAGCCCGGGCCCGAGTTCAACGAGACACCGCTCAGCGTCTTCGTCAAGAAACTTCAAGAATCGCTCACGCGCATGGAATCGTTCGACGTCGTGACCGTCTCGCCCGGCTCAGACGACTCAAAACGCGCATCGTCCCCGTCCCTCCTCGCGCGCCAGCTCCGCCTTCGTCTCGTAGCAGACGGCGCAGACGTGCCGAGAAATCTGAGCAATATCGTCGTGTCCATTCACGCCATCGCGACGTTCCAGGCGCTGCACGATTATCTGAGGCCGAGGGTCAGCGGGATGCTCGTTGGGAGCGGTGCGAGGCTGAGCGGGATGTTGGCTGCGCTGGCGGCTGCGAGGCCCGGTGCGAGCGGCTCGGGGAGTGCAGCCGCGAGCTCGAGTAGTGCGGTGTTACCGCCGCCGCCGCCCGAGGCTGGACCGTCGTCGTCAAGTGCTCCGCCACCGCCTCCAGCACCGACTCCGGCAAAGACTGCAAGGAGGCGCAGCTCGAGGCTGAGCGCGAAGAGCGCGCCGACGGACGAGAGCGGCGAAGAGGCTGCTGAGCCGGCTGAAGAGCCTGCGTCTGCGTCGACGTCTGCTGAGCCGGCTCCTGCTGCTGGACCGTCTGAGCCTGCTGCGTCTACTGCGCCGAGCGATACGGTCGTTGACGATCAGCCTGAGCGGGACTTTGAGGAGTTCACGGATGATGAGGTCGATGCGGAGGTGTTCGATGATGAGGTTGAGGAGGAGAGTGGCGTCACGGAGAAGACTGTCAATCTGTCTGTCGCCGATGGTACGTTGGTTGTTCGTTTATCTCAAGATTATTGCTCATATTGCTACGCAGATGGTTCGAAGGTCGAAGCTCAAACTCCCGACGGTACTCGTGTTGGTACACCCGCCGGCGCCGCCGCTCTCCGTGAGCCTCCATCAACACCCACACCATCCTCTCGTGCAGGCCCATCTTCCGGACTCGCATCTTCACCTTCCAAAGCCGGCGCCGGTGGCTCCTACGCTGCCGCGCTCAAAGCAAAGCCGCAAGACTGGCACCTCGAATTCTCAATGGACGAGCACGCGCTCCCGCTCGATCTTACCATCTACGGCGCGATCCACCAACACGAGCAGCGCAAAAAGGCTGCGGGCACCCCCTCGACGCCTGCACACTTGCTCTGGCAGGGCGTGTACACTGTCAAGTTCAAGAAGGTGCCGGGCCCTGCACCGCCGGAGGAGGCTGAGGTGTCTCGTGCGCGCTCGCCTACGCCCGCGCTTCCTGGCGATGCACCGCATGCGAAGATCTTGCGCTTGCTCCGCGTACTCAACAAGCTGTCGACGCACGAGGCCGAGCATGGTCGTGCCGTGCTGCCCGAATCTGCGTTCGTGAACAACAAGCTCACCGCCAAGCTCACGCGTCAACTCGAGGAGCCTATGATCGTCGCGAGCCAATGCCTTCCCGATTGGGCTCTCGACCTTCCCACGCGGTTCCCCTTCCTCTTCCCCTTCGCCACGAGGTACAGCTTCGTACAGAGCACCTCCTTCGGCTACGCGCGTCTCATCCTCAAATGGCAGAGCGCACAACAGCGCCAGGAGGGTAACGGCTCGAGGCGGGACGACGGCGTGGGCTTCCTTGGACGATTGCAGCGCCAGAAGGTTCGGATCAGCCGGAAGCACATCCTCGAGAGCGCGATGAAGGTGTTCGAGCTGTACGGGAGCTCGTCGTCGATCCTCGAAGTCGAGTACTTCGAGGAAGTCGGCACGGGTCTCGGTCCGACGCTCGAGTTCTACGCGCTCGTGAGCCGGGAGTTTGCGAGGCGGGATCTGAAGGTGTGGAGGGACGACGACTCGGATAAGCCCGGTGTGCACGTGTGGCACCCGCGCGGGCTGTTCCCCGCGCCTATCACGCCCGAAGAGCTCGCTGCGGACGGCGGCGCGAAGAAGACGCACATCGTGCGCGTTATCGGCCAGTTCGTCGCGAAGGCGCTCCTCGACTCGCGCATCATCGACGTGTCGTTCAATAAGGTGTTCCTGCGCCTCGCGCTGGGCCAGCATGTCCCGCTCACGATCGAGTACCTCAAGATGGTCGACGTCGAGCTCGCGCAGAGTCTGGAGAAGCTGAGGATCATGGCGGCGCAGGAGCCCCCGGCGCGAGATAAGCTCACGGGCCGTGTGGAGGATAGCGTGAAGATCGAGGATCTGGCGCTGGACTTTACGTTGCCGGGGTACGATATCGAGCTGAGGCCTGGCGGACGCGATGTCACGGTCACCAATGAGAACGTGGAGGAGTACATTCGGGACGTGATTGATGCGATTATTGGGGATGGGGCGAGGTTGCAGGCGAGAGCGTTCAGCGAGGGGTTCAGCAAGGTGTTCCCGATTGAGGATCTGAATGCGTTCACCATCGATGAGCTGGCGATGTTGTTTGGTAATGCGGAGGAGGATTGGAGTCCGGAGAGTACGTGTCTGCTTTTGGTTATGTTCGGTGTGTGTTGTGGCTGACGATGGTGCTGTAGCTTTGCAAGAGGCACTCAAAGCTGATCACGGGTTCAACGCCGACTCGCGCACGATCCGCAATCTCATTGAGATCATGGCGAGCTACGATGCGACGACGAGGAGACACTTCTTGCAGTTCATCACTGGAAGCCCGAAGCTGCCCATCGGCGGTAAGTCTTACGTCGTTCTCGTGCTCGCAACTCGAGGCTCATGTTATGTGCAGGCTTCCGCGGATTGAACCCAGCGCTCACTGTGGTGCGCAAGCCAAGCGAGGCTCCCCTCACAGCAGACGACTACTTGCCGAGCGTCATGACCTGCGTGAACTACCTCAAGCTACCCGATTACAGCGGGCGCGAGGTCATGGCCGAGCGCATGCGCGTGGCGATGCTCGAGGGCGTCGGCAGCTTCCATCTATCTTGAGCGTCATTCAACGTCAACCCGTATCCGTATCATGTTGTGCGAGTATTTGCTGGTATTTTGGACAGGAAGTGGTAGAATCGTGGTCTGCTTGAAACGTTTCTGAAGTTATTCGTGTGCTGGCTTCGGCTCGGAAGTTCTCGCCTTTTTTGTACTCGTATCGCATCGTATCGTTTCACGCTCATGCCCATGTAGAATGCTCATATCATGCATAATCAATATTCATCTTCGAATTCAAGAGTCCCCGGCGTGCCGGTTCGTGAGCCGGTCGATGAGACGTTGAACACCGTATTGTTACAACCCGTATTGTACGGCTTCTTCGGCAGTAACCCCAGTGCCCAGAGCCAGGTTATCTAATCACCACTCATACTGTACTTCTTCATCAGCAGGATGTTCGGGCCCGATATCCATACAAGCTTCCACCTCGCCCTCTCCGATGTTGAGTCTTGCATCATAGGTCTCAAACCCAGTGTATTCGACCGCCAAGCCAGGAATGCGGAGGAAACAGGGCTCTAAAAGCCGCGCCGCGCCGGAGCAAGAGGCAAGGCGCAAAATGTGTATGCCTGCCCCCAGTTGCGCGCGTCGGTGCAAAAACTGTAGAAGCTTGCGGTAGAAGACGGTCCCCATGAACTCCACGCCCATTCGGACACGTTTAAGTGTCAGCTTGTTCAAGGAGGGCAGGTATACTGCATCGTCACGGTTGTCTGCTCGCGGCGTGGCGAGCAGTCGGCAAAGCGCGGGGATGTTCTCATTGCCATATTGAGACCTGCATACGCGTAGTGTATGCAGGCGTCGAGCGCGTGCGAGGATGTTGTGCCAAGTGAGTCTCCCCCAGCTGTTGTCGCTGTAATATTGGTTCTCCAGGGAGATGGATAAGGATCGTAGGTTTTCGAGTGGAAGTGCACCAACGATGAGTGCCATCCTATCCGGGGCTACCCTGAAATCGAGTATGACGGATAAGTTGGGCGAATTGATGGAGCGGGAAGGTGGACCGAATGGGCTGGAGCGATTCTCGGGTACTGGTCGACCGTAATCATCGTGTTCGGTCTGCATGGACTGCCTATATGCGTATATCTCGATGCCATCTCTGGTAGGAGTGGTGTAGGCGGTGTGTACAGGCGACCGATACATTCTCAGGAATGTGGCCAGTCTCTCTGCATGGCTGTCCGTCATGGGGGCGTCGCGAGCTGAGTAAGTGAGCTTTATATGTAGCTCAGTAAGGTGAGGTGCCTCGATAACTTCAAGGGTATCCAGACATGAATCCGCCGCGCAACACATAGTGAGATCGCTCAATCGAGGAAGGCGAACTTTGTGTAAAGGATCTTCATGATGTGGTCGCGGTAGGAGGCAGTCCCTGAACTCTAGACATTCTAGGGATGGCGATGCGCGAAGGCAATTAACGATGTCCGTGAAACTCTCCGTGAATGATCCACCGTCCTCGAGCCACGATAGATCGACCTTCAGACTACGCAGGTTGGGCCAAACGGCGGGTTTCCATAACAGGTCGAAGTTCACAATGTTTAGGTCCCTCAAGCGAGCTGCGTTGTGGATGATGGCTGGAACCGAAGGGGGGCCAGACTCAGGACGTTCGCACCCCACCAAAATGGCCTCTTGTAGCTCTGGGGCCGGGCATGCGAGAAGACGGGTCAGGGCGTCCGAGTCTGTGGGGCAAGCCGTCTTGACGGAGAGATGTTGTAATGTAATCATATGGGGCTGTAGTACGTCCGCCAGGTGATCCTGTGACAGAAACTCCAGATGCAGACCGTGTATGGTCCCCTTGGAGCGCTTTAGCATTTCCTCGGTCCACGAAAACCCGAGCTGGGTGTTGATGTTTGTCCACAGCGCCTGGCACCCTATCGCAAGGTCGCGAAAGGTCTTGCAGACATGTGTATGCGCCACCCAGCTCTTGGATAGGCTTATGATTGAGCATGTAGGATGAAATCCGGAGCACTCTTGCATGATGCGGAGAAGGAGCTCTGGTGGTAGACGGAAGATGGGAAGAAGTCTGTTTCTGCGATATCTCAGAGCAGATACAGCGTTCATTGCGGCGTTGATCTCGACGTCGAACGCCTGAATAGAAGATCCGTCCCCAGTGCCCTGCGTTGAGTCTACTCTCGTGAGCCTGGTCTCGTAGCAACGCGACCAGAACTCTTGAGCATCATCGGTGCTAAGAAACTTAAGAACCAGATCAAATGGCTCATATATCTTCTATGCATACCTATGCATGCCTGCACGTGCTATGCGTGGGACCTGTGATTCGTCCATCTTACAGTAGCAGTGATGGTCAGAAGACAAACGCTGTTCACGCGCCGCCGCCAGAACGCGTTCTCCCAGTGAGACTCTCACGTCGCGTGTCTGTGCCGTTTGCCTCCTACGCCCAGCACTGGTGTTGCTCTAACGAATATTGACCCATCGGTAGCAACTAAACAAATTGATAGTGTCTCTACTATGGCCAGTAGCTCGCAACCACGCCCATCGCAGCCGTTTCGGTCACAAGCAGGGCCCTCAAACGCTCGCGCCACAGCTCCGAATCCTACTGGGCCGTTGCCTCCAGACTCTATGACGAACATACTACTCGATCCTCTAAATAAACTCGGCGCACTATCTCAGGTTCTCTTCCAGTCTTTATCTCCTCCGCAGACGAAACCACCGAACCCGCCGCCTCTGAACGCTTTCTCGGACTGCGATGCTGCGTTGGCTGCTGCATTGGAACTCGCGCGCACACATCAGGTCAAGCAAAGGAAGATAGAGACACTCAAGGACGAGGTTGTCGAGCTTGAGATGAAGTGGCGAGAAGTGTTGGAGAAGTTGGAGACTGGACGCCGAGAGCTGGAGGTGATTGTGGATGAGGGCCAGGAGCGTATCAAGACTATCGAGCGAGCTAAAGAAGGTACTTCATACCGCTATTTCTACGCTTCTCACCGTTCATATTCTCTATTAGCTGCCGTACCGTACCCGGATCTACTATCATACGCTCAACAGATATCCTCATTCACGTCTGCGCCACCCAATCTGCCCAAGACCGAGCAACCCAGCATGTTGCACCAACTCAGGTTCCGTCCGCCCTTCCCCAACGAGGCCGATATGCAAAGAGGTCATCTATACAACGAAGCACCACTTGGGCCGTTGGGCGAAACGCATCCTGTTGCACAACAACGTGAGTGGCGCAGCGTTCTTCAGTTGTCAACTCATCTGACCGTTCTTTCATCTTCAGCCCGAGAACCAACGCCACCCCCTGCCGAACGCGATGGTCGGCGTGGACGGGCTGCAGATTATCGACCTTTGGACAATCGTCCTCACCCACAAACCTTCGATCTCGACTTGGATCTCAATCCAGATCTATGATTGTTTTCGCGCAATGTTATACATCTCGGCTCGTGTAGTTACCACTTTGTATTCAGACGTAATAACAATTCGTGTATCTGGACGTCGAAGAGAGTACAACTATTTACAAGTGCGACGATTCGAAAGCTGGACGTGTAACTGGACAGCAAGAAAATGCAAGAGCGTGTACAGGTGCGACAGCGAATTCCACAAGAGCATAATAGGGGTATGAGTGCATGATGAGAGATGGGAAAGTGGGAAGCTATCGTCTGAGTACGGTAACCGTCGACACCGACACTGTCCTGGATTCTGGCTTCTTGGTTGTGGTGCTCGAGACAACAGTGGTACCCTCGACAGCCGGCCGGCCTTCAAGTAACCTCCGCAATCGTCCTGCGACCTTCGAAGAAGTGACGGGAGCGGAATCACCCCACGGGTATTGGCGCGCGTACTCCTCAAGCTGCTTCGCGAAGCCGATATTTGGTCGCACGACCGTGCGTTGATTGCGAGTGAACGTGACCGCTTCCCGGGCAGACATCTTGTGGTGTGAGATAAGATAGGCGCAAACGACTGTGGCACTGCGGCTCACGCCCATCATGCAATGTACCTATTCGAACCAAGTCTCGTGAGCATATTGCCGTTCGAACAGAAGTTATCGCCACACACCAGTACTTTGTTGCTCTTACTTTCCTCAAGTGCATTATGTATGAACTCCGTAGTCTTTGGCAGATGCGAAAGAATATCCGTGTCGAAGCGGTCGGCCAAATGGATGTGCAGGCGTGTGATGTTCGATTTGGGCGGGAGAAGTTCAGGCTCCCAATCGAGTAGGGAGACAATGTGCGTGATCCCGATCCGAGTGAGCGTATCGTAGTCGGACGCCGTCGCGAGGTCGGAAAGGTAAAGTCTGGGTAGGATCTGGCTGGCGTAATTTCCTGCGGCGAACATGGGTCGTCGAGCAACGAGCTTTCCGATGAGGTCTACTTTGGCTTGGTAATTCGGGTCGTCTATGGCAGTGGCGAACGAAAGCATAACGGATGCCAGTGCCAGCTTATATATCGCCGGAAGTAAGATCCGTGCGAGTCACTTTCATAGAGCGCGCATAGGTAATTGTGGTTGAGAACAAGTGTGGGTGGAAGCGAGCGCAGTATTGCGTGCCGGACATAGCGTGCCTGTGATGCACTGCCTTTTGCCTCCGAACCACCACAGGTCGTGCCACCCGTCTTTCTCCCGACCGGTTCTTTCGACCATTCCAACTTTCCTACCTGTGCTCCTGTACTCGAGAAGCCTGGAGTTCCTTTCAAGGGCTGGTTGAGAACATTCATGTCGTACAATCCGCAGCTTGCCCAGACTGCCCAGCCGCATCAACCCTCCAAACCCGGGCCCGGTTCGCGCGCTAAACTCATCGCGGAATCTGCCATTGCTGCTGTGGTACAGGGCGTGATATGGTAAGCTCCGCCCGGGTACTTCAACTCAACTTGTAGTCCCTGAGTATGTGAGCTAGGTACGGATGGTATGTATCTGTGCTCGAGATAGGAGGTCTGTTCTTGCGCCACAGCTACAAGAAAGGGAATCTCACTCTACGTAGTCGGATGGCTGCTACGCAAGGAACGTCGGCCGCTTGATGCTGGTACGTCGCCCCATTGCTGCTCAGATGCATGCTGTTCCATCTCATACGCACGAAGAGTAGCGATATACGGTCTTTCAATGTCAATCTTGATGCCGTTCATCTCGTGGACCCATCTCTACCTATGCTCTGGGCGTGCCACGCATAGCACCCCTCATTACAGCGCCCCGCTACCTTACTCGGTCGACGTACCACACGAATCTGGACCAGATGGACAAATGGAGTTTTGCCGCAAAGGCAGGTGTAATGGGCGCTGGAAACCTCCCGGCACTCACCATTGCTCAACTTGCGGCACCTGTCGAATGGGCTTCGACCATCATTGCCCTTGGGTACATTCAGCGCCTATATGATGTATCTGTCAGAGTACTGACATGAAGTAGCTAGGAAACTGCGTCTCGATCTCGCGCATGAAAGCCTTTCTAGCGCTGCTTTACTTCACGGCACTGATGGTACCTCTGGCAATATGGCCCATTCGAAAGAAGATCGTGCAGCACGTATCACACGCCCTCTTTGTATCTCATGAAGATCCTTGGGCGCGGCAATACTGGTGGGATCAATGGTACTCTTGGATCTTCATAGGGGGACCACCTGGACGCTGGTTTGTGGGGGCGATACTCGGATTCAGAGCAAGCAAGAGATACTCAAAGAATATCGGCATGTTCGAAGGGAGTCCAATAGATGGATCGTTCATCGAAGAACCGCACGCCCGGTTAGTCATTATTGCAGCGGCAGGGTCGCTTCTGGGTGCATTTGCCTTCGTAAGTGCATGTACCGGAATCTACCGTTGGGCGTGCTCTGAACAGATACAGGTCATGGCGATCGTGACTACGCGGGACCTTCTCAAAGGGCAGACCGCTCTCGACTCGATCCGCGCTCGTGTGCGTAAAGGTCCTCGTTACGGGAAGTTCGTCACCATACCCGGCCAGACATCGCCTCAGAATAGAGGTGCGGCGTCCGGAGTGGACGTGATTGCACCGCAGTGCATTCCTCCATCTAGCCCTCTCGCGCCGCGGACATATCAAATTCCCATGAACGAGCGCCTATACGATCTGGGGTGGAAAGAGAATTGGCGACGAGTGTGGAGGTCGCCTCTATTTCCTTCTTCCTCTGTGCAGCCATTGTACGTATAACTGTAAAGTTCACATCAAAGTCATCCCAGCTTACGCGTTTCCCCAGGCAGCAGACTTACCCTTGGCCCAAGTTGAACACTGTGGTCTTGAAGCGCATACAGACTGGAGCATATCCTCAAGCGTCGTAGTCATTGGACATTGGACATTGCAACCGGACATATCATGACATAGAACACATTGGTGCTTGATTAGATCACATCATACATATATATTGAAGAGTATACTCCTGCTACAAAGTGCTCGCAAAAGGAGAAGTTCGAGTTGGGGCTCGCCCTGTGGCGCCTGCGGGCCGATTGAGCCGACTAAACGCGACGTGTTGTGCACGCTTCGCAGCTTGTCCAAGACTTGCATGGCTTCTTGAGCGTTTCAATCTACGCTTCGAAATACCTGAACGCTTCATGCCTGGTGCAGACCCTGAAACAGATCCCTGGCATGATGCTGAATGGGAGTACGTACCTCGAGGCTCACGGGCAGACTCGTCCCTAAACGCATCGCGCATCTAGCACGGAGGACGAAGCAGCGCCGTTACCCAGAAAGTCAACCACGTACCCACCAAGTCGACGCGACGCGGAACAATATGAGCTGCCAGAGAACCTAGATGAATGGGCCGTCACCCATCGGAGAAGATGGAGGCGCCATAGGTTGAAGGACGGCGAGACGATAGACTGGTGGTCTGAGGATACGGCCGAGCGCGAGCGCTGGAGACAGGTCATGTCCGGGCGCGGCTTGCGAGGCGTTGTAGCGCCATTTTGGGACGCCTCGAAGGTCTGGCTTGTGGTGATCTTCACGGGCATAGGAGTGGGCGTTGCAGGAGGATGGCTGGACGTGTTGGTACAGTGGTATGCCGCGCTGTGGGAATCATCGCTGGTTATATGCTTACAGCATCATAGGCTGAGTGACTTGAGAGAGGGCCGTTGCGCATATGGCTTTTTCTACAACTCAGTTGCCTGCTGTAGTGGACTGGATCGTGAGTCGTTGCGCGCAATGACTACGTGATGTATGCTAACACTATGAGCTAGCCGGAGAAGTATGCCGGGAATGGAAGACATGGAGCCAATATCTGGGCATACATTCACTACTTGGTTCCTCATTACTCCAATCACTCATCTACATCGGCCTTTCGGTATGAACGAGCCTTTTCGTGTAGTGTTGACAGCTAACTCTAGATAGGTTGCGTTGGCCGCTAGCTCGGCTGTGCTGGTTGTAATCTACGCACCACAGTACGCATTACACCCGTCATGGCCATGTATACACTCACATACTGGACAGTGCCTTCCACACAGGAAGTGAGAACCAGCCTTACCTACCGCTCGCCCTCCTGACTGACATTAATCGCAGTTCCGGAGATCAAAGCCGTACGCCGAACCACGTTGCTAGAGACGCTTTCTCTCATGATGCACTCAGATCCTTGGCGGCTACGTCTTTGACTCCTTCTTGGGTCCTTGGACTCTCCTCATCAAGGCGCTGGGTCTGGCGTTGTCCGTCGCGTCTGGTCTATCACTCGGGAAAGAGGTATGGTCTTTAATCGAGCTGGTGTAGAGGTCCGGTGCTGACTATGTGTAGGGACCTCTGGTTCACGTCTCGTGCTGTTTGGCATACCTACTATCTCGACTGTTCGTGCAGTTCAGAACCAATGAAGCCCAGAAGAGGCGTGTGCTAGCTGCTGCCGCCGCCGCGGGTGTTTCCGTAGCATTCGGTAGCCCTCTTGGTGGCGTGCTGTTTGGTTTGGAAGGTATGCTCTGCTGTATCTTCGTTTGTGTATCTATTCCTGAACGTCGCTCAGAGCTCGACACCTTCGCGAACGAGTCGGACGTCATGTGGCGCGCCTTTGTCACGTCTTCAATCGCGGCTATGATGCTTCAGTACATCGATCCCTTTGGAACGTCTAAGCTTGTGCTCTTCCAAGTTACCAATGGTGGCGGAGAAGGTGCATGGCTTGCGTTCGAGCTCGTGAGTATCTCAACATGCCTCGATCACAGATGAACTGATCGACTGTCTAGATCCCTTGGCTCTTCCTAGCTGTTATTGGCGGGTTCCTAGGTCATCTGCTACTCAGACTGAACGTCGCGATCGCTGTTTACCGCAAGAATAGTGTCTTGAGCGAGATGCCGATCATGGAGGTCGTCGGCACGGCGGCGATCACCGCCGCTGTCAGTTACCTTGTCGTCTTCCTAAGGTGCGATGATCTCTATGTTGAACTTCTGTCACGGTTCTGAATGGGTCATGGGCAGAGTGCAATCCTCGGAACTCGTTGCCAACCTCTTTCAAGAGTGCGATCCCGCACGCGGGGACTTCCATGGACTGTGCAATCCGTCGGCTATGTGGGAGAATGTGTTCTTGCTCCTGCTTACTGCGGTCGTCAAGATCGCGTTCACTGCATGGACGTTCGGTATGATGGTGAGCTCCAGATCTTGCAGACCCACGACGGACACTGAACGTGCGACCAGGTTCCAGCTGGCATCTTTCTCCCAACCATCGCGATCGGCGCCTGCCTGGGACGGGCCGTGGGCATGCTCACGTTCGTCTTGGTGTTTAATGTTGGAGAGCTCTATACTGACTTACGCGCAGGGCTGGACTGCAACGCGCGTACCCGAAGGCGTGGATCTTCGCAGCGTGTCCGCCCGACCCTACAGTCCGTTGCGTCTACCCTGGTTTCTACGCCGTCATAGGTGCATCAGCCATGCTCAGTGGTGTAACTCGTATGACAGGTTCGTGCATCGTTCAACCAGCTCATCCACGTCTGCTTATGCCCCCACCAGTCTCGCTCGTCATCATCGTCTTCGAGCTCACAGGTGCCCTCTCACACGTCCTTCCGATCATGATCGCCGTCATGGCGGCGAAATGGACCGCCGACGCGTTCGGCAAGGAGGGCATATACTCGCTGTGGATAGCTATGCGCCGGTACCCGTGGCTCCAGCCGGTCGACTTCCGTGACAATGGAGAGACAGCGGCACAGTTCATGATTCCCGTTGCGAATCTTGTTGTCGTGGAGGACGGAGTGACGCTGGAGGAGATGGGAAGGCTTATTGTGACTTGGTCGCATACTGGGTTCCCGGTTGTGAATAGCGAGAAGAAGTTGGTTGGGTTTGTAGTGCGCGAGAACGTGCGCGAGTTCATTGGTACGCTCTTCTCATGTCCCTAGGGCCCACTCGCTCATACACCCCGACAGAACCGATACTAGAGGAAGAGGGCTCAGCCCAACGCAGATGCTCCTTCTCGCCTTCGGCGCCTGAGGGCAGCATAGACATGTCTTTACTACTGGAAGACGTGATGTGCCTACGGAAGGACGTCCCGCTCGAGGTCGTCGTGAACACGCTGAACAAGCTCAGTCTGCGACATATCATGTTCACGGAGGGCGGAGAGCTGGTGGGCATGTTGACCAAGACGGATATCATCGCGTTGACGACGGCGCACATGCCTGAGGCGGGTGCGCTAGCTCGAGACGCTGTACCTAGCTAGCGGACTATGATGTGTATGTGTGTAGTTTGGCGTGTCATGTCATTTCTGAATTCCATTTACTGTTAGGGTATCCAATCTCGTGCTAGTCTGTGCTTCAAGCCTTCTTCGCAGCCGCCTCCGCCTTAAGCTTCGCAACCAACTCCTTCACCATCGGCGCATCCTTCACCCACTCCTTATACGTCTTAACACCAGGGTAGATCGAGCGCGTCTGCTCGGCATCCTGCGCAGATGTTTAGCGACCCCGCCAAGGCTTTCTAGAAGTGTGAAACGCGTACCCTCACGCCCGAGTCGGGGCCGGCGCGGATGACATACTCCCAGGACAGGTACATGAGCTCCGCTGCAGGGTGCGGCGCGTGGCGCGACGCCTCGAACTGCTCGCGCGTGAGCTCGAGCGCGAGGCTGGCTTTCTCGCCGGTGACCTCGGAGAACTGGGTCGCGAGGTCGCGCAACGAGAGGAACTCTGTGACGGTCTTGATGCGCACGCCTACAGCCTTGGTCAGACGACTTGCGACTGTAAGAGGTCTTGACTTGGCATACCATTGTACTTTGCGGGGTCCTTGAAAGCAGGAACGACGAGCCCTCCAGAGTCCTCGACGCTGAACGCAAAGATCGGTACATCCGGCAAGAACGGCACGCTCCAGTTGAACCCCTTCTCCTCGTCGTACGCCGGCGCAAAGAAACTGGTCCAGAAGTTCTGGTAGTACATCGGGACGTGGAAGTATGTCACGTAGGGAATCCCCTTCGTCACGATGTAGTCCTCGATGAGCGACTTGCTGCGCCAGCTGATGGCGCCACACTCGCCCTCGCGGCCCTCGACGGTCGACCAGACGAGATGCTGCACGCCCGCGGCTTTGGCGGCGTCGGCGATGTTCTTGCCGTGCGCTTGCTCGGCGTCGAAGCCGTGCTCGTAGAACTGGGTTAGACCGAAGACGCCGTGGGCGCCTTCGAAGGCTTTGGTTGTTTGGTCGAGCGAGGCGAGGTCGGCTTGGACGACTTCGACACCGCGCGAGGCGAGGGCCTTGGCGGCGGGGGAAGAGGCGTTACGCGTTACGGCGCGTACGGTGAAGGTCTCGGGGTCCTTGAGCAAGAACTCGACGACAGATGAGCCTTGTCTAGATAGACATGTACAATCGGTATCTGCACCCACAAACAGCAGAACAACACTTACTGGCCAGTAGCGCCAGTAACAGCGATGAGCTTGCGAGATCCAGACATGGTGGTGCGACGAAGAGCTTAGTCCCGTCTAGCAGCATTATGCGCCCAGTCGATCCTATACAAATGCCGTCTAGTTGCTACGCGGCGCCGCAGAAGAGTTTATCAAAGTTCGGATTGGAACTGGGCTGCATGCAGACGGGAGAGAATGAGCGTTTCGAGAAAGGCGGGGCGAGCCCGGAGGCGCGGCGTCGGCCCGGCTTTCTCGGTGCCGGTGCTGCCTCGTGTTGCTGGATTATGGCACGCGTGGATCGGGGATTGGTACGTGACCACGACCACCCTGCGTACGAGTCTTCTCCCGATATTGTGCTGCTATGCTTCTGCGTACAATTGCTCGTGTATCAGATATCATTATGAGCGTCGCATGCGGGTATAGGAATCATGCATGGGATGGGTTGGCTACCGGCTTCAAGCTTGCCCGGTTGGTACGTATGCTGTTCAATTTGCAACTCCCCTCCACCAGCTCCAGGCTCAGGACGTCTGGGTCTGGAACGCCATGATTTGCGCTTTGCTCGTGGGCGCCGGACACGAACCAAAGATGCTTCGCGATTTGTTGACCCAAGATTAACGAGAACTGGTGCCACAGCGAGTTGACAGCTCAACTTCCGTCCGCTAACATCCTATGATACTCCAGCGGAAAGTCAGCGGCAGCAAAACAAACATACACCTAGTACAGCTAACCCTAAAAAGCTGCTCTCCGCCTAGCTACAAAACCACTCATCCGGAACACTATCTGACACGATGCCGTCAGCCCGACTCGCACCCGCCCCTCGTTTCCTCCAGGCTTTGTGCGCGGATGTTGCCACGGATCAGCGCCTCCCCCAACGCTCCTACAGATCTGGCCGTACACCAAGAGATTTGCTGCATACTGCGCGGCGGGCGGGCCTTCGATCTGGACGATGTTAGAAACGGCCGCGCGCGCGGTGCTTATAGGAAATTGGAGTTGCGAGGGATGAGGATCGGCTCGGTATAAGTGTCTGGACGACGGCATGGACGGCCGTTACCGTTTTCCTTCCACTTCTTCACCGGCACCCCTCGTCAAGCTTGAAAGCTAAAGGCTCGATCCAGCCTTAAGCTTTAAGACTCGGGACTACGGCGTAGTTCTTTCGCTTCCGGCTGTCATGTCCAGTATCCCAGCGCTCAACCTCGCGGGCGCGATCGCCGTCGCGGGGAACAACACCGCGCTGCAAGAACAGCTCGTGACGGGCTTCAAACTCACGCATGTGTTGCAGGTGTACACCAGCGCCACGGTACGTCCCCCTCCTTACTCAACAGTCCAGATAGATCGAGAGCTTAGCTGACGTGGACCCAAGATGGCGGTAGCGGTATGGGACTGGCTCGTGTGCCTGGGCAGTGCGTAAATATTCGTCGCGGCTTTGAGCTTCATACTTCGCGGACGCTGACGCGCCGGTTAGTGGAATACGATCGGATATGGAAGCGGGCGTGGACCCCGGTCAAGTTCTTGTACATCTGGACGCGGTACTATGGGCTGGCGTGCTTCGCGGTGAACTTGTGGTTGTTCAACGATAACTTCACTACGGAGCGGTGCAAGACGCTGTGCGTCTTCCTCACTTGGTCTCTATGCTTCTTCTAGTCACTCATACGTTGTCTGTGCAGACACTACTTGATCGCAGCGTCATGTATGTGGGTGACACTGGGCTCAGACGCCATCCTCGCCGTCAGGACATACGCCTTCCTTCTCCAAGACAGGAAGGTCATCATCGCTCTCGGTGTGCTCCTCCTAGGAGAGTGCGCGTACCTGCTCTACGTATCTATCGCGGGCGTGTTCCAAGTCCCCATTCTCATCGGCACGGAGGGTCCCTGTACAGCGTCGGATTTCCCTGGGAAGCACGTCGGTAGGTCAACTTCAAGGTCATAGCGTTCTTCAGAGGGCGTGGCTGACAAAAGTCGCGTAGTGTCCGGATTCTGGCTCGCGCCTGTGGCGTTCAACCTCATCTGCACGGGCCTAACGCTCCTGAAAGTCATCCAGATGCGCCGCCTCTCGTCCATGCCGATCATCGCGACGTTCATCCGCGAGGGCATCTTCTACTTCATCGCCGTATCCGCCGTAAACGTCCTGAACGTGCGTTCCTCACCCCTGCCTTCTTTCATCGCTGCAGACAGATGATCTGACCGCTGCTGCGTATAGGCGGCCTTCATGTTCCAATCCAACGCGAACATCCAAAACATCAACGCCCTCCTCGCGCTCATCCTCACGCAGGTCCTCTGCTGCCGCATGGTCCTCAACCTCCGCAAACCCGCCTCGCAGCTCGAGACGAACACCTTCAGCGGGCGCTCCGGCCATCACCAAGCGCCGAATGGGAACGCGCGCTCGGCGGCGCACGGCAACAGCCGCGTCGCGATCCCGCTCAACACGCTCACGAGCGCCACGCACTACGACTTTTCGAACCAGGTGAAGGTGCAGGTTGATGTGGAGCGGGATCAGGAGGAGAGTCGGCCGGAGAAGTGGAGTGGGCATGGGGGTGTTTGAGTCTGACTCTTTGGGAGGATGTGGTGGTGGTGCATACCCTGGCCCTGGATCGTGGTGTTGGTCGGAGGTCGTTTCGCGTTGGGATATACATACATGTTTTTGCTGATTGTTATCGTTGTCGGTTATATGATACACGCTGTGCGCCTGGATAGGCATTAGTACCATTCACCTCTTGCTCTCCATACATGATCAATCACTTTTTGAAGCGCGCAGCGACAGGATGAGATCGCACACAAAACAAGAATGAACTGGTATTGCCTCTAAAAGCACTCGTGCCGTATGTATACTCCAAAAATAGATCGTGTCGATAGCTCTTCCTATGTATGTGCGGGTGTGTAATAATGGTATACAAAGATCCTCTATGAAGCAGCCATAATCGCCTGCGTCTTCGTACTCGCCTCGGCCATCGCCAACTCGAACGCCCTAAGATGCTCCTCAACAACCTTCCGCCCATTAATCCTACTCGCCGGATCCTCCTCCCACCTCTCGATCTTCAGCCTGCTCCGCTCAGCACTGTCCCAGTCCGTCCGCCAACCCCCGAGCTTGTTCTTCAGCGCGCGGATCTTGCGGCCCGCGTCGGCCGTCGCTGCGCCGTTCACTTGGGCGTGCTCGGAGATGACGACGAGGGAGGAGACGAGGGAGGTGGTGCTTGTGCGTAGGTGGGCGAGTTGCGGGACGGCTTTGGCTGGTGTTACGGGGCCTGAGATGGACGGTGGGGGCGGGACGGAGAAGGAGTCTTTGATGGGTGTCGCCTGCGCATCCTCTACGTCCTCCTCTTCTCGCAGATGCCGGTCCGGATCGACCTCCCAGTCGTCCGCATCTTCCGATATACCCGACAGAGGACGTCGTGACGCAGCAGGTGCAGCCGTCGACGTGGGAGCAGCAGCCACCTCATCCGCCAGCCCATCGACGCCCTCGATAGCGGGCAACCCCGCAAGCGCATCCGCCGATATCTTCCTAAACTCCCTCTCATACTCCAACAGCTCCCTAACCTGGCCCTCCCTATCCCGCGCACTCTCATCGATCTTCCTGATCCACTCCAGCGCCAACCGCTCCAGCGCCGGCTGGCTCACGCTCTCCGCGTCCAGCCGCCTAAGATCGGCCAGGAACTTGTCCGTCGTCTCCAGATCGCCGCTCAGCACGGCCATCGCGTCCTGCTCCGCCCGTCTCGGGCTGCGCAGCGCCGACGACGACGCGGGCGGCTCGGCGCCGCCGAACGCCGGATCGAGCGGTTCTTCGTCGAACTCCGAGTCGAGCCCGGACGTGTTCGTGCTGTCGAGCCCGGCGGGGGAATGGTCCACGCCAAAGGCGTGCGGGTCGAGCTCGGCAGCGAGCGACGCGCCCGGGTCCAGCGGCGCGCCCTCCTCGTCTGCCCTGGGCCCGTCCGCGTCGATGCCCTCGGCGCCCTCATCGTACTCGATCCCGAACTCCTCGGATAATAATTTAGAGCCCGCGCTCGGCTCGGGCATCAGCGCCGCCGCGAGCTCGTGAGCCAATGAAAAGCGCGAGCCGCCGTCGTCGTCCATCGTCTGGGATAGGCTCGCGCCGCGCAGGGACTGCGAGGACCGATTCGATTTGAGCGTGGGGGGCTGGCGGCGCGGCGAGCTGGTGCCGGCGTTGAGGTAGCGCGAGGAGGACGATGTGCCGTAGACGTCGTCTGCTGGGGCGCGCAGGTGGGAGGACATGGCACTGGGCTGGTGGGTAGGAGGTGTTGGGAGATGGGTGGCAGAGCCGAGCTGGCTCGACGCGTCGAGCGCCCACCGTAACTCGGGTAACGCTATTACGAGCTACCACGTGTAGTTCGCGTCCGTGCCACGCTCGCTCATCGTGAGATCAGAGATGGTGCTACATACAAAGGTTACATAGATGATTGATATAACAAAGGCCTGTGGTATTGATACATTGGGTACGAACGACGCTTCTTCCAGAAAATCCCGGGGATAATAATGTGCACAACTTTACAGCCAAACGCCCTCCATCTTCTCAATCTTCTCACGTCGCCTTTGCCTTCGGTGGGTTACGTTTGGGCACCTCCTGTTGGTAGAAGTGGGCCATGATACCCTCCGTATGCGTCATCGTCAAGTTGAAGATCGGATGTGTCGCGTTCTACAGTCGAAGTAATCAGCATTACGCTCGGCGAGCAACGGTGGAGGTCTACGCACGACGCGATTCGAAGCGGGCCCGACGATCAGAGATGAACCTTCTTCTTCAGACCAGCAGAGCGCCTCGGCAAATGCGGTCTTGCTCAGAGGTGCCTTGTCTGACTCTGTCGTGTCGCAATCAATATCACAGTAAGGTCAAGATCAGTAAAGCGCCCACCCTCCGTGTCCTTCCAGATCGCGTGCACCTCAGCTCGGCGCGAAGAAGACTGAACGAGCCGGTGTTGCGCAGCTGAGAGTCCTGAGAGACAATAAAGCGTATGATACGCATCCGGATGCCTATAGCCCCAGTCAGATCACAGTCAACGAGTGTACGGAGTGAGTCTTACTTCGGTGGCTTGTCGCGAAGCCCGCCCGCAGGGTGTTGACCCGTAAAAAGGATATACTCCTGCAACGCCTTACGATTGAACAACGAATCGTCCGCATCGTCCCACCCCTCCTCCGCCTCCTCCGCCTCCCGATGCTCAACCCCCTCCCCCTCCTTCTCCCTCCCCCCAGCCGTCACCACACCCAAACTCTCCAACAAATCAAACACCCCACCGCACCACCACGAATAGCACCCATCAACCAGCTTATTCGTCCGCCCCCTAAACCCGCCCACCTCGATCTCCGCCCCCTGCATACCCACCGCCCACCGCGCCAGCCTCTTCAGATCGACCTTCGGCTCCTTATCCTCCTTCCCTAAAAACGGCCTGAGCAGCACCCACGACGCCAGCGCGCAATACGTGTACCCCCCGTGCGCCTCGCCCAGACTCGGCCGCGGGTTCGGCAGGCACTGCAGCGGGTCCTCGGGCGCCGCCTGCGCGGCGTAGTAGGGGTGCGAGGCGGACGCGAAGCCGCCCTCGTAGGTCTGGCACGAGGCGATGAATGCTGCTGTGCCGGAGATGAGGGCGGGGGTGAGGATGTTGAGGAGGATGGACGTGACGAGGAGGCAGTATATGCCGCGGACGTCGACTTCGCCGTGGTGCGCGACGATGAAGGAGCCGTCGGGCTGTTTGAGGGACATGAAGAACGCGTACAGTTTATCCCTATACGCATGTTCAATACGGTTAGACTTGAATCGTAGATGCGGGTGGAGGCGCACTTGTCGATCTGGTCCCAGCCACCGCCCGGTCCTGGCCTGCCGACGATGGCGAGAGAGCATACAGCGGCGTATGTCGGCAACAAATGCGCCGCCTGTCCCGGCCCACCACCGAACCCGCCATCCGGATGCTGCCAACACATAATCGTATCTATCGCCCTTTGAACATCCACATCAGTCCCATTCTCCTAAAGCCAAGTCGCATGAACACACCTCTGCTTGTTCACCGGATCGATCCCAACCTGCAACGCGCTAAAGCTCTGCAGCGTCCAAAACATCAGCCACGGCTGGCTCGCGTCCTGGCTGCTATACCTCGCCGGAAACCCCTGCACGAAATTCCGCACCAAGAACTGCAGATGCGAGTTCTTGTTCAGCGTCGGCGTCGCGCTCGAGTCGGTGGGCAAGTGCTTCTGGAGGACGTCTTCGGTCTCGCGTTGTTGGAAGGACGTCTTGGTCGGGTAGTCGTCGTCCGTTGTGTGTTTGGGTGGTTGGCCCATGGTTGTATCGAGGGCTATGGTAGGAATAGGAGGAGGTGGTGGGTGGTATGGGTGAAAGGAGGAGAGATTGGGAGATCGGTCGGTGGCACGGACATCGCGGTTTATTGTTCTCGCTGCTCAGACGCGCGCGGCGGGCCGGTGGCTGTAGGCTATCACCGAGGTGGCTTCTTTCTCACGCTGTAGGCATGAAAGGGCAAGCATCAAGCTGATTCAAATTGTATGGGGTATACATCTAGTACACTTTTCACGGATGAAAGAAGAAGGGTATGTAGCAAGGGATCGGTGTTCGAGGCTTTAAAGGTGGACACCGAGCTCAGGCTCGACGCGAACACCAGCCCCAACACCAACGTCCAACAACTGACGCTTCACATCAACGCCAACGTCGGCCCCAACATCAACTTCCACCGGAACGGCGACTTCGAGTAACTGACGCCTGACGGCCAGGTCAGCCTCAGCCTCGACGTCGACCCCAGCGCCGAGCTCGAGGCCCAGCAGACGCTTCCCGAGCCCGACGTCGAGTGAAGGCGCGACCTCAACCTCCCCAACGACGTCCGCGTCCACCAAGCGCGCTACATGAACCCCAAGCCCCGGCACAAGATCGACCTCGGTACCAAGGCCAACATCAACCAGCCCGCGCTTCACCTCGACGCCCAGTCCCGCCCCAACATCCACCTCGCCACCAACACCAGCATCGAGCAGCCGCTTCTTGAAATGCACAACCTCAACGGTGGGCTCAACGGCTACGGTGGGTCCAAGCCCGAGGCCGACCAATTGTCGCTTCTTGAGGTCGACTCCGATTGCAGCGTCGAGCTGGATGCCGGCGTCGATGAGGCGTTTGTTCGGGAGGCCGAGAGCGGGCCGCACGCCGATGAGGGTGCCGAGGGCGCGTTTTTGCGATTGGATTGGGCTGTGGGGTGTGATGAGTAAAGGATACTTGGGATGATTGGGAGGGGAGGCTTACGTGGCAGGTGCGGCACCAGCGGCGAGGCTGAGCGAGAGGCAGATGAAGGAGGAAAGGCTGGGAGAGTGCATATTGAATTTGATGATAGAGAAGTAGTGGTGGGTATGAGATGCTGTGTTTGGATTTGATATGAGAGTTGATTTGATGAGGGTTGAGCGTGTTCTGTGCTTGCTTTTATAGAGGGTTCTGTAGGAGGTAGGAGGTCAGTGGTAGAGGGGCCGAGCCGAGACATCTTTTCCGGAGGGGTTACCCTCGACCTACTCGGATGATCCGTATCGCGAGACATCGTGAGGTTCAATAGGAAAAGGAGAGTGCGCGTAGGTGCTCTACGGTATGTTTTGACCTTTGATCTTTGGAGAGACTCGAGCACGAAGATGCGACGAGGGCGCGCTCCTCTTCCTTCAAGAATATCAAGTTCGCTCGTGGCATAGATGCACGCAATTCGTCTTTCGCTGTGCCCCAGTCCAATGGAGAAACGTCAAGAGGTGGAATGGCGCTTATGTCTCGGCGGATTCCCGAGACGCCGCGAGGGTAACAGGAGTTGGAGGTTGCCCATGGTGTTCGAAGGAACAGGTGTCGGAAGGTCCCCCTCGGTTCTCAGGAGGTGAATAGTGTGCATGGCGTTTTTATGGCATCCTGTCCGTAGAGTGAAAGAGGTTATGTATTGCAAGCCATGCGTAGCGAGCACCGGTTATCATAGCAAGAGAACGCGCAATGAAGGTCAAACGCAAGGGGCATCGAGATTCGAGCGCGCGTGGCGCGACGCGCGCCAAGACAACCTTAACCCTAATCGGGCCCATCGATCACACATCGTCTCCGCGTACATCTATGGCTACATCGACATTACAGCACACTATTTGCTACAGGATCTTTACACATCGCTTGAAGAAGCTCTCAGCCCGAGTACGTGTACCAGCTACCACTATGCCAAAGTCAGAACAAGTTTTCTCTTGAGGGTGAAGTGCAGACATACCGGGCGTCTACGGCCTCCTTCCTCACAGATCTCCTTGGATCATCCAATACCTTCACTAGCTCGCGCACAACCGTCGCCTTATGCGGATGCAGCACGTCGTAACGCACGACTTTGGGAAGAATCGCGAGGTAACGCAGTGCAGCGATGCGCACCCTCTGTATCGAGCGTCTATCAGAGAATGATGGTGGATAATAGAGTGGGGGACGAACCGCGTCGGGCATAGTGGCGATGCTGGCGTTCTTGAGCATGATCGAAGTCAGACTCGACGCGTGCTCCGCGACGAGGTTGCCTTCCTTCGCGTGCTTGATGTCGGCGTCTACATCGGCTTGGGCGGCAGAGAGAAGCGTGTCGATGACGTTCGCTCTCAGCTCGGTATCGGAGAGCTCGAGCCCGCGGAGTAGTAGAGGAAGAAGCTACGGCGTATCATCAGTATGTGCGGTCTCGTGGGGTGCGGACGAGCAGCGATGAACATACCGTCGGCATCTCTCGGGCGTATGCGGCCTTCGGGATTGAGCGGATGAGCGAAAGAAGCGCGACCAAGTTAGCCGTCTGCTTTCGCGTATCTGGACAGGAGTAAGCATCTTCACTAGACGCTAAGCACTGAACCATACCTGAAGAGTCTTTCGCGCCCTCGATCAGTCGCGGCAGTACCCGGCTCGCGTACTTCTGTGCGTGCAGGACCTGCGTACAGGTCAGACAACCGGTTCTCCGCAAACGTGGAGACGAGCTCACTCTGATGACGGCATGATTGCTCTTGACCAGCACCTTACTCGGTGCAACAACGTTGCCGACGGATCGCGCTGCATCCCAGCTGATGCTCTCATCACCAAACAACTCAAAGAGGTGTTCGACGAAGTCGGTCGCCAAAGCATGGTTCTGCACCAAGAGTCCCTTACTAACCTGTACCGCGGTCAGAACTCAAGTGCGAAGCGTCTGAGAGCGAGGATTATACCCATGTCCAGGCGAAGATGGCGTATTGCCGTGTAGGGACTGGCTTTGCAACATCCCTCAACGATGCGGCAGAGAACGATCCCAGCATGTTCTTCAAAAAAGGTTCGCAATCTAGGGACGAAGGGGTCAGGTCTGGCCGCCGAGTGATGTTTGCTGGTACGTACCTGCTACACGTTTGTTCACAACTGCCGCTACGAGATGCCATGCGCTTTCACGTTGTGGGGTGGTCCGGGCAGTCTCGATGCTCCATCGAACAAGTTCGCTTAAGAAAGCTGAGGGGTCATCAACGGGAAGTCGAACCTGAGGGTATGAATGTTCAGATCAAGAAGACCGACCTCGAGTTTTGGACGAACCTCTTTCCGCAAAGCTATCAGGGCCTCCGAGAACACGATGGCAAGGTTCGCTTGATGAGCTGGGGCGGACTCCTATATTCACAGTCAGCACAGGGTGAGAAACCACGAGGGTCGGACGGACCGAGAAAGGCGAGAATGCGACGCCATCAGGCAGGACTGATCGTGCACTTGGAGCAATAGCCTTGAGATCTCCCTGGAGGAAGAGTGGGACCAGTTGGCGGGCAAACGCTTCTTGCTTCCTATCGACAGTTAGACGAGTCTTGCCTGAACTTGGACGGGCACGTACTCTGCGGATAAGGTTTGCGTAACTAGGTTCACGACCTTCGCAACGAGTGTCACTAAGCGGAAGTCCGTGACCGGGAGCGCGGATGGGTCGTCCTTCAGCACTGCGCCGCCGACGAACAGGTTGAGCAAGGGGAGAACGAGTCTGTCGATGTACTTCGGTACGTCGGCATCTGCTCGTTCCACCTTCTTCTCCAGTACAGTCACGAGTGTGTTGAGTATCGAGTGAGCGTAGGCTGCAGTAGGTTCGGGATCCGCTAGTGATGCAGACGGTCTTGGACTGCAGAGCAAGTCTAGCTTCGTAGATAGCCGTACGACCAGTGTCTCGAATAGCACTGCTTGCTCGCATAGGCGGGCGAGTGATGACAGAACGTTCCAGTACTTTTCGCGCGCATCAGCATCCTCACGAGGTGGAGCCTCGTCAGGAAGAAGCGAGAAAAGTAGAGGCAGGGTGTTGGAAGAAACATGTGTGGGTGCGATGGTGGAGATTGTTTTCAGAAGGTCCAAAGCATCGTCGCTGTGGTGATAGTAAGCGACGCCGTTTACGCGAACATGGTATAACCGAATGCGTACTTCACCCCTGCAACGTCCTCTTTACCACTGGCGACGACGTCGTTGACGTTATTGACAACGAAGCCAACCTCGTCGTCGTCCAGAAGTTTGGGCGTAGTCACCAACGCACGCAGACCTTCGATCGCAGACGCCGAAGACGAAGGAGTCTTGACACCTGTGATGAAGATGCCGAGTACTTCGTCCTTGTATGGCGTGAGCAGATTGGCCTGGTCTTCATCTGACTTCAGCACGGAGTCGCGTAGGGCCACGATGAACTGCGCCAATAACTTCAGCGTTGGGCCGCGGTTGGGTGCTTCGTCGGGGTTAAGGAAGAGCTTGACGTGGTGAGGGACGACTTGTGAGACTGTATACTGGCAGACCGACGCTGTTGCATCAGATCAGTGGTGTTCAATCAACAAAAAATGACGTAAAGGCTTCTCACGAGTTGTCGAAACAAATGCACAAAGCGTCTTCATAGCCGGCGTAGCCTGACTCTTCTCGGGCTCCTTCAGAATCACAACGCATTCCTCGCATGCCTCCTTCGCTAGACCTTCTATATCGTCGGACGATGCAGCGGGACTCGAGTAGATCGTCTTGATGAGCACTTGTACGGACTTCAGAGCCGCCCTTTCTGTGTGCGGGTCCGTCGGCTGGAAGATCTCCAGTTTCAAGGCGTTCCATAACTTCCTGGCATGCGTGCGCGCATGACCAGCACCGTAGACGGGAAGACAGTCATCCAACGTTAACAGAGCATCCCTCTAAACATACTGCTCATCAGGCTGATGCACCAAGAAGAGCAACGCACTGACCTTCGTTGGAGGAGCTGCGGATGCGATCTTCTCGAGTATCAGTGGTATCATGAGAGGCGCAAATGCGGCGTTGGCGCTGAGACAACCTCTGAAAGTGGCTTGAGGGTCGTTTCTGCGGGACTGATGATGACTCCACATACCGCAATGCGGCTTTCAGGTCGTCTGCGCTGATACCGTAGGGATCGTCTGGTGGAGGTCGGAACGAGATGGGAAAGTAGCAAGCGGTGACATTGAACATTTCCTACATAGCTTCATGAGTATGCATGACGCATCTCATAGGTAAGTTCATAGTCATACCTCGATCCTTTTGGTGACGTCGAACTCAATGAGGATCACTCGTGCGATGGCAAAGGCGAGCATGAGATTCCGCGGGTCTTTTTCGCCTTCTGCCAGTAGGATGTAGCCGGTTAAGAACTCGTCGCGCATAGATTTCAGGGCTATGACCGTAGTTCAGCACATTTCCAGTCAAGCATCTGCGAGTTCTCCACCTTCTCTATGGTTCGCGATGAGGTTGTCTACTATCGAGAAGACCGTGAATCTCTGCGCCTGAACTAGCGCTGCCATCTTGACATGCTTGAACAACCTTCGCCAGACATTTGTTGAGCGATAAAGCTAAACGTGAGATGCTGATGGATTCGCTCACGCTTTCATGACAGTCACCGCATCTTCTTCAAGAAGATTGGGCAGACGTGTGAGAGCCATGAGCCCCTTCAGAGCCGGTATGATTGTGTCCAGATCTTCCAGTTTAGTCAAGAAGAAAGCCAGAAGAACCTTCACTGCGACATCGTCGGTATGTCTGCATGCTTAGAACTATTCTGTTGTCCTCACCTGATTGGCGATTTAGGTACTCGGCGGGCGTTTTCCCAACGACTTTTGCGAGAAACTCAACGCCTGGAGAGTACGTTGGTACAAAACAGTCGCTGACCGGAATTTTCTGACCTTACCTTTGTTCCGAAGGTCGTCATCCTCTGAGGTCAGATAGTCGCCTAGTGCCTGCACAATGTGTAGCAATTTGATATCCCCTTTAGCCAGACCTACGAGGGCCATGAGCCCAGGGTGCCGAGATGACAGTTGATCGGCCGACCATCCACAGTATCATCTATCTCTTTATCTCGAGGTGACGCAACCCATGTCTGGATCAGGCGCTGAGCTTTGTCCATGGTGGTGAAGAACAAACTAATTCGCGAGACGCGATTGCCGTTCAGTCGCGCCCACGTGCTCGACGCGATCACTGACGCTGTCAGCGGTAAAGTCAAACTCGACCACCACGCCCGTGTCGCGTCTGTCCGGCTCTGCGCATACTGTCTGCTCCATCTTGGTGCTGTCGCAACACTCCCTTGGGCAGAGCTGTCTGCCTCTAGTCCATGTTACGTGCCGTCGCGTCCGCTCAGTCTCCCTTACGCCGCGCGCACACCCGGAACATCTGGTCATGGTTCACTACGCCTCCGAAGGTCCAGGAGCAGAAGTTCAGAGATAAAGTGAACTACAATGACGAGATCTTCGAGGAGAAGGTGCCGAGGGAGGAATTAGTCAACCTCCCGCGCGTCACCGCCAATACGCTAGAGGCATACACCAAGCCTCCGACCAAGGTCAAGATGCTCGTGCGCGACTACATCGAGGACGCGCTCTACAACCCCAATTACGGCTACTTTCCCAAGCAGGCGACCATCTTTACGTCTGCGGACACGACCATCCCATTCAATGAGATCAACGACATGTTTCAGTTCGACCACGAGGTCACTAAGCGTTATTCGTCTTACGGAAAGGACGATGGGCAAGGTCCAGGCAGGCAGATTTGGCACACTCCAACGGAGCTCTTCAAGGTGCGTTACGCCCTTGTGTCTGATGCTACTCGGCTAATGCAACCCGTAGCCGCACTATGGCCACGCTGTTGCTCACTGCCTCGTATCCGAGTACTTACTCAAGTACTTTCCGTACGAAGACTTGGTCATCTATGAGATTGGCGCTGGCAATGGAACGCTTGCGCTAAACATTCTTGACTTCATTCGCGACAAGTACCCGGAGGTATACGAGCGTACCAGCTACCGCATCGTGGAGATTAGCGGACGTCTAGCCAAGTTACAACGGCAGAAGCTACTCCCACATCACCCCTGTGTTACAGTGACCCATAAGAGCATCTTCCATTGGGATCAGACCGAGTCGGCACCATGCTTCTTCATAGCGATGGAAGTCATAGTACGTGTGTTTACATGCAGAGTCAGAATCAGAGTTGACGACCGCGACAGGACAACTTCGCGCACGACGTGGTGCGTTGGGACCTGCGCACTCTCCAACCTTATCAGGGTGTCGTTACCGTGGACGAGAATGGGGACTTTGGCATGCACTACGAGCGTGTCAGCGACCCGCTGGTCTCATCGACCCTTGCTCTCTACCGACAACTCAATCACAAACCTCCAGTACCCGCATGGCTCGCGAAGTTCCCATACCTTCGAGAAGTCCATTCGTCTCTCATCTTCGCGGCTAATCTATCACCTCCTGAGTACATCCCTACGCGCATGCTCAGCCTATTACGGACCTTACGACGGCACTTCCCGCGACATCGACTGCTTCTCTCGGATTTCGCAACGTTGCCAGATACTATTCCTGGTATCAACGCGCCCGTGGTGCAGACACGCTTCCGAAACACAACCGTGCCCACGTCGAAGCTGCTCGTGCACCAGGGCTACTTCGACATCTTCTTTCCGACCGACTTCGAGCGCTTACGCGACATGTATGAGTACATGCTCGGTCAGCCGGTGCTTTCGGATAGCGTCGCAGGGACTGGACGAGCATCGCCACTTGCGACGAGCGCCAGCCCATTGCAGGCAGGCTCGGGTTACTTCTCATCCTTCCAACCACGCAACAGGCGCGCACCGATCGACGGCGTCACAAGTTCCAGCGGCTTGCCTGTCGGCCAACGGAAATCGAACGTCTTCACCCACGCCGAGTTCCTCGAGACATACGCGGATCTTAGTAAAACGCGTCTCCGCAGCGGAGAGAACCCTATGTTGGAGTATTACAAGAATGTCAAGTTCTTATTTTGATGCGTTGCGACCGCTACGTTCGGAGGATATAAAAGTAATAATGAAAGGCATCCCCGATCTGCTTGATCTCCAGAGAAGCGTCGTCGCGTGTCAGATATCGTTTCCGGAAATGTGGCTGCCCGAAGGTAAGGTAGATGAACGAGCCAGACCCTTTGCGCAAAACTCTGCTTTCAATGTCATTGAGGAGTTCACTGTGACGATGCGCGTACACACCGGACCACTTCATCGACCTCCTTCGTGCAATCATCAATGACTTGTTGCGGCGGATCCTATCGAAGTGAGCTGAAAAGCTTGGACGCCCATACTTGTCACTCGACTTACCCAGACGTCTCCCTTTGCAGTCATCATCGCATCCATCGTCCCTACAGCTTCGTGAGAAGAGACCATTTCTGCTCAGGGGACTTGCGTATACCTTTGTCTATGGCCACGTCGAAGGTGTTGTCGTCGAATTTGAGATCGCGTATGTCCATCTCCAACCCTGGATTATCTGAGACCACCGGGCGTTGAAAGGATGACATGCAGCTTACACTCCATTTCTGGTCTGGTTCCTCCGTGTCGAGCCTTCATCCGAGTGATTACAACGCCGGAGTAGTCAATGTTGACGATATTCTTGTAGCCATCATCGTACATCTTCCGACGTAGTTAGCTCCGTACACCCGTCTCTGGTTGGGCATTGCTGTATACATCTTCAGACAGAGTCGAGTTGCCACAGCCAAGCATCAAGATTCGGGCATCCTTGTCGGGAATCGTTTCACGTAGAATATCCGCTACTTCTTCGTACTTCTTGAACCAATCGAATGTAGCCCCTTCCTCTTCTCTGTACGAACGCTGAGAAAATTGGTGATCCCATGAGAAGAAGTCACAGACTCCTGATAGCGTTTGTCCCTTGTAACCGAACCGAAAATTCATACGCATACGTATCGCCTGTTGCCTTATGGTGCATCTCACCAATAGATTTGGGTACCATACTCTTCATTCTTCTTAGGGAGGTTACTCATCGCTGTGATCGAGTAGGGCCAGAGCAGTCCGGGCCTCCGAGATCATGCAGGTCAGAAGCAAAACGCGGACCGGCTTCGGCATAAAGCCGACCTGCCGCGTCGGACACCTGCGAACACGCAGTTCGCGTCCTGTGACCATACCCCGCAACTGTTCAAGAGTGCCACCACGCGACTGCTTACTGTTCTCACTGTTTCGACCCGTCTCCCATCTGCTGCTGGACAGTCTATCCTCCACTATGGTGAGTGGCGAGCGCTCGGAATACCTCAATATCTGATGGACTGAACGTCTGATGTAGTCTGCTTATCCTGCGACGATTATGGGCGTGTTATGCATGGTGCGGGCGTTGCTTTGACTTGCTGAGTTCTTTGTAACGTGGGTTTAGGTTGGGGGCACCATCGGCTTCGTGAAGACTCGTTCCATACCCTCGCTTGTTGCAGGATGGGGGTACGTCCAATCAGACTCTTGTCCGTGTGCAGGTTATGCTCATGAATGGATCAGTGTTGGAGCCTTGTACCTGTACGCCGGCGAGGCGATCCGGAAGCACAATGCGGGCGGCATTGAGACGGCGATCGGTACGCACATCACGCTATCACTCTTTGAATAGCGGTTAATCTGTATTGTAGGAGCCTCTGCGGTCTTGCTACTGAGCAGCGCGCCTCGTTTCGCCAAGGGCCCTGTCCCTGCTATGCTCACGGTCACGAGCGCAGCCGCCGGCACATACTACGGCAGCGTGTTCTATAACTTGCGTCAGAATTCTGTTTAAGGTGTTCGTGTTCGTTCCCGGAGTTGTGCTACCATGTTTGTACAGATATTATCCGCTGCTGTCATGCTCTACTTGTCCGCTTAAACGTCAATCAGACGCTGCTTTCCTCCCGGCCATCCGTACTCCGTCGGCTGTCCCTGCCCGATCCAAGCCCGACGATATGTCCTGCCGTCTACGCTTTCTATGTAGGATACCGAGCCCAATATTTGCATTTGCATTGTGTGGCGTTGGGCCTGACAGGCCCCGACACCCGCCGTCCAGCAAGGGGTCGCGATGGCTGGCTGCGGCTAGTGTATGTGTCGCCAAAGAAGCGCTTGTGTGGGAGCAATCATGTCTCACAGAGGCCTACATACATCGCTGTATGCTTCTTGATATCCTTCGTGTCGCTAGATATAGCCAAGAAGCATGCAGTCAGCGGCGCATATTCGAGGGCATCGCCGACACCGCTTGCATGGGCGGGATCGATGCCAGGTAAAACAGACTGCGGGCAGCCACCCCGGTTTCGTCACTTACGGCACCCTCCTCAAGTCCCGACCGCATGTCTTGTTCTTCCATGACAGGCTCCTTTATAGCGCGTGAAAGAGGCGCCATCGACATTTCACTTTCTGCCCTCTGGTCGTCGACGAGCTCTTTGCCGATAGACTTGGTCTTACCCCTGACCCTATGCCCACGAACCACGCTGTAGAGAACGTCTTTGGCACGATCGGTAGGCCCCTCCAGTCTTCCCAGTCCATCACAAGATGCTGAAGCGCGTTACACGTTAGGGACAATATGCTGGACTGTACAGCTCATCCCGCAAGTGTGGAAGAACTGGAGATCAAAATCGACAGAGGGACTGTCACCTTCCCTTGTGTATGTCGTCCGGCTGGTTCTAGGGGCCGCCTATTAATGACGGCTGCTATTCTAGTCTCATTTGGGGATTGTCGGGCATCCCTCTCGGCGCCTACTCCGTCCTGCAGGTGCGTACCGCCGATCCTCACCCACAGCCGATGCTAAAGTTACGTGAATGAACTAGAACCTCAACGTACCGCTCATCATCCAGCCCCAACTGTTCGGAGTACTGTGTATCCTATCATGGACCCAGGTTAGCTTGACGCTATACTTACATGTCATCTATGCAGTACTGAACCATGCCTACAGTGCATGTACTACGGATCCCAAAAGCCTCTGGGTTGGTGTGCCGCGTTTCTTATCGTACTCCTGACCATCTATGCCGTATTGGAGCTGGGTCTCATCTACGCCGTGCTGGTATGTCGCAATCTGCGACGCGGATCGCTGCGTAGCTCGTGGAGCTGACCCACTTCCCCTGTGCAGGAACCCTACGAGCGCGGAGATCCGGGAGCAAAGGTAGCCGTCCAGTTCTTCGGGATCCTCGCTTCAGTCATGATTGCGAGTGGCCTCCTGTACGTCTGCAAACCCTCGTCATCCGAGTATCGCGCTCATGCTATCACAGACCTCAATACTACGACATCTACAAACGCCGCGAAGTTGTCGGCATATCTCTCATCTTCATGAGCGTGGATATCGCAGGCGGCATGTACTTATTCCTATCATCCGCTAGAGCTGATCCGATTTGAACCCAGGCATATTCAACGACCTCTCCCTTGTGTTTAAGGGGGAGTTTGACATCATCGCGTCCATCACCTACACACTAGTCGTGGTGCGTGGGCCTTTTGTGGCCCTATAAGCAGCGATCCGCACTCGTACTTACTTGATGTTTTAGGTCATGGATCTTGTCGTTGTGATCGCTGCGCTGATACTGAACCCCATAGCACGCCGACGTCGCTCCGGACTTGACGCTGAAGCGCAGGCGGAGGAAGCGAGCTCGTTGTCTTCGCAAGGGGACGCTGAGATAGCCGCACCCGCCCGTGCTGACGCTGCGTCCCATTCGGCACCGTCAACGGAGCCTAAGGATAGCGAGAATGGATCTGCCATCGTCGAAGAGCCGCGGACTCCTCCTATAGAAGAAGAAAAGATCGAGGAGCGTCTGTGACTACTTCGTGATGGGTTGCTTCTTTACTCGCTCATCCATATTCACTCATGCTCATATCGCTCCTTTTCAACCATCATACACATACTTACATGCATTTCTCTGTCACACATCCTCCTGAACTCGAACCATTGCGCCTGGATCTATAGCACGTTACAGCTTCCGTACATACTATTTATCTCCCCCGCTCAACTTTGGCACATGCATTCATCATAGACCATCGCTTCATTGTACATGTACATCATTCAGAGAACTCGCCATCGTCCACCCGGAGGACGCCCGCATGGACGCGCGACGGCCCGACGGGCGTGTTACGGTAGCGTGACTTCGGAGCTGTGGATCGGGCCACAACGCCGATGCAGAGTCATAGCGCCAACTTTCACTCACACCACCATCTGACGGACTCCCATCGTCGCTTTTGCCTTCTTACGCTCAACGATGTCGTTGAGTAGTGCTGAAGAGATAGCCAAAGAGGCCAAGGCAGCCTTCGAGGCCTCCCAGCTTCTAAGAGAGTCGGAACGCGGACGCGCCTTGCTCGAAATCCAGCATGAATTGCAAGCGCGCAAAGACTCAATCCTGGCCGCGAATAAGGAGGATTTGGCTGTGCGCAACTTATGTTTTACCTTCACTGCATCATATAATTATGGACGCACCGGCTAGGCAGCTCAGATAGAAGTTGACGCAGGACGCATGTCGAGCGCGTTGCTCAAACGTCTTGATCTGACCAAGGGCGACAAGTGGGACTCAATGCTCCAGGGCGTGCAACAGATTGCGGACCTACCGGATCCGAACGGCGTCGTCTCGTATGCGAACGAGCTCGATGATGGCTTGCAGCTCTACCGCATCTCGTGTCCGATCGGCGTATTGCTCGTTATCTTCGAGGCACGTCCGGAGGTCGTAGTGAATATCGCAGCTTTGGCTATCAAGTCTGGTACGAACACTGTTCCTCCTATATCAATGTCACTACTCACGAGACCACAGGTAATGCCGCTATATTGAAAGGTGGAAAGGAATCGGCTCGAACTGCTCAGCTCATCTCCGAAGCCATACAAGCTGCACTGTCCCGCACAGAACTCCCCGCGACATACATCCAAACCGTGCAAACACGAGCGGAAGTCTCATCTCTATTGTCGCTGGATCAGTACATTGACCTTGTAATCCCGCGAGGGAGTAACGAGCTCGTGCGCAACATCCAAAACAATACGCGGATCCCTGTCATGGGCCACGCCGATGGACTCTGCAATGTGTATCTCGACGAGAGCGCTGATAAGGAGAAGGCGATCAGGATAGTAGTCGATTCTAAGGTACAGTTACGAGCATCTATCCGTTAAACCTTGCTGATCCCTGAGCAGACTGACTACCCAGCTGCTTGCAATGCTGCGGAAACGCTCCTTGTACACGAGAGTCTGCTGCAGACGGTATGGCCGGCTGTAGCAGATGCACTTGCCCAGAAGTCAGTAAAGCTTCTATGCGATGAAGCTGCACTAGCCGCCATCCCGGCTTTGCGTGGTTCTGCAGCAGAGCCGGCGCCCGCAGACGCTTACAGGACCGAGCACCTTTCACTGGTCCTGTCGGTCAAAGCCATTCCGTCATTATCCGCCGCGATCAAGCATATCAACGCACACTCGTCGCACCATACGGATTGTATCGTCACTGAGGACGAGGAAGCTGCGCGTATATTCGTTCGCGGCGTCGACTCTGCAGGGACATACGTGAACGCGAGCACACGGTTCGCGGATGGCTTCCGATATGGGTTCGGCGCGGAGGTCGGCATTGCGACGGGACGCATTCATGCGAGGGGTCCTGTCGGGTTGGAAGGGCTTTGCACGTATAAGTACGTGCTGAAGGGTGCTGGGCATATCGTGGGCGAGTTTGGATCTGGTGCAGGACAGAAGAAGTTTAAGCATAAGCCATTACCAAAGGATGGTCTGCCGCAGGCACTCGTGTAACATATCCGGAACAAACGCACAATTCGAGACAGCGTAGTAAAGCAAGGGTGAACAACACGGGACGTTATTATATTGGTATGCATCGTTGAGAAATCATGCGGAAGCACTGGGTTCTTCGAGCCGAGCCTTCTTCTCCGGCGGGGTCCCTGCGTCATCGTCAGCCTTGCGCTTCTCAGCACCAGAACTGTTTGCGACGGGCTCCGTTACAGGCTCCGTGGGCGCCGGCTTCTTCTTCTTCTTAACCATGCCAGAAAGATCGTTCACTTGTGCGGGTGCAGTTGCAGGAGCGCCAGCGCCGTTCAGCTCCTGATCCAGCGCTTTCTCAGCGAGCTCTGGAGCCGAAGTCGTGTGGATCTCGTTCGGCGACGTCTTCAGCTCTGCGACCTGCGCGGGCGTCAATCACCTGAGCTCGATGGTTAACCCCTATGGATATCGTACCTTTAATGCAAGATCCTCCTTCAAGCCCTCCAGTTCCTTGATTTCAGCCTCAATTTGTGACTTGCTTAGACTTGCGACATCATCCTGCGTGACGGCTTTTGCCTTGCCCTTCCCCTTTGCGTCCTGCTCGGGCTCGGGTGCGGGTGCAGCAGAGGTAGATGCGGCATCAGGAGCAGTAGCGAGTCCATTCTGCAACTCCACCAGACGCGCTTCCACGCTCTCAAGTGCCAATTGCGCATGAATGATTGCGTCTGATAGGCGCCCAGATGTCAAGTCAAGCACCATGCTGAGCTTGTAGTGCGCCTCGGCAATTTGACGGGAGGAGAGAGGGAGTAGGTCCTTCTTGTGTTGAAGTCCAGCGGAATAGTCGGTGATGGCTTGCTCAAACTTCTCTGCAATACAGATATATCAGCGACAGTATTCTTTACAGACCGAATGGTCAGCCCATACCGGTTTCCAACGAAACATCTCCAAGAGAAATCAAGGTATCCGCCAGTGCCAGCCGTACCAACTCTCCCTCATCCGCGCGTTTCTCGTAGATCGAGCGAGCAAGTTCGAGAGCATCCCATGCGGCATTGAAGTCGTCCTCTGGCTCGCCGTCATCTTCCTCGTCCTCGTCATCCTCGCCCTGTCCCTCGCCTGACGCCTCCGCGGCATCCGCTTCAGCAACTGCTTTCGCAGCCTCGGCGAACAGGTCGACTGCGGCGTCCCCTTCATCCCCGTCGCCAGAGAACGAGAATAGTTTGCCAGCTTTCGCCGGGTCGATTTCTATCGCATTGACATCGTAAATGGGTGCACTGAATCACGCCAGTATATAATATACCTTCCTCGGGCTCCGCGCCGTCTTTGTCTCCGTTCTTCCCTAGGACGTCTGACGTTGCGATGGCGTTCTCGAGAAGGGCTTTGCCGTAGGCCAAGTACAGGTCGGCGAGTTCAGGTGCGTCTTCAGCACCATGTTGCTCGGTTCTGACAGCAATATGAGGCTAGTCCAAGCTTATATAATAGTTGCACATACGCCTTCTCTAATGCGGTGGCATAATGACCAACCGCATCCTCATACTTCTTGAGCGCGAACGCGCGCTTGGCGAGTTCGACGCACTGTTCGACGGTTTGCGGTGCGGTGCTGGAACTATATGAGCACCTTTGGGGCACAAAGCAGCGAGGCTACGTACTCGGCCATGATGCTCAAGGGGTGTAGATGGTGGTGAGAAGCAAATGCACTCTAGCGCGGACCACAGACTGAAAGAGACGCGGTTCGATTGTGACCTCACGCGTCGCGTCGAGACACGCGCCTGTCACATATTGTTGAGCGGACCGTTCGATTGGACTCTGGCTGCTCTCGACTGCCATGCCGACGCTAGGGTCCGGCGACTCTCCAAACCTCCTTCTGAATTTCTGGCTATAGCCTTGCGTGATGGTGTTGAACTTCGAAAGATAGCTACCCTTTCTTGGACCTTCCTCGATAGCATGCCCGATTGCTGCGTCTGTATGACTCTGAGGGGAATCAAACGCTACCAGCGTGAGACGGGACCGTGTGCAATCTGGGGTCTTGAGACCTGTCTCTGACTCCCACAGCGTCTGCTCGTAAGCGCCAAGTCTATATACCGCCTGATCCCAACATCACCTCGATGGCGATGGAATCAGCCAGTATTGCTCTCAAACGCTCAGGATCTCCTATTCAGTATACCCGAATTATAAGGAGGACATCAACATTAGGCCTTGGCTGGGACATCTCTGGAGCACAAGCGTAACTCATGCGAACGCGCTCCATCGCACGCCGAGCTTGCGTTCTCAACCGAAGCGGCCCGATGACCTGTCGACAAAGGAGAACTCATGTTGAACCTCGGAATGTCTATATGAGCGATTTAGCCGTACCTCTCAAGGTAGGGACCGCGGCCTCGGCTGTCTGTAAAGCTGGAGCTAGAAAAGGGCTATCTACAGGGACAATGAGAAATCCACCATTGTTCTTAAGGTTCCCAGGACCCTCGTGTCTACAGTAGTGACTCTCGTGGCTTACTATCGATGATGCATACAGCTTATCGACGGTCTCAGTGTGCGATATCGATCGGATACTAACCTAGCGCAGCTCCCGGACTTACTGTACGGCGCATCTGCCCCTCGCTCGTCGCGCTTCTTAAAGTTCGGGAGTATACAAGCTACAGAAGAACGACGGGGTGCGCGCGTACCCCCCTTGGTCACGTACTGTTTCTTTTGGCCCTCAAGCTTTGTTCGATCCCTCATCATGGCAGCCATCCGTGTTAAATCGGAGTCGCTTGAAGTGGAGAACTTGTTGCGAACCCGAGGCAGGCAAGACCCAGCGAACTTTAGGTTCATGCTCGCAAATCTCTACAATAACTATGGGCTGTATGTATAGCTCTCATTCACCACCTTCTCGTACTCACTTTCGGCCAGGAATGTTGGTGTCGGCTGGGATACGGACCCACCTTTCGAGTACACCTATAGATTCCCCGGTTCCGGCCACGGCCGGTTTACCATCGGCGACGTGTACGTATGATGACTCTTGACCATGTCGAACGTTACTGACAGATTCATATATTGCATTGCAGAATCAAATATTACCCTTTGTACAAGGGATGGGATCAAAGCGCGAAGATCCCGACTACCCAGAGCTACATCCCTCCAGATGAATACTGCTGGTATGGTATCATCACCGATTATACGACAGTCGTGAAGAGGGAGGATGGGTCGGAGGGCGGGTCGGAGGCGGAGGGAGAGAATGGATCAGAGAGGGGGGAAGAGGACGGGACAGATGATGAGCAGCAGGAGTATCCAAACGACACGAAGGTAATGTTCGCGAGCAGTGAGTGTTACGAACCCCAATAAGCTGATATTCAAACTCCGAGAACAGGGCGTCGTGGCGGTATAGTGACCCACACAGATTGGCTTACTGAAAAACTCATCATCGCTGACAGGTCGGGGTAATCTGGCTCTACAGCCAGAGTGAAATGCAAGAGATATACGACGGTAAGATGGGGGTAGAGAAGCTTCCTTACAGAGGGGACAAGACGTACGTCATTTCATATACACTGCGGGCCCGTGCTGGGGACAGAGCTCACCTAGACATCGCAGGTTGCAAAAGTTGGCGAAGTCCACCGACTTCGGACCCAAAGATCGGTTTCTTTCTTTCGACGATGAAAGTATGAAGATGGGCGGATTGATCTGTGAGCACCGTACAAGCCCAGTGCAGACTCAGTTCTCACCCAAATCTCATAGGCACTGTACCCGTGCAGGATGTGGGGATCAATGACAGTCCCACAGGCAAGATCAAGATCAGATTTGACCAGCCATGGCTATCCTTCGACGAGGCCACTCGGGAGCGTAAGCGCAACGGGGTAAGCTCTATGCAAGGCTCAATCAACCAGTTCACCAAGCTGAGCCCACACGATGCAGGAGATCAAGAATATACCGGCCAAGGTGTCGATGAAACGAGTTGACGTCGATCTCACGCCCCTAAAAGATGAGTGGCCGGAGATGGACGGTGACATGGACGTCGACGAAGACTGAGGAAAGGGCATATGCCCCACGGAATGGGGTGGCGTATTGCTCAAACTAAGTATCGTCTGCTTGTATTTGCACATCTGAGCTAGAGTTATCGTATCTCCCATTGCGCGTACAAAGCCATCGCCGTTGAGATGCCCTGATGCAGAGTCTTCGGCCGCCTTCCTCCATCGGCCGCATCTCCTACACGGCCTCAAGTTCCGGCTGTGTATGTGTGACTCCGTGTCCATGCGCAGAGCACCAGCATGAGTCCTCGATAGCGCAGGCGGCCGTGATAGATGGTCGCTCGAGGTCAAGACGCAGGCAGCCGAAAGCCGACCGATAGTCGAACTCAAGCGTGACGTCGTGCTCATCGGCCGATCTCCCGACCCTCCGAACCCCTAACTCCAGCCGCGATATACAGCCGCCTGCCACAGCTAACTATAAAGGGAGCCGTATCCTACAGAAGCGTTATCTGTAACCCATCCACACACATTCCAAGGACGCTGCATACCTCATACTTTGCCTACACTCAGCAACATGTCGTCGACCGAATGGAACGCCGCGGATCGCGACTCATCCGGCTGGTCCGCCAACGCGTACAACAGCGCCGCGCACTTCGTCTACAGCGCGAAGAACACGGCGAACGTTCTCGGTCTGCTCTATGCGAAGCCAGGCGAGCGGATCGTGGACTTTGGATGCGGTAGTGGTGAAGTCACGATCGAGCTCGTCAAGGCTGTCGGGGAGAGCGGTAAGATCGCTGCAGCGGATGTTAGCTCGAGCATGGTGCGAGCCTTCCTTAAAGCCCACCGTGAAAGCTGGCTGACGAGTCTCTCCCGCAGATCGACAAAGCATCGAAGAACACCGGTCTTCCCTCTTCGCACCTCATCGTCGGCGACCTGCAAGACCCCGCGACCATCGACAAGTTCCCGTCCGAGTTCATCGGTCACACAGACAAAGTATTCACAACCGCCACCCTGCACTGGTGCAAACGCGACCCGAAAGCCGTGCTCGAAGGTGCTGCGAAGCTGTTACGGCCTGGAGGGATCGTAGTCGGCGAGATGGGTGGCGCGGGGAACATCGAAAGTGAGCGTTCTCACGTCCTCACCAGGCGCATTGCTTGACACTAGATACGCCTCTCAGCTGTGCGCATGGCTCTGCATTCAGCCCTCAAGAACCACAACATCGACCCCGAACCGCGCGACCCATGGTTCTTCCCCTCCGACACCGAATACGCCAAAGTCATCCAATCCGCAGGTCTGAAGCCTCTGAGCGTCTCCCTCCACCCGCGCCCGACGCCCGCGCACAGCGTGCCGGACTGGATACGCACGTTCGCCGGGCACAATCTGCTGGAGGGCTTGAGCGAGGAGGATGAGAAGGCTGTTGTCGAGGAGGCGACGCGGGAGGTGCAGAGTAAACTCGTGCAGGACGAGGAGGGCAAGTGGCCGTTGGATTATGTGCGCTTGAGGTTTGTCGCTGTCAAGGAAGCATAAGGTGAGGCATCGGACAGAAGGATGTACGATTATATTGGCCGTGATTCGCATTTCAAGTCAACGATCATCGCAGTGTATATGGATTGCGTATATCTCGTCCAAAGCCGAACGTGATCCAAACGTCTATATCATCTCAAATCGTCCCGCGACACCCCGCATTAACAGCCGAGACGGTCGCACAAAAGGCGTGAAGAACATGTAGATTAAGTGAAGAAGTATGTGCACTCAAAGCCGTAAAACAAGGGTCCACGAAAAGCGACAGGCAAGCATATCAACAAGGGGGTAAAACGAGATGGATGAGATGCATATCTTAATGATGACGGGAGGAGAGGGACATGTGTATGTGTATGTATATGCAGTATGTATAGGGAGATGGCGCAGAATCCAAGGGAGTCCAGTCGCAAATCAATGTCATGCGCGCGAGGGCGAGATGAGCGTCGCTGTATGCGGTGGCGAGTCGACGCTCGCCGGCGGACTGGGGTACGCGTCCGGCGCATCCGCCTCGCCCGGTTTACGGATGTCGATAACGAGCCCTGCACCCGCTCCGCCGTTTTGCCTGAAATGCGGTCGTGCGGGCGTGAGCGTGTTGGTAGGCTCTGCGCCTGACGTGTTAGACCATGCCGGCGCGTTGTCCGTGAAGTTCATGTCCAGTTGTGCTGGAGTGGGCGGTTTGGCGTGCGCGCCGAGGTCCATCTCGCGTTGTTCTGTCCTTGTAAGCGGGAGGGCGCCGTCCCTTCTTGCCTCGACACCTCTCCTCGCCGCCTCTCCCCTTGCAACGTCTCCCTTGGCGCCATGGTACAACCAAAGGCCGAAGAACGTCAACCCGATGCCGAGCATCTGCACGACGTGTAGGCTCTGGGAGAACCACACCAACGCAATACAGATAACGGCTACGCGCTTGAACAAGCTCGCGATGCTGTACGTCACGGGCGAGACGGAGGCCAGGATGATGAACGCGATGATGTTCTGTCCGAAGTGGACCGTGCCGTTCATGAAGAGGTACAAGGGTACGCCGTGTGTCGCCTCGCGTGCGTGAGATGGGTGTGCGACGTGTGTCGGGTCCCCGGATGCCGCGAGGAACGCCGGGAGATCGGTGCAGAGCCAGATGGGGATCATGAGCAGAAACGCCATGCTACTGCTGTAGAACAGCAGGTTGAGCTTGTCGAGCTTATGATGCGACGCATTGCCACTGCCGGCTGAGCTGGGCGTCGGCATGATCTTCTTGAAAAAGATGTTCGACGATACAAAGACGAGCGCCGAGCCGAATGCACATGCCAGTCCGATGAGGTTCGACGCGGACATGTCGAATGAGCATGCGAGCATTACGCCGAATGTCAATGGTAGGAGCGAGATGTATGTTTTGGCGGTATACCGGACGTTGAAGAGGAGGGCGTAGGCGGCAACGGTGAAGAGCGGTGATAGTGCCTGTGTTGACGTGCGATCAGCCTTCCCTGCCACAGATAAGACGCAAGAGGAAAATCCATACCTTGATAGTGTGTACCGTGCTAACCGGGATCCTAGAGATGGCCATACTGGAAAAGATATGGCCTCCGACTTGGAAGAGGCCCATCGGAAGCGTGTCCCTGAGAATGGCCTTGCTCGGCGCCCTGAAGTGGCTGAAGCGCACGAGGGGGCTCATGAACAGCAGACAGTATCCCGCGACGAATCCGAACTGGACGAACGTCAACGTGACGGGGTACCTGAACTGGATCAAGATCGCTTTGCCGGTGTTGCTGGAGAGGGCGGAGGAGGTGTACCAGAGCGCGCAGAGGAGGACGAAGCGGACGGAGCTCGGGTCGGGCAGCTCGAGCGCGATGGGCGGCACCGCGCTCTTGACGTCGGCCAGAGACGGCAGTTTCCGGTGTCGGGCGCTCGGGCCTCCCCCGACGGGCAGTGGCAGCGCCTCTTTCGCTGAGCCTGGCAACACGCTCTGTATCGCGCCAACGATCCCTCCGTTCCCCGTATTCCGCCTCTCCATCCTCGGCCGCGGCGGGGCGTACGATGTCCGGGCCGCGCTGCCGTTCATGCGTAGCGTCGAGCTCAGCGTCGCCGTGGGCTTTTTATCGTCGTACTGTCTCCAGTGCGGATGGGCCGTCGTCTCCACTCGCGGGGCGTACATGGATGCGCGTAGGATAGTCTATACAGAAAGAGTGTACTGGGAACAAAGATAGGATAGCAGGGCTAATAGAGTATTTCAGGAAGACTCTGAGCGCATTCGGGCCTGGGCGAAGCGAAGGTGGGTGGAGGCAACCGCTGTTCGGTGTTCCGGGAGCAACAGAGACATTTCATCAAAAAGGTACGGCCTCCGGCCCCGTTCTCTCACGCCGGATGCATATCCACCATTCATGCCACATCAATTGTGCACGCGATAGCAATATGGTGGTAGCGTACAAGAGTGACAATAAAACAGATAGAGGCTATATCGGTCATACATCCACTTCGACTTGGGTGCCGTGGCCATTCACGTCTGCACCGTTCGTGGCGGGGACGGCAAAGTCCTCGTCTGCTTCCCCTTCCGCATCCACGTCTGCATGCAGGCTGTAATCCGGATCGAGAACCTCCGCCATGAGCTCGTTGCGCTCGCGCAAATCCTCCGCTTCGGGAGGATCGTGGAGTATATGCACGAGCGTCCACCTATCTTCGTCGACTTCGTTGGGCTAAAGGCTCATCAGCACCTCGCGTCCAACTGAAACATCGAAGGAATAGAATACTCACGTCTTGCCTCTTCTTCTTGAGCAGCATCTTCCTCTCGATGCCCTTGAAGTACGCGCCCTTCCCTCTGACCTCGACCGTGCTCCCATTAGGCGGTGCCGGCACCTCCACCTCACCTCCCTCGTCGTACACGAGTAAGAACTCGTTGTTCACCTCCGCCTCGATCTTGACCGCCTCATAATTCCTCATGAAACTGAACTCCGTTCCTCCATCTTCAATATCGCCCTCTCCAACATGCAAACTCAAATCACCATCCCCCCTCACAGTCCGATGCGCATAAGCCCCCTTGTCGTCCTTCGACAAGTAATACGACAGGTAATGTTCGCCGTCGGCTTCCATCGGTCGTATAACGGCGCTTTCGAGGCGGGGGTCGTCCTCTTCGGGAAGACGGTTACCCGGGCGCTCGGAGAAGCGGAAGATGTCGTAGGCGTTGGCCCAGATCGAGACGTCTGGTTGAAGCTCGTACGAATCGACAGCTGTCACGTTCTTCTTTGTCGGGTGCCGGAGGCCGGAGAGGGAGAAGTCGTCGTTGGCGTATGAGAAGGAAGCTGCTATTGAGCGTAGTTGGGCGTCGCGCGAGACGTCGACGCGTTCTTCTCGTGTTGCCCTGAAAGAGTTTCAGTATCGACGAAGTAGACTTAGGCTTCGATAGCAACGTTTACATACAGTTCCTGTGTTGCTGGTCTTAGATTGGAAGCAGTGGTATCGCGATTTAGATATTCGGTTTTGCGTAGCCATGTGACGTTTGCGGGCGTCTGGGGTACACTTGCGCGTGCAGCAGCGCGGGGAGTAAGGTCGCCGTTGGAGTACCCTGAGCCGGAGGGGTCGGCCAGTAGTGCTTGATCTCTCGGGTCCAGTATAGGCTTGTTATTGGGGTCCGGGTTCAATGCTGCGATAATGCACATGCTTCAACATCCACACAAAGTATGGAGTGGCGCATAACATACCGGAGTCGCTCGTCCCATCAGCCCACAGAGCCTCCCACTGTCCAAGGTCAAGCGGCATACCCATCTCGCCATCCACAATCATAGGCAACGGTGCATCATTCGCGAGACTGTCCAGAAACTCCGGACGCGCATACCGATGCGGGTCGGTAGGTATTTCCAGTAATTTGGGCGGACATGGTGGTGGGGGTAACGGGTTCTGGTATCGGACTTTGACTAGCAAGTCAAGTTTACTATTCACTTGAGTCTCGTCGCGGAAAGTGTGAATTGAGAGTGAAGACACACGTTTTGCGGGAGGCCATGATGATGAGCGCGGGCAAGTCTCGAGACGCGCGCGTCGTGATCGCGTTCGGGCGGTTCCTTGGCCTGCTACCGTCACACCCACACATGAGGCTCACCTTCCATTTCGAGCGCGTCGGCTGGCCGCTGGCGTCTTTCTTGGGCTTGCTGGACTTGAAGACCGGCGTACAAATAGCGCTGTACTTTGCCATCATCAATAAGGTCGCCGGCGTCTATGGCCTCATCGCCTTGTTGACCGGTGCGGGAGGCACCGTGGCACAACTCAGCTTGTACATATACTCTGTCGGCGCCCTGGTTGCCTCTATCTGGGCTATGCGAGCGGTGAATGAGGTACGGACTCCTTCCAAATATACTGGTCCGACATGGAATGCTTAGACTAGAGAGTAGGAAGACCCGAAACGGACATTATACTTCGCCCACCTGTTCTTCGCCGACCACATCCTCAACACCGTCTGGACAGTCTTCTTCGCCGTAGACTGGTGGGTCTACACCCCACACGACGGGCGCCGCATCGCGAACAGCCCAGCGCAAGAAGCGCTCATCGACGGATACATCGGGAAGCACATTGATTTGGCGCCCGCGGACCGGATCGTTGCGGCCGAGACGCTGTGGAAGGAGGAGAAGAATGTCGCGATGACGATCATTGTGCTCGGTTGGCTGTCAAAGGCAAGTCGATTTCCTCTTTCTGTCGCTGTCTACTACGGACATTAACGCCGGACGTGCGAATAGTTCTACCTCGCAGCTTTGATCTACTCCTTCGCACACCACCTCCGTCGCGGAACATACCGCTCCCTTCCTCTCTCGCGCTCGCAACCTCCACCCAAAGAGACGCTCTACCAGCCAACCTCAGCTTTGCCAGCCGTCTACGACGAAGAAGACGATGCGCCGGATGCGTTCTACGCGCGTTCGCCCGCAACGCCTGTCTTCTCGCCCATCAACCCAAGTGTATCGCACGAGGGTCACAGAGGGACACCAAGCACTGGCACATTCGCGGAATTTGTGGGCGCGCCTAGGACGAGGGGAAACGGGGCGAGGAGTGCTGGCGGAAGCACGGTCAACCTGACGGCAGATGTTGGCGGGAGGGTATGACGAGGTTGATGAAGGAGTTTGACGGCGGTTTGGTTGTTGTGTTGTGTTGCTCAGTCTACTAGACGCTATGGATCGGCTTAATCTGTGTGTATTCCCGCCATTGTTCATACCCTCGCTTTGCATCGTCATATAATTATATGAAAGCTCGCCCGCTATTCTTTGCAGGAAATATACGTTGCGTGAAGTACAAGATGCGCTCCATCAGGGTGCGTTGTCCTCTCACGGGAGGCACACACGCGGCCCAGTTGACGAAGTCCGTTGAGGTGTCCGTTGAACAGCCGTCTCGGGGCCGTGATGGTGTCCCTTTGAGGGGTCGGCGTCGTGTTCGACAAGCCGCGTGAAGTCTGACACGTGGTATTCACTCAGGCGTCGATCATCGACCGTTCAGCCTGCGACCGTCTTGCAGCGATGTGGCGTAGATGGTACGAGGTGTTCGTTGTTTAGCTACAGATGTATTCGAGGGATCCCATGTAAAACACTGTATGTATGACATGGACTACACCAGGCCACGATCGAGAGACGAGCAGACTACGAGAGTCTGTCGGGGAACTCCGTAAGTCCCCATGGGGCGCAGCAAGGTGGTAACATGAGCGATGATGTCCTTGGGCTCGAGTACGATCAAGGTGGGAGAGGGTGCAGCATCGAAGATGGTGGTTCTGAGTAGTTTGTAGTGAGCATAGGGTGTACGGAGGAATTCGTGTTCAGGAAGGGGTGCATGGGGGGAGACCAATACGAATGTACGAAGTTGGTGTTCCAGCGGTATGACCCGGATAGCCTGTATGAAGCCAGAATGACGAACATTGCTGGTTGGATCGCGGTACTGAACAGCACTGTTGCCTCTGTGCTGGACCATATCGCTATAGGTACGCCTGTTGATGACGAGTGTGCGAGGTCGCTTAGCATTCGGGGCAAGAATGGGGATATCGGGTTGCGCGGGGAGTTGATCGAATGGTTGGAATGGGCGGATGTAGGTTTGGACATGACGGAGGATCAGAACATAATGGGCTTCGTCGAGTAGGGGTGCAGCAACCAGAAACTGAGCCAGTTGGTACGATGTGAGAGTATTACCAGGTACTTGAGAAGCTGCATTGGCGGTGCGAGTGTGCTCAGCATCGGGGTCGGCTTCTGTGAGGATGGCTGTCAAGCCCGAAGTGCTATCGTCCGGAGTCGTGTCATGTAGCAATGCTTGTAGGCGTGCACGTCTCGCTGTTTGTCGCAGCATGGTGAAATCCATATCACCTATGTTGAAGTGAGTATAACTCGTATGCTGTAGAACATGGTATTACACACGCATGCGACGATTCGTCTTGGTCCTCTGAAGCTGACCGTTCAATCGCTCGCCCGCAAACTCGCTCAACGAAGCGACTGGTCCCCAGTTCTCCATGATGCCGGGGTAGTGCATAGCGTAATGGTGATTGGGAAGTGATCCGACAGGGAAGAGCTCCTGAATGGAGCGGCGATAAGAGATGTAGTGATAGGAAAATAGTGTGCGATCATGCACCGAGGTCACATAGGAGATGATGACAAAAGTTGCGACCATAAGATGGTAGAAGCTGTCCAGCAGCTGGCGCTCATAGGATAAGGCTGGAAAAGCCCACCATAACTCGGGAATGATGAGGGGGAAGATAAAGGCAAACAGAGTCAAATATGTATCAGCCTTAAGCTTCCCATGCTTAGCCTCCCCAAGATTCGTAGGCGGCCGATCAAGGTATGTCGGAAGAGTGACAAGAGCAATTACACTCCGGATCAATGACAACTGCACGGCAGTAAAATGGAATGGTGGATGCGAAGATGTCGGAGCTGGTCCGAAGTTGACGGTGATATCGAGTTCGTCATCCGAATCGCTGTCCGAGTCGTCCTCGAGATCGTCGGGAAGAAGTGTAAAGCGTGATGCACGTGGTGTACTGCCACCAGACGGGGTAGAGGACGAAGGTGGCATCTCAACATCAGAGACAGCATTGAGCGAATGAGTGTCGCTGCTGGCGTCGGACTCGAGTTCGGAGGCCTCAGATGCATGCGACTCCACTGTGTCAGCCACATTCTCCTTATCTGGCCCAATATTCCACAGGCGACGCTGCTGGTGTTTGAGGATGCCCTCGATCCAGTTATGCATGTATCCCAGCATGACGTGCTCAATTGGATTCCACGATGGCATGAGATAGAAGGGTGTCCAGCGAACACCGGTGCTGGTAGCCTGCTCGCTCTTTGCCTTCTTGGTTACCAGACTACGCCATTGCTCAGCCTGTGCCCGTACTGTTTGAGCAGAGCGCTCTGTCCAGGCTGATGAATTGAGTTCCTCGATGCGTTGCGAAGGCAAGTCACAGAACGAACAGAACAGATTCGCAGAGTGAGACATAAAGCCCGCAGTCTTACGCACGGCCTCGATGTCGGCGATGAGCGGAGCAAGAACTAGTTGAATCAGCATGCCCTGCGGATGGTGGAAGGTAGGTACATGATGGCCAGGGGAAGTATAGCGAGAAACAACGTTGATTAATAGCTCAAGTATGTGACTGATCGTAATCATGTTGGGAGCGTTTGGGCCCGGAGTAATACCAGCGATGTAAACATTCTCGGGTCGGAAGCGCAGCTCTGGTGGCAAGTTCATGCAGTATAAGACTATGGCACCATAGGACACCTTCTTTCCTGAGCATCAAGCATGATCAGTCAGAGATCAGGGTAAAAAATCTGATAAGCTTACCCGCGATGCGGTTTGTAAGTGGGTTGAACCAGTCGATGTAGATCCCGAATACAAGATTGTATGGGTTTGAGAACTCGCCATGCAGCTTATGCCAGGCCCGACTCTCATGTACATCATGTACATCTCCATCAACATCACTGCGATGATCGCGGTACAGCTGAAAGGACCTGATAAGGGCATCTTCAATCATCTGCCGCCCGAGAAAAAAGCGCAACCAGTCATCGAAGCATTGGGTAGTGTATAGACATCTGGGTACACGTTTAGGGCCCTGGCTCGTATTGCGTGTGGTCCATAACGATGTAGCGCACACCCGCGATCGCGGCGACTCTCGCCAGGTACACTGCTCGGGTGCAGCACTCCCATAAACCAAGAAACATCTAGGGCAGCAGATCGTTCGGAGTATCACGGGCTCAATGAGGCGTTGCTTCAGAGCAGTGCGAACATCAACCGGGATATCGGGTGACGTGAGTGGGATTGTAACGCCCATGGCAGCCTGGGCTGCAACTCTGATGATAGTAAAGGTCGTGGCGAGGATGAGTTTCAGCGAGCGAAGAATGACGTTCGAGGTTGCACGGCTGATGCCAGCGCGTAGATGAAGCCAGATGACGAGTGTGCAGCAAAGCTGGCTAAGCAGAGGTGTAGACCGTGCTAATTCTGGGGAATATTGAGTGCCAGCTATAGCTAATCAGATATCATACACACACCTTCTTTGAAAGCACCTTCTACATCCGCACCAAAACTTGGTAGTATGTTACCAGTGGCCTGTTCGTCACGACCACCCTCTGACCTGACCCTGGCCTCCTCATCTTCGTGTCTTGTCCGAGTCGAGGCACTGACGTTCTGCCCAGGTTGTTTAGTACCATGAATCAAGACTGTATGGTTCCTCTTGCATGAACTGCAGACACAGACAACCATAGATGGATGCAAGAAGCAAGTTCGGTGTCGTCACTGACGAAGCACCACCGCACCGGACTGATGGATGTGCGGCCCGGCTTCGCCGATTATCACATATAGGTTGCACTTCCGGCTTGCACAGGCATACATAGATTTTTTCCGAAATGATCACCGTACCATCCCGGAAATTTGGTCACCAGTCAGTTTTCCGAGACCCGGGAGGCAGCATCTCGGAAACGAAGCGCACATCGGTCTTTCCGGATAAGACTTGTCATGATTTCGGAAATATTGTGAAAGCACTCAGCCTCTTGGGTTACATTCATACAAGCTACAGTCAATGCAGCCTCATAAAGTACAAAACTAGATATCAGAACTATATATCTTCGTCTTCGTCCCCATCGCCTTCCTCGTCAGCTTCGTAAGCAGCAATACGAGCCAACTCATCTGAAGTGGGAATGTTGTAGTCTTCCAAGACATCCTTGCCGTACTTCTGCATGAACTGGTCTTCCGACAAGTTACACCAGGCCATGTGCTCTGTAACTGTGTCACCACGCAAGAGCTCGGCGGGAAAAGCAACACCGTATTCAGCATAGCGCGCACGGTCACGAGGGAGTACGTCTTCATTGAAGTACTCCGGATCGAAGTAGTCAACAGGAACCTCAATCGGAAGTGCAACAACAGTTGGTGGTGGTGGCGGGGATAGACGGATGCGAGCGCGAGGAGCACTGGTAGACCCAGTTGTGAGAAGATAATACAGTGACGACAAGACAATATACGCACTTCCGAGACCGTTTGGTTTTGCCCTTACCAGATCCAGGTTGCACAACCTTTGCACGCTTCTCGTCGACCCATATAACGAAGCGCGTGAGTGCCGGAGACCTGCCCGTCACCGCTTTTGCGACGTAAGCATGGCGCGCCTCGTCCCACTCATCCTCCGACGTGCCCTCGTTCTCTTTGAACATGCGGACAACCTTCTTGCTATAGCCGTTCGCCTTCACCCAATCTGAGCGTCCCTGCCGTCGCTACTCAGGTATCAGTATGTGATATCGTTGAATGTATGAAGATGGTGTACCTTCTGACGACGCTTGTATAAGTTCGAAAGCTCTGATTCCTCTTTCAAAGCTCCCGGACGCTCTGCCTCCTTTTCCCCGCTCTTGCGAAGGTAAGAGAACACGAAATGCCTGTACATCTTGACAGACGGTTAGATCCGAAGGATGAGGTGGGCACGAGACACGTTACCTTCTGTAAAAGTACGGAGTCTTTGAGATGCTCGAAATCGACACCAAAGACTGTGTATGCAAACGAAGCACACATGTGCTCGAATGTTGAGATGGCGATGGTCTCGTGCAGAAGGTTATAGAGCGAGTCTGGATTGTTGCCGTAGATGTCGGGTGTCCAGGCGGAAAGCCCAAGACTGAACAGAGCGCCATACGCGAACTTGATATGAGTCTCGTACGAGAGCATACGTTGCATGTTGCGAAATATAGCGCTCCTACTGTTCTTGCGACCAGCATGGGTGATAGCGTTGCGCAACTCGTCGAACTTGAGAGAGGCTTCGCGAGGAGTGTTGCGTGACGATGCAATAGCGGCATCGACAGATGCCTTCACATTCTGCGGACCAGCAAGCCGGGTCTGCATGAGCGAAGACAGGTTGCCAGATATATGAGGAAGGACATCGTATGGCGAGCACAGTAGACTGAGTATACGTAGATGAATTTGGAGAGCACTCTAGACGCGTACATGAATGATGGCCTGCGAGTGACATGCTGAATACGCACCTGTACACCCAAAGCACCTTTCGGTACTTCGCCGATCTTGAGATGCCACAGATCTTTGAGCGAGAGTGTCGGGGCCTCCGGAGGGACAGCGGCCGTCTTCTTCTTCTTGGGCTTCTTGGGCGAGGTGCTTCCATCATCCTGATCGGTATTGCGGCGCTTTTGGCCAGCGACCGGTGCAGGCTGAGTGCTATCGCTGTCAATATCCATTCCAGGCCGAGTACGCAAACGAAGATGGTGGTGGCGAGATTGAAAGACAAATTCGCGATACACCTATGCTGGCCTAGCATCCTTTGTCCCCTTCAGCATTCAGCACGCATGGCAGGCCCGAGGTGCATGGCAGCCACGAGATGAGCACAACAATGGGCGACCATGTTCAAGCTCGTCTCGCTGCACACACCGAGTACCGAGGTGCATTCTGGACCATGACCCCTAAGATAGTATCATATACAACTTGTATTGACGAGTACTGTGCATATCCTAGGTGGCGGTTCGGGACGAGTCGCGCCGTTGATGTTCAAGTCTCAGTTGACACGCGAACTGCCCTGAATGACGACGTCGTCGCGTGGCCCGCACTGAGGCCAACTGGCGTTCACAACGGCCCTCTAACGGCCCTCTCAACGGCCTTCGTCAATCGGGCCTGACCCGTGCCTCCCGTGTCTCTGACAGGACTCAAGATCTCATTCGTGTCGACGCTGTCCTATCGGAGCCTGGTTTCTTCTGAAATCCTACGCTTTCACTTCCTACTACTACTACTAAGCGCATAGGCTTCGCCTTTGATGCGCTTACACGCCCGCTTATGACCTTCCTTCCAGTCTCTGCCTTCGTAAGCACCAACCAGACAGGGAAGTGTAGAGATCGACGTACTTTCGCTGACGTCTTGCTGCAATAGCGTGCGTCGCCGCAACCTTTGCAAACATTGGGTGGCATGGGAGGTTTGGTCTCGTGGTATTGACATGCTGTTCGCGAGCAGTACTGTGCCATGCGCTTTTTCTCGCGCTCGTACTCCGCCGCCTCCCGCTCTTCGTCCAAACCGAGAGCATTTCCGAGCGCAAGCCACGGACCCTCGATTGCGCGGTGGTGGACAATCACATCACGAGAAAATGTTGACCTGTAACTGCGCAGCATCTGTAACGTCCTGTACCAGTGATTGCGGACCGACTGTGTCAAAGACTTGCGCAGGACGTTGTTCCTGCTGTGACGCTCGCACATAAACTTCGAGAAGGAGACGTAATCGTCGATATAATCTGAACATTCCTCTTTGGCAGCGGTCACACGCCTCAGCCAAGTGCTGGGCAGATGCTTGGATCGATCACCACTCACTCATAAAATCGAAGAGTTGCATCTTGGTCACGTATAAGGTAACAGAGGCGAGCAGGCCCACGACGTCACACTGGCGGATGATAACCGCACGTCCGTTGGGTATCGATGCTCTTGCTGCGACCCCACTGATGTATCGAAAATCAGTCGCACTCCATGATGAGGGACCGGTGGCTCACCTGTATACAAACAACGTCTTAAGGATGATACCTTTGGTCTTTCCTTCATCGTTCACCTCGTGTATGAGTCGTGACAGTGCACCGTGAAGATTCTTCAGTACACCGCACGTCGCGAGATGGTCCACAAACTCGGGACGCAACGTGATAAACCGTATGATCCAGAGAATCGCGTCAAGATCTCGTCCCGCGAAAGGGGCGATGCGTTGAAGTGAGACGGCGAGGCGTGCCAGGAACCTGCGGGCCCCATACTCGGAGAGAATGTCTGAAAGGATGAAGGCCTCCATTTCCCTGCCTGACCCTAGTGCTTCCGTGCTCTCCTTAATCCAATATATAGTGTCTTCGCTATACGCGCCAAACTCCTCACGATTCTTTACCTCCTGCGTGTTGTCGTAATGAAACCACAACAGCAATGCGATACGACGGACATCTTCGTGACCCGGGTGCACGAAAACATCGGTCCTGAATGGAGCCCCACAGTCGTCTAAAAGTTCGTTACTGGTGACAGCGATAAGCGGCGAGGTCTTCATCATTATCAAGGAAATTGGCATACCTGGCACGGATCGTGTAGTATACCATGAGCATGACATGCAATTTATCCTGGACCAACGCCATCGTTCCGAATGTGCTTGTATCGAAGTTGCCTTTCGAGAGTAGGAGACAGCGGTGGGTCCAAATGATGCGACATATTTTCACAAATAGACCGATGAACTTCTCCTCGAGATCCGCCCGTGCTTCATCGCGCCTCAGCTTCAACCTCTTGAGCTCCTCCGGTCTCAGAAGCAGGCAGGATGACAGTATATGGAGAACATTCGCTATGAGACTCTGGGTGTCATGTTCGCATGTGCGCATCTCACACAAAGGTGGATAGAGCCACATACTGGAGCATCCTCAAAGAAGTCGGCATGGGAGACAACTTCATCTACGAAGTCGCATATCTCATGATGTACGGCTTGAGGGTAGCTATCTGTAACACCAGCGACCCTCGCAAGGGCAGACGACCATTCCCAGAGAGGACGGTCGATTGTGCGGGGTATATGCGTGCGATATAGGTCTCGCCATCGAAGGAAGGCTGCTCGGACGTCCTTCTCAACGAGGGCCTCGCATTCAGGCATATCGCAATCCGTGATCTCGATCTGAGGCGGATTGAATAGCATTTCATCGGTAGCGGACTTCCGCTCGAGGAGAGTGGCCGATGATGGCCATTGTTCATCCAGACCAACGGGTTGGTTTCGTACTTCGTACTTCGACCGAAGAGCATGCACTACTCGATGACGGCGACTTCTCCGGCGTCATGAGCTTGCAGGATGTACCACGACGTTTGACAGTTGCAGGCAGTTGGATTCGATCGCACTGAGCGGACTATGTGGAGGTTTGGGACAAACCCCTCACCTCAGTCTCTCGCGTGATGCACGCTGGTACTCCCACGTGTATCCGGCTTTGATCGGATCAAAAAGCCGGGAGTGTTACTAAATAGGTCCGAATATTCTCATCGTTGCTCTTACTCATCTTTCTCTTATAGTTCATCAATCATTCAGAGGTAATGTACATCCTACGAAGGCAAGGAAACTCATGGGAGGTATACTTCATTCGGAGAAGGGCAACACTTTCGGACGCGCCTGCGGCAACTCCACTAGCCCCGGTCGAGTTTGTAGATACATGTTAGGCGGGTCTGTGTGCTTCGTCCTTGATACGTTTACAGACTTGCCTATGCCCCTCCTTCCAGTCCCTAAACAGTGTCAGCAAGTGTACGAGCAGAAAACCTGCGGGCCGTGACGCACCGGACTTGACATCCCCTGCCACAGTAGTATACCTCTCCACAGCCCTTGCATGTGCTGAGCGGTGCGGGAGGTCTGACCGTATGGTATCGGCAGTTTTCCCATGCACACAATTGCGAGGCGCCCTTCTCCGCTCGCTGATAGTAGTCCCTCTTCTCAGTGGCTTCGTCTAAACCCAATACCTTACCGAACGTCATCCACGTATTCTCCAAGTGTATACAGCCCTTTGTAACCTCTGGGCGCACTCTCTCTACCCCTCGCAGCTCCTTTAAGGCGTGGTACCAATGCCATCGGACGGATCTGATGAGCGCCTGGCGCAGCGCGTTCTTCTCTCCATGCCGCTGCAGGAGTGCCCTGGCATACGTAATATACTCAAAGACATATTCACGGCCGCGCTCTTCCAGACAGGCATGAGCACAAGGTTATGATTTGAGGGAATAAACTCACCAGAATAGGGGTATCCATGCATCGCGGCGACAATCACGCAACGGGATAGAAGTCCGATCACGTCGTGTTGCCGAATGAGAGGCGCGCGCCCATCGCGGGTTGGAGCATGAGCTGCGACGACTCTGTGTACATGAATGGTGAGCTGTGATTGCGCCGACACTCTTTGGGCAGACTCTGACCTGTAGATTTCCAGTATATTCACCATGAGCGCGTTTTCCGATGTGATGTTGTCTAGGCGCGAGACATCCAGGGTATCTCTGAATGCTCCAAGGACTCCCGCAGACGCGAAATGGGGAAAGAACTCCGAACGGAGCAGAAGTAGCTGAACGAGATCCAAGATGCGGAGGAATGTACTGTCCGACATCTTGCTTCGCCGGAGGGTTGCTGCTAGGCGGCCAAGCACTGCCTGCGCGTCGTACTCTGGTATGATGTCGGACTGAACAAAAGCTGTGGGTTCCGGGTCTTCTGCGCCGCATACGCGCAGAGTGAACACGACAGTCGTAAGAAGAAAGGCTTCGCCCTCTGGGGTTCTCTTGAAGTCTCCGGTGTAAATTGACTCGTCGTAGTGAAACCACATAAAGAAGGTTAACCGGCGAATGTATTCGTAGTCGACGTGACGGAAAACGGAGTAGTCGATGTCGTTGTCCTTGCAATTCGGATCCCTGCACCCGTATCAGATCTATCGGTAGCTCATGGACTGATTTCTCACGTAGGGCAATGTAGCTGGCAGTAACCAACTAACATTCCATGCACGGCAGTGCGGGCGAGCCTCAGCAGACCGGCATGGTCATCGAGTACGTCCGGCTCTACGAGCAAACGAGAGCGATGTTCCCAAGTCACGCGGCACGCGAGGGCGACCAGTCGATTCATTGCATCTTTGATGGTAGTAGCATCGGCGAGACCAATGATGAAATGCGTTTTCGCTGTCTTGAGGGTGAGCGCGATCATCTTGAAGATGTTCAACACAAGCGCCTGTCATCGCGTGAGTCACGACAGACGGACAGTGGACGATGATCATACATACAGGGAAGTCGTAGAAGAACTCCTCGCGGGAAACAATTTCTTCGAAGAATTCGGAGAGACCGGGGCCGCTAAGGCGAAGAAACGACAGGTCAAAAGAGGTACCCCAGTACACCATAAGCTCGTTTGTCCACGTCCACAAAGGGTAGTCGATTGTGTTAGGAATGTGCTCGCGGTACAGCTCTTGCCAGAACTTGAATCCCGCAATGGGGTCGTGGGCGATGAGCGACTGACAGACATCCTTGTCCAGCTTGACCGGGCTAGTGTTGCGGATGTGTGGGAAATATAAGCCGATCTTCTCAGGACTGTGTATCTCCGCGGGGTGATGACGTTCATACGGGGTGCCCGACATGGTCCAGTGTTGCTTTTCGCAAGTTGAGTCGAAGATATTGTCGAGAAAAGCGTAGGCGCATGGTTCAACGTCGGGATCCCGTTCATCTGGTGGAAAGATGGTGGGTGCCATGGCAAGATGAAGACGCTTAAGGCCGTAAGGCAGAGTCTGCAAGGCGGAGGCAGGATACAAAGAGATCCGTGAGCGCCGGAGACAAGCTAGTTGAACTTGAATTGCGGGAGGCGCAATGGAGGCAGTAGGGCAGGATGACATGGCAGGTCATGATCGCACCCAACTGCCATGGGTTCGAACCGTCTTTGGCGCCTTCATATCATCAACTGAGCGCCGCGAAGTGCCTTCTTGGCTATCAATACCGGAAATGTATGGCGAAACCGAGTTCATGTTAGGACAGGAACTACCGTCAACATGAGAGCCAGAAAGCAACCTAAGTAAAGGGTGACGATCAGCGGATACGTCAAGCGTGACCAGTGTGACGGTCGTGATCTCATCTCACAGGTGCGCATCAACTTTGTGCAAGAACCTACGCGACCCACCTACTCTCCTCGTCCTTACTTCTGCCAAAGCTCACGCACACGCGTCGTGATACTGCAACTTTTTGTATAGCCTGACGACCGAACTTTTTACCCTGTAAATCCTACCCATACACTCTCCACGCGACTCCATGGCCGGCTACTTTTCCAACGCACCCTCTCAGTCTCGGTTCCTCGCGAACTCAGCATCGAGCACGGCCACTGCTACGATGACGAGCACACCGAAACCAGTGCGCCAATCTTCAAAGCTCTTTGCTACCTCGCTCATCGCGGACGGCGAGAAGGAAGCGGGCGGCCCGATTACTGCAACACGCTCCGGTGGCGCGTCGTCGCCCTCTGCGCATCCTCTGCGGAGCACGTATGTCTCACGCATACTCATGCTAGAATATTGGTCTGATTGGACTTCGCGGCGGTAGATGGGTGTTCTGGTTCAGACAGCAGCGTGCGCCGGGGAACAAGATCACGAACTATGAGGAGGGAATCAAAAAGATCGCGGCCTTTTCCACTGTTCGTTCTCCCGAACTTGGCCCTTCCGTACTTGGACTGATTTGACTAGGTGGAATCCTTCTGGTCACTTTGGACACACCTGTATCCCCCTTCGGCCTTGCTTCCCACGACAGACTATCTGCTATTCCATGAACGCGTTCGCCGGCCTGTATGGGAAGACCCTCTGAACCTTTCCGGTGGCAAGTGGATCATACGTCTTCGCAAGGGTGTCGCAGATAGACTTTGGGAGGATTTGGTACTCGCGCTTGTCGGAGACCAGTTTGCGGGAGTGAGCGGAGCGGATGGTGATGCCGAGTTGCCGGACATCTGCGGTGCGACCATCTCCGTGAGACAGAACGAGGACATCGTCTCTGTGTGGAATCGTGTGGAGGCAGACCCAAAGCTGCGTGAGCGCATTCGGTGCGTTTCTGTACTTGGTATCTTACCTCCGACTGACTGTCCGCTAGTGATACTATCCGACGGGTGCTCAACCTACCTTCGACTGTGATAATGGAGTATAAGTCTAATAACGGTCAGCCATCCATTATCGCACATGCCACTCTTCTGACTCGTGCCATAGACTCGATGCAGGACAAATCATCTTTCCGTACTGCGCCGGTAACGCCTAGCGGAGACCGCACACCAATCCTATAGCTTGTATATTGCCTTATTTACTGCATCCAAGCTCTTCACTGTAGCCTTAGCTGAACCTCATACCTCGTATTTCACGCAATACCCTATCTAGGTACATTCGGTAACTGTACTCAGGTGACGTCTCTTGAGAGCTCACGACGAGTGTCAAGAAGAAGTGATGGTAAATGGCATCGTCGGCACCGGGGTCTGCCGAGGTAACCCAATTCGCAACCACACGCGCAAGCCACTTGACCGGAACCGTCATCCTCCTCAAAAAATGCCACCGCAGGCTCGAGAAAGACCTCCTATAATTGGTCTCTATCCACCAGCTTCCAGACCTAGGCTATCTATAGAGACTGCGCAAGACGAGGACTCAGACTGGCATACCGATTCGGAAGAGTCTGGTCTGTCGGGATACTCTTCGCCTGGTTCCGATTATTTCGAGGATCTCCCGCCCTGGGCGCTATTTTTCTATGACGGTCCCGAAGCGGAGGCACTCAAGTTTCCTCTGTCGGGCAATGTTAACCCGCATGACTTCTGGCCGCAACTGAAACTCAACACTCAGCTTACCGGCAAGCAGATCCAAGATCTCATCAGACGCGATCCCCCAGTGGCACTGAGATTCTGGCAGGCGCTATATCGCGCGGGAAAGTCCCCCGGATCAGATGATAATGAGAACTATCTCTGCTGGCGCATGGCGAAATTCTTCACCCGAGTGGTCACAGGCGAACAACGCTCGGACAAGGCTACTAGCAACTTGTACTGTGACCTTCAAGCCGCAGGACTGTACCCATTTCTGGAAGAGATTGTCCGCGATCCTGCGTTCTTCAGAGAAAGTCCTGTAGGTTCATTCAGACCTCTTTTGCTCGTGTGATCTCCGAGCTGACGCGGATGGGCAGCTTTTCGCCTTCTTTGTGCTCGAGATCATTCAAGATGCCGGCCTTGTCTGCCACACACAGGCCTGGGCGATCAAACCTCGCCACAAAGGGCATGCATCGATTCCACAGATCCAACGCGTGATCGCAGCGTTATGCAAGACTGCTTGGGCAGACAGATCCGCGCTGGTCAATGCCGCGGATGACCTCAAGGAGCATCGATCGATGAAGAAACGTATCCGCGCAACGCTAGGGTTATGCCTACTTCACTACTACTGGCTCCATGCTCCGGGCGAGACGCCCTTCGAGTCGGACGACGATTACGCTGTTCTCCGTATACCTGGCTTTGAAGATATCCGGAGGATGTTCGCGTTCACTTGGTTCATCCGTGATAACAGCTCGCCATGGACAATCGAGTCGCTATACGACTGTTTACAAGCCTATGCGTATGGAACAGGCGTGACAGCTGATGAACTGACTGCATTCGTCCGGGATGATGTGGCAGGCGTCTGCGGTGCCGAGGCTTGGTTGAAACGCGTCGCTCGAACGCTCGAGGAGCCGCGCCTTCTCAGCGGCAGTCTTGGCAACGTGCTTGCTGTCACGAACAAGCTCTTCATGAAGCCCGAGTTCTTCCCGTACTTCTACTCTTCCGGCGTTCTGAAGGGTCTGAGAGTGGCAGTAGATCGTCTTGTCAGTCGAGGAAAGCGCGATGATGGCTTGTACTGTCGCTGCGCTCTCGAGGTCTTGCAGATCTATACGTACGCCACCAAAACCATGCGTTCTTGTGGTGATGGATCACTCATGCATATGTCTAGGACCGTATCCACTGATGTATCCGTGGATCTCGGACTTGGCCCGACCATCCGCAACTATGACTGCTTCGAACTTTTGGCACGAGCCGTGCAACTTGCTCCCGCAGTAGGAGACTACACACCAAGTGAGTGTACAGATCTTGTACAGATTGTGAATACAGGCCTCATAGTCTACCATCAGAGGTAGCCAATGCGATATGCACGCACTATGAAGCCTACGGGGTAACTTTCAACCTGCTGGCGGAAAAGAATGTCCTGGGCAAAGCCATGAAGCAGGCCATGCGACGACAATGGTACCCGACTCTACGAGCCATTCGGCCCTACAGCAAGCAAAGTAAAGACATCAGCGACATGGTGAAGACGTGGTATTCGTTGGGGAGGGGCATGGGGCTAGACGAGAAGAAGGAGCAGGAAGAATACGAACGCGAGGTGAAGCGCCTCGGGCAGCTGTGCGCATGGAAGGAGTGCGAATATCATACCAAGAAGCCGACGACACCATTGAGCGCGTGCAAGGGTTGTGGAGAAGTCAGATATTGCGGGAGAGCATGTCAAGTCTTGTGAGATCTCCCTCTACATGAGCTCATTCTCCCACTGACTGGATGGCAGGGACTGGAAAAACGGGCATAAGCTGGTATGCAAGCGCCTCAAAGATACCGCTCATACACCTAAGAAATGAGTGGCACCCTCCATATACATCCCTAGTCCCCTTTTCATCTTGCGTTGCTGTATACTGTGCGTCCATGAAACGAACGGTCATGACAGAATAGCATCGTAATGGATATCAAAGCAAAAGTTCCTAGCGAACATAAGACGGGGTATGAAGGGAGTAGCGGTGAGGTGTCATGAGGTGAAATCAGACTGTCAGATAGATGAGGCACGGGATGGAGAGGCCGCCAACTTTACTTGCTACCGAACGGCGCATCGGCTTTGCCACCATACTGCTTCGGCAATTGCTCGGCGTCAATCAACGGTAACAGCTCCTTGCCGATGCCATGTGGCCCGCGGCCGGCGACCTTCATCTTCGCAAGTGTGGCGGCCGGAAGCAGCGGCTTGAAGAGCCAGAAGATCCAGGTGAACGCGGAGGGCACGTTGACGAAGAGTTTGTGCGAGAGGAACTCGGGATAGTGGTTCGAGAAGATGTTCGAGATCTCACTTGCGGCTGCCTTCGAGTTCGCGTCGCGGCTGTTCCAGCCGACACCTTCGTAGTCCTAAAGAAGTCAATCAAACATTGAGCTTCTAGGGTAACGAAAGGAAGACAGGCTACTTACGTGTACTTGGATCATCTGGTCGACCGTCTCGAAGTCGAGCTTGGTGATACCTTCCTCCATGAGCTTGATGCGCCACCTATATCGCACGCTCAGAGGCATGGATCGAAGGCAGGCGATACGTAGACTGACCTCATGAACCGGTTCTTGTCGCCAAAGACGGTCTTCAAGTCGCCCATCTGCCCGTAAAGGTTATACCTATGCACCTGTATATCAAAGCATATCCTTATCAGATAGCAGTAGATCTGACGTACGTGATCGGTTGGTTGTTCTTGCTGCGTCCATAGATGTGGCCCAAGTTGCCGAATACGTCCTCGGGGAACGTCTCCTGAATGGCAGCCTCGACGCCAAACTCGTCGCGCCAGCGGAGGGTGTGCACCATCATTTCCTTCGCGAGTTCTACGTTCAAATCACTGGGTCTATTCAGTCACTGTTCAGGGTGGCGAACATATCGCTTGTGACGTACCGAGCGCGGAGGAACTTCATGAGTACGACCGACGCCTTCGCATCCTTCTTGCCATTCGGGTCGATGGTGACGGTCCAGAGAACGATGGGGGCGGGAGTGTAACCCTCCTTCTCAACGTAAGCCTTCTTAAACACATCCGGAAGGCCCTTCTACACTCGCAGCGATCTATGAGTTTGCCCCACTGAATGGTATACAAAGGAGCATACCCTAAACTCCTTCAACGCGGTCCACTCCTTCTCTGTGAACTTCTTCGTAAGCTCATTCTGAGGTTCCTCCTCTTCCTTCTCCTCCACCTTCGGCGCAGTCTCCTGAGCCTTTGGAGTGGCTTCGGTCTCGGCAGGCGTAGTCATGGTGGTCGTGGGTTCAGTGGCACCAGTAGGCTCAGGCGCTGGTGCGTCAGAGGGTGCTGCAGCAGGCGTGGCCTCGGCAGGCTCCGTCGTGGCTTCCTTCGCAGCCTCAGGTGCAGGCTGTACTGTCTCCGGCTGCTCAGCAGGTGCGGTAGCCTCAGGCGCCACCTCAGTGGTCTTGGCAGCGTCGACGGGAGCAGAAGTCTCAACGGTTGACATTGTCGACTCTCGTTAGTAGTGGTGGTAGATACTCAAGCGAGCAACGGCAGTCGCCAAGCTGCGCCGCGTCCCACTACCGCGGAGGTGGATGTGTGAACCGTCTGAACGTTCCAGACGCGTCTGAACAGACCGATAAGATGCGTTCATGTTGATCATCATCATCTCTTGAGTACTGTTTGACAGGTTGTAGGCTCATATGTACGTTGGCCGAGTATATAACTACACCGAAGACTGCTTATGGATTTCTGCTAGTATTTGACCAGGCGCCAGTCGACCAGACGCCGGCCGAACCCCGAGTTCCCCACCGCGCGCCGTGCCCTAAATGGATTCGCTCGCACGACCTCGGTTCACCGTCGATATCCAACTGAGATTGTAGAAGTTCGGGCTGTGTCAAGTCGGACTCAACAACTAACGCTCAGGTAGACGGCTGCGCCGGCTTTAGGACATATCATCTGCCGACCCGTACACTGTACCTAAGTTAATCATGGAAAGCTCGCCGCATACGACTTGACCGGCGAACTTTGGCTCGGCAATGTCCGTGGTCTGCGCCTCAAGGGCACGGCAGCCCATCATGGATTGTCGTTCGCAGTCGTGCATCAGGAATAAAGCTATACAGGGATGCTTAGATGCGCCCATGTACACACACAGTTTAGAGTACTCGCGTCTTCGAAGCATTCGCGACTGCTCTCCACGCGAAAGCTGTGGTGCTGAGAACCCGTGCCCCTCTGCAGCCGCTAGCCTCATGCCGCGAAAGCGGGGAAGCCCTTGGAAGCAGCTGCGCATCAAAGAACAACGTCTGTGCTCCTGGAGAAGACAGATGGGAGCACAGGAAGTAGCCAGGTTGAAAAGATCGACCCCACCAGACCCCAACCAGAGCCAAGTTCACGAAGTCCAGGTCATTCAATGAAGTCCCCACAGACCGTAAGCACCCCCGATTGCAAGCTTCGCGGTGCTCCTCGCAGCGCCGAACTCGCGCGTACGACACACAACACCTTCCCCACGAGAACAAGGAAGAGCCGCCGCAAGGTGGTAGAGATATCGGCCCTGTCGTGGGGGCATCGGCGAGTGAGCGGCATCAAGGCCGAGCAGTGCGCCCGCCGACGCTGTACATAACGAGCATGCGTTCCGTCTTTCATCTCAGACGGCTCAGACGTACAAGGGGTGGTATTTCTGCGGTCCCAGAAGGAAGCGACCGCGCGTTCTTCGTGCGGCAACGCAACGAGCCACGGAGCCGGTAGTGCTAGCGAGATATAGTATCGGACCACGAACGTGCATCTCAGCAAACTGTACATTCGGTGGGAGCGAGATAGCGAAGAGTCCAGTTGTGGCGCTCCGGGAAACGTTACAAAACAACAGAAAAACATAAGACGGAAGCGCGCGTATATCGATCCGCCGCGACAAGCTCGGTCGTTCTAGACCTTTCTTGCTCTTGTCTTTCACTCAGTTGGGCAGACCATGGGGATACTTCGCAACTTTTATCGGTCAGATTCGGGATGGCTGATGGATACGATGCGAACCGACGTAAAGAATATGCAGAAGGTGATGGTGGCAGGAGGTAGAGTTTGCTACAGATGGAATGCGGGGTCCAGCGGGAACCCCTATGTCATAGCTGAGATCGCTGAGACCGCTGCGGGGCTCCTTGTGCCCAGACTACAAGAATACTCCCGTCGAATGCCCCGCAATAATCTTACCCTCCTACCCCGACCATGTCTGCGACGAACACGCCAACCACCCGCCGCCGCTCTCTGTCTACACGTCGCGGTTCCGTGACCGCGTCTGACCCGTATGGCCAGCACGTACATCTCAACCATGAGCCTGGTCGTTCTACCTCTTGCAAGCTGTCCATCGTGCGCGTGATCTCGCCGCCTCCGGTACAGCTCGAGCAGCCTCCCGCGTCGCCCGGCCATCGCCGGCACATCCACCGCGATAACCACCGTCGCACCGGCTCCGGTGGCCCAAACGCGCCAGGAGGCAGCCCTCGCATGAGCTTCGCGTCGGCATCATTCGCTACGCCTGGCTCGCCTACCGCTCTGCGGCCAGCCAGTCCTACCCATCATCGCCATCACACTCGCGCCGGCTCTCATGGACTCGACTCTAAGCCGCGTCTGAACGCGGACCAGCTCCTCGCGCTAGCACAGGAGTCCACCAGTCCGCGTACTCCTGCGCCCCTGAACTCGCCCAACCTAATCGGCACCGTTCCCACCGTGGACACAGCCCCTGCAAACTTTATGCCTCTGGCTGATGATGTCTACTTGCCGTTCGTCAACCGCGCTGAGGAGGTCTCCGCCCTGTTCTCGGGTCCCCCTTGCTCGAAGCTTCTCCATCTGCTTTCCCAAACCTTCGCGGGATCGCCCGCGGCTACGCCGGCGCACGGTAGGCCGGAAGATGCCGTATTCGACCTCGACCCAAAACGTTGGTCAGCTCCACAACTAGCCTACTGGCTCAAGCGGGTCGACCGAGACCGCGCGCCAGATGACATCTGGGTGTCACGCGCGCGTCGTTGCATTCTCGAGCACAGCGAACTCATCTGGCAGCGCATCAAGGGCGCGCTGGGCGTACCGCCAGAGCTCGACTACGACGTCGACGAGGACGAGGCGCTGTCCTCCAGCGGTGACACATCAGATGCCATTGCGACGCCTGATACGAGCGTTGCCGGCCTTGTGGATGAGGTTATGACGGGTAGCATGTCACCCGAAATCCCGGTCAAGGTCTCTGCGCCGCCTGAAGTGGACGAGCAGCTCGAGCACGTGGACGACGACATCGAATGGTTGGATCTCAGCCACGACATCTCCATCGAGCCCATCATCCGCGGCTCCTCAAACGCCCAGCTGCTCGACGCTCCGCCCACCCGCCCTGGCGCACACACCATCCACGAGTCCGTCCAGGAAGAGGATGAAGAGGATGAAGAGTCGGCTCCTACGCCCGCGCCCGCAAGTCCCGAAATTGTGCAAGGGATCCGCATCTCTACGGCACCCGCCACGCCAGGACTTTTCGGCTCAAATTCCTACTCGCACTCGCCCGCGATCAGCGCGCGCTCTCACACGTCGCCCATGCGGTCATTCACGCCTCTTCCTGACGCACACGAACTTGCAGGCTCGGTTGCGTCGCCCGCGTCATACACCTGGGGTCGTGCGCGCAGTAACAGCGCCGGAAGCAATCGCCACTACGCCTCGAGTATCACGAGCTCGGAGGGCGTCTACGACGCTCTTGGCGAACGTGGGCCTGGAAATCCGCTATTCCCCAGTAGCTTCGCGCGTCTTACCATCGGGCCGACGCTCAGTGCAAAGTGTGTCATTTCTATGTTTCAGTCGCTCGCGCGCTTCATGCTGACATATTCTCGACCTTTAGCAATCCTGCGCTCAGGCGTCCATCGTTGCCGCCGCCGCCGATGTTTGGCAACCCTCATCTTATTCGTGGACGCCGAGGTCCACCTAGCTGGATGTCCGGGTCGTATGACCCTGCGAAGCACGAGTACGCGGTTACCGTCGGCAGCGAGTCGAGCATGAGCGCCATTGCCGTATAGACGATTCACACAAACCAGTATATCATTTGCATAGATTCCCTTTGGTCTTACACGTTGTCACCATCTCTACCCATCCCCATCTTCTCTCAATGTTGTGCTTGTCATGGAACTTCTCTCTGTTGTCTGTAACTTAAATGGCTGGTGCCATCTCAATCACATACTCCCTCGCGTCACTGACTTTGGACAACTCTGGTGGTGATGATCGAAGTGAGAGCATGAGTGGATTGAGGACACGCATGGAAGACTTCACATACTTGATAATAAACGCAGTTGAAACGCACGCTCTCGAGAGAGGCCAGGAGGGGCGTAGCATGCAGGGAGTCGCGATCACCTGATCGCGTACTTGCCTTATCGCGCAGACCGCGACGGTAGTCGGTTAGACCGCGCCAAGCTCCGCGAGCCCGCAGGAGGTCCGGCGCGTCCGATAGCGCTGCTTGACTCAATCGTCCACCATGTCCACCGTCCAATTCACGAACAAGCTCTCTGGTGCAGCCTCAGCCGCCCCCGCGCATACTCACAGTCATGACGGCGGGGCTCCTCATTCGCACGATCATGGGCTTGGAGAACATGGGCATACCCACGAGATCTTGGATCATCCAGGTTAGCCTTTTTGCGACACTCTCACTGAGTTACAACTCTGATCCTAGCATCTTCTATGTAGGCAGGTTTGCCGAGCGTGATTTGCCCGACTGGTCGTCGCGCAACTTCGAGGAACGCGGCTTCACGATCGGCATTGGAGGGTACGTCCTTGTGTGCAGTCGCCGACAAAGTTGATCTCATACAGTATGTAGGCCGGTAGGATCTGGTAAGACAGCTCTCACACTCGCGCTATGCAAGCGTCTTCGTGACGACTACAACATCGGTAAGCATTGTACTACACTTCATCAACTCTACACCCCTGATAGCAATGGATCAAGCCACCGTGACAAATGACATCTTCACGCGCGAAGACCAAGAGTTCCTCATCAAAAACGAAGCGCTTCCAGCAGCCCGCATCCAAGCGATCGAAACCGGTGGCTGCCCACACGCTGCCATCCGCGAGGATATCTCGGCGAATGCTGGCGCGCTCGAGTCGCTCCAGGCGAAGTACGGGTGCCAGCTGCTCTTCGTTGAGTCGGGTGGAGACAACCTGGCTGCCAACTACTCTCGTGAGCTCGCAGATTTCATCATCTACGTGATTGATGTATCGGTAAGCTCGTCCATCGTGAAGTATGTGGTTTAGGAAGGCTGAGATGATGCAGGGAGGAGATAAGATCCCGCGTAAGGGTGGCCCAGGCATCTCGCAATCTGACCTACTTGTGATCAACAAGGTATGAAACAATCTCTCGTCGTTGATGCTAGCTTACAAGGGATCTATAGGTCGACATCGCGGAGTACGTCGGCGCATCGCTGGATGTGATGGCTCGCGACTCGAAGCTCATGCGCGGCGATGGCCCGACTGTGTTCACGAGCATCAAAAAGGACATCGGTGTCCAGGACGTCGTAGATCTCATTCTCGCGTCATGGAGGACAGCTGGGAGCCCAGGAAAACCGGGCCATTCGCGCGATGCTTGATTCTAAAGCAGCCATCGGCGCACCAGAGGAAGGATGCCAAACGGTTGTATAGCAATGTAGGATAGCAAGTCAATTACAGATGATCCATACGATCGAGGCAAGTGGCAGTAAGACAAGATTCTGAACCCAGAAATAATCCCATTAGTATAGTACACAAATGTGGAGAAAGACGAAAGCGAAAGCGAGGATAGTGAGATGTATCTAGCAATACATCATAACGGAATGGGCGGTATATCGAGTAACAGCGCCGTCTCGGCCCACGGCATATCATCAGGCGTAGGCGGCCTGAAGAATACCTTGTCCCGAACTTCAACGTTGGGCACCAGCTTCTTCAAGCAATCCACGAAGTCCTTCGCCTGCTCCGGTAGCGTCGCCAACGCCGACTCGTCGAGCACCAGCGTCTCCAGCGCGTTTCCAGCATACTTACGATGCTGTAGCATATCGATCACGTCGCCTTGCGCGGAAAGGTTCGCAAGCCAACCATCTACGCGTGCGCTCGCGGAGAGGTAAAGCGTGCGAAGTTGCGGGAAGAGCACCTTGCTAAACGCCATACCGTTCTCCCCTCCTGTGGGTTTCACGATCTGCGGGCTGAGCGCATCGAGGAGTTGCGAGTTGGGCATCCCGTCAAGAGAGATGACAGACGGTGTCTGCACTGACGCCAAGGCGTTCTGCCAGCGTGTCGACAAGCCCGGTTTCGTGCTCATGAGCTCGAACGTCTCGACGGATTTGAGATCGAACGCGCCAAGTACGCACTCGAGCGTCTCAACGAACAGGGTCGCGCTTGTTGGCCAACGGCAGAACTGGACGTCCAACCTGAAGCTGTAATCCCGCGCGAAAGGACCAGTCCATACTGCGTCTTGTCCGACATTGACTTGACCCTTGTCCGGAGTAAATAGACAGAAGCGCAGGCTCTCCTCGTCGGGGAAGTCAAAGATGGACACGCCGCTGACCCGTCGTTCGGCACCTGCTGCTAATGCAGGTGCGAATTGGCGACCAAGAGCGCGTAGGAGCTCGAGGCGCTTTGAGCAGCGCTTCGGCTGGAGAAGGACCTGTGTACCCATCTGCGGGGGCACTGGGATTGTGTGCGTGGGGTCGAGGCGCAAGCGCACGTCCGCGCTCGGAGGTACAACAAGGTGGGTCCAGAATGCAATGGCACGAGGGGTCTCCGAGGTGATGGACAGCTCTTTCAGCGCTGGTAAGTTGACAACAGTCTCGTCCGGGATGGCGTTACCGGATTCGTCCAACATGAGCGGTTTGGCTTCGGGCAGATAGCCATGAACATGCAAAGAGCGCAGATGCGGTGATGCTTGTAGCAGTCTTAGTAAGGACGCCAGAGGTGGGATGACCATTGCGCTGTTGTCGCTCCGGATGAGCGACAAAGAAGTCAACTTGGGTGCAGGCGTCCAAGGAACGAAGATATCGCGAAACTCCAACTGTTGCAGACGCGGAGCATACAGCGGTAAAGGGGGGATGGGCGAGCTTTGCGCAGGTAATGTGCCGGTGAGCCTCAAATCCAGGATCAGCGTCTCCAGATGGGGAAAACTATTCCCTGAGAGGGCTCGAGTACCCTGAGGCCATACGGAGACGGCGCCGTGCCCAGGACGTTCATGCATATCGATGACACGTGCCCGAGCAAGATGCTCTTGTGCGAAACGAACGGTATCTTCGCTATACGCGTGTCTGCGCGTATCCACGCGAAGAGTCAGGGGAGCGTCCCGTGCGCGATCCAGCATGGTCTCCTCGGCGCCAGCTAGAGCACAAAGGGAGTCCGCCCACAGAGATGCCTTGTTCAGCACGATGCGGCGCCAGCGGTGGCAAACGGCGGCGAGGCGGACCCATCCGATCTCGCTACGCGTGGGTAGCGTGCCGACGTGTACGTTTATGCTGAGGGCGGGAAGGTTGAGATATCGCACGCATGGTCGGCGTGGCGGCTCCTGCTCCGCGACGAGTTGAATAATCTCGCCGATGAGTTCGGGGGGAAGACGAGATATAGGTTGACAGTCGTTCTTGCGGGCTCGGATGCGACGCGCAAAGTCCTCGATGAGTTCGAGCTCAGCGTCCAGATGAGGGAGTGCGTCAAGGGGAACTACATCCTGGCTAAGGAGTTGCTCGACCTCTTCGAGGCGCGATTTCGAGAGGGAGGGAAGGGAGGTCGACCTGTGCGGGGAGGTGAGCGTCATGGTGGTTGTGGTTGAACACGGTTGACGCACTGTCTGCAAGAGGATTCGCCCCTTGGGAGGTGTGCAGTGTACATTGTTCTCAAAGCGGACTGGTATGTTGATGGGGGCGGGGCGTGGTACGGAGCAGCAGTTCACAGCAAGTTCGACAAGATATAAAACAGAGTGCAAGAGCCGAGGAGCTAGTTGGTCTATAGCCCCGGATTAGGTCAGAGAACAGAAGCAAACCCCCGCGTTCGAAGCCAGACACGACTCCAGAGAGAGGCTACACGGCTTCCAGGCGTGGTGCGCCGATGGATGTTATATGAAGCGGGCCTCAGCGGGCCGATACCCCCGCTGCATCGCAGATCCCCACGGCACGTTGCGGTCCCGAACATTCGTTTGTCCGCGGGGCATCATGGACCGCAATTCTCGTACGTGTGGCGTAATCATATGGCATGACTGTATCCGGGCACGGCAAACTCGACCACATCCGTATGCGGATTCCGGAATGACGTGATTCACACTGCCTGCCTTCCAGTGTCCAACACTGCGTAGATATTCTCAATCATTAACCTAAATCCTCCCAGACAAACCCGACGCGGACATAGACAAAACAAAGAATAGATGCGAGAAGCAAGCAGTGAGCGAAATCGAGTATGTAAGGAGAGCGGAGGCGGCGACAAAGTGCGTAAGTACGGGGTTATAGCGAGCGAGCGTTTGACAGGTTAAAACCTACTGCCACAATAGGCAGAGGCGAGGCAACGAGCGACGAATGTCTTGTTGAGTAAGTAACAGGACGACGAGATGAATGTAGGGAAATGCGAAGGGGAAGGGTCATGAGAGGAGGTATCACAGTAAATCAAGGGCAGCGCGCATATCCGTCCGTTCAGCGCTGTATACATATACACCCGTCCAACCAGTCGAGTTCAAGTGAGCCTCTAACTCAAATCAACGACCCCGACTGCGTCTGTTGTTGCTGCTGCTGTTGTGGCTGCTGACCCTGCTGTCCAAACAGCGACGCCCCAAAGCCGCCCGCGCCTGCCCCGAAGGCACCCGCACCAGCGCCTGTTCCCAGCCCGCTCGCACCCGCACCGAATGAAGAGCCGTTAGGCAACCCAGTCGGCTGCGAGAACAGCGATGCACCCGTGCTACCTCCAGCACCTCCCGTGGCGGGGAACATACTCGCGCGGAACGGATTCGCCACACCACCCGCACCAAGTCCCGTCGCTTGCGGGCGAAGTCCAACACCAAGAGTACTGCCCAAAGCCGGAGAACTCGCGCTAGAGTTGACGCCACCGTTCAAGCCAGCTCCAAGCCCGAACGGCGATGGCGAAGTAGCACCGCCACCAGCTGCAGGTGGACTCTGCGCGGCGGGCGTAGCGGGTTGACTCTGCGGAATAGTCGGCAGACTCTCAAGCAGCGACGCTCCGAACGACGAAGTGGGCTTGAACGCCTTGAGCCCTGTGAATCCCGTACTCTGCGGCTGGAGTGGGGGCGAGCTTGACCCATTCGCGGGAGACCCTGCACCCGAACCGAACGCTCCTGCACCTGTACTGGTGCTGAACAGCGATGTCGCGCCAGTGCCCTGACTCGAGAGAGCGCTTCCGACGCCGAAGAGCGACGCACCAGTCGTAGTGGTAACCGTGCTCCCAGTCGGCTCGTCGGGTTTCGCGGCTGTTGCGCCACCTGCGCCGGTAAGGAACGAACTCGCGATGCTGCCAATACCCGAGCTCACGAAGCCCGTTGGCTGGCTCTGCAGCGGCTGCTGTTGTGTCTGTTGCTGCTGTTGCTGCTGTTGTCCGTGCCCGGGCGGGCCCTGTGAATGATACTGCTGGAACTTCGACTGACCGAGCTCGAATAGCGTCGGCGCCTTCGGTACAGGTGGTGGACTGGGCGCTTTCGGCGCGCCGAAAGGATTCCGACTGCCGGTGGCGTGGGTCTTTACAGGTTGTGGCGGCGGGCTGGACGGCTTAGCGAACGCATTCAATGGTGCAGACGCCGGACGCGCAATACCGCCGCCGAGCGCGGAAGGGTTGAAGCCGGTAGCCTGAGGTGCAATCGACGACTGTGAGGCCGGGAATGGGTTGTTGGAAAAGCCCGAGGTAGAGAGGGAGGAAGGGAAGGGGTTGGAGCCGTTGGTCTGTGGCTGGAATCCGGTGGGTTGGGACGGGAAAGGGTTGTTCGTCGGTTGCTGAGGGAAGGGATTGCCCGTCGGCTGTGGCGCGAGTCCGGGGAATGGGTTCGTTCCGCCATTCTGTTGAGGGAAGGGGTTCGCACCGTTCTGCTGAGGGAAGGGATTCGAGCCATTCTGTTGAGGGAATGGATTGCCGCCATTCTGTTGCGGGAACGGGTTGAGACCGGTTTGTTGCGGTTGCTGGGGGAATGGATTCGAGCCGCCCGCGCCGAAAGGCAAACCGGTACTGTCTGGGAAGACCATCGTCTGAGGGCGGAAGGGGTTCCCGGTGACCTGCGGCTGTAACGCTTGCTGAGCGAACGGCGAAAGACCACTTGGCTGCCCGAACGGTTGTTGTGGCTGACCGAAGGCGCCCGGTACGGCGGTGAATTGCGGCTGCAGGTATCCATTGGGTTGTGGCTGGAAGCCGGTAGGTTGAGCAGTGAACGGATTGAAACCGGCTTGTTGTGCGAAGTAGTTGCTCGTTGGGCTGGCAGCAGTCATTCATCAGCCGTGCACAGTGGGCGTAACAGTGACTTACCTGTTCGTCGCAGGATTGAACATTGGCGTCTGCTCCTCCTCGATCGCCGAGAAAAAGTCTGCGAAGGCCTTGGTTTCCGTCTTCGGTGGCTCGCTCGTTGACGACGAAGGTTGCGGGGCGGACTCTGCAGGCTTGGAAGGGGCGGTAGTCCCGTTCCTTACGCTACGGTCGGCCGCATCCTTGTTCGCCTTGTATTCGATGCGGTTCTGCTCGAAGTTGGGGTCGTTAAGGTACTCCTCCAGACTCTTGACCAGTGATACGGGCGCCTGAACTATTATTAGCATGGTACGGATAGCGGATGTGCGGTCGCGAAGAACATACGTGCTTGAGGTTGGGGATCGGAACGTTGAGCAGGTTCTGTAGCTTCTTGGCGACACCGAGGTATTCGACCACATACTCCGCCTGCTTGCAGAAGTGGCGGTAAATTGCAAGTGCCTGTTCCGCGTCGACGTGGGACATCTCAAAGTAGTGCTCGAGCACGTTGATCACGCCCTCGTTGCCGGCCTGGAAGAGGATCAGGAGGTCTTTGACGAGCATTCGGAGCGCCGTAATATTGAGTTCATCTTCCAGATCGTCACGGTAAAACTAGAGCGGTCAAGTTCAATAAACGTCACTACCCGATTGAGAAAGGGACACGACATACTTGACAGGCGACCAACGCGTCGATCATCTTCTGCACGACGCGGGTTTCCCTGAGCAGTCCCTTCTCGACTGTCATGACGCGCAACTTGCGGCCCATGACAGTCTTACTCCTCCCGAGCCCCTGCGGTTCCGGTGCGGGCGCAGGTTCCCTCTTGTTGCGAGAAGATCCACGGTGCCCGTCTTCTTCGAGCGAGTGTGAAAGGCGCGCATCACGGTTGGATTCGGACTGCACGCGAATAGCATCGTGCTTGATGTCCTTGTACGCGCGAATACGGGCGTCCAGATATACGGCGTAAGCTTGCAGATTCTCAGGCGCTTTGTAACCTGATGGCGCGGGTTGAGCGCTTCAGGGATCGGTATGGGAAAGAGGTGGCGGACGTACCGTCCCACTGGCCAGAGCCAACATTCCTGAGGCGTAGTACGTCCGAAGACGAGAGATATGCTAGGACTTTGTCCGTCGCGCCATTGCGGATCATAGTATGCAGAACCAGGAGCGCCTTGAATACGACCTAGTGGACATCCCACCCAACGTCAGCAATGTGAATAGTCAGGGTTGGATGAGCGAGTTCATACCGTGGCGTTCGGCTCGCGGAAGCGAGGGGCGAGAGCCCTGCAGACGTCGTGAATGGCCCCATCGTCCGACCAGGTAGCTGCGATGATGGGGTCGAGGTACTGCAGCGGGTTAAGTCACTGCCAAGAGGCTTATATAGGCCGCAGTGCCCACCTTGGCCTTGGGTGGGGCGTGCTTGGGCTTGCAGGCGTTCTTGACGACCTTCTCGAAGGAAGACATCGAGGGCGTCGGCGAAGGGCTCGAGAGCGTTGAACGAAACCCGAGCGCACCAACTGTGATGTCCGTCAGGGACGCGCCAATCACCCGGTCTCTCACGCATCAGTTCTGCCTCCTGCTATACCCCGACTGCGCATTACTTCCATAGCGCGTTTCCCCGCTTTCTTCCAACTTTCATGTCGTCTACGCACGTTACGAACACAGTACCGTATCCCGTTTGCTTTACGGAGGAATCTATCGGCAGACTTGAGATGTTTAACACGGCCACGTGCATGTATCATACGCCAAGACCTCAGGTTAAGCCGCAGACACGGCGGTGTCAATCCGACGTTCTCTGCTAACCCAAAAGTCGCCTCCGCCCACCACCTCCATCCCCCACCCAGTGCGAGTCGGGTCCGTGAGCGACGCGACGATGGCCGCCCTCAGCTTCTTGCGTCCGACGCAGAATATATTCTCTAATCGCGGCTTGTTCTTGCGATACATCGTCCTCCCTATTGCGGTCATCACCTTACTCTGGACGTTCACATCCTTCGCCGTCCCAGACTGGCCGCAGGACTACTTGCACTGGGGACCCCCCGGCGAGTTGGAAGAGTGGGATGGCCACGGCCCGCCGCCGCCGCCATTCATCGACGATGGACCGCCGCCGCCACCGCCCAAACAGCAGCACGGCGCGAACCCCTCTCAGCAGTTTGTTATCCATGACTTCCCGCCTCCCCGGCCTAAGAGCTGGGCGCATGCTGCTGAGCGCGTCAAGGCTGCGTTTGTGCACGGTTACGAGGGTTACGAGAAGTTCGCGCATCCTCACGATGAGCTGCGGCCCCTCACGGATTCGTACGCGGACAGGTGCGTTCGGTGCTCTCTACGTGCCCCTTGCTCTATCTAACACAACTGTTGATCAGCTTCAACGGATGGGGCGTTACACGCGATGATTCTCTAGACACCATGCTCTTGATGAATCTGACGGACATGTTCGACCGCGCGATGCTGGGCGTGAAGGAATTGACATTCGATATGAAAGAGGTGCGTGAAATGTTTCTCGCAAACATCCTAGCGTCCTTCTTCTCTTCCTACGGCGTTCTTGCCCGACATCGGTCCGCGATGTGATGGTCGCGTGCCGGCGGTTCGTGTGGCTCTAGTCCCACTTCGGGCTTCGTTGCGCGCGTGTAACCTGTGCGGGCGCCTAACACTTGATCGGAGAAGTCGTTCAGGCCCGCCTTATCCCAATTGCCCGCGCCTGTCTTGTAGACGCAGGACGCCTCATTGGCCGCCGACAACTTCTTCACACTCGCTGCCATACTCGAGAATCGCCTACTCATGCATATGTTCACAGCACAAGAAAGCGCCGTTCTTCGAAACAACAATCCGGCATCTAGGAGGCTTGCTCTCTGCTTACGCCCTGTCGGGAAACCCGATCGCATTGGAGAAGGCCGAAGACCTCGGCACGCGGCTGTCGCCCGTATTCAATACGACCAGCGGTCTCGCGCTCTTCGACGTAAACACCGTCACGTACGTATCACCGTCTAGCCGTTTGCCAAGATTCTCACTACAGTATCTTTTTCCAACAGCGGCGCTACAGGCCCGCGATACCAAGGGGCGCTTGCAGAGATCGCGTCATGTCAACTTGAGTACATGTACCTGGGCAAGGCTTCGGGCAAGGTTGAGCACTACCGTCATGCCGACAACACCTGGGAAGCGTTGAAGCGTGCAAACCTGTCACAAACGGGCGGCATGATGCCGACGTACTTCAACCTCAACACCGGCCAGCCGGTCGACTCGCGCCTATCGGTCGGCGCCATGGCTGACTCCGGACACGAGTACCTCATCAAGCAGTACATCCAGACTGCCAGGACTGACAAGACGATCCTCGAGATGTGTATGTGCTCGATCCTACCGAATACCCGTACAATGCTCATTGCCACTTACAGACTTGCGCATGACGAACCACGTTCTGACCCGTTTGATACACCTGTCGCCCGAGCGCAAGATCATGTATCCTGCGCTAACGATGGGTATCCCGCCTCACGACCAGGCGACCCGTGTCTTCGAACATCTCGCTTGCTTCATGCCCGGCCTCTTCGCGCTCGGCGTCAACCAACTCCCATTAGACAACCTCGCATCGATAGGCATCGACTTCCTCTCCCTCGCCGATGATCTCAACGATCAAGGAAAGGAGGAGCTCCGGCTGCTCGCCAACTACAAGCTCAGCGACCTCCACAAGTGGGCAGCCGAGGGCATGAGCGAGGGTTGCGCTACGCTCTACCACGACCAACCATCCGGTCTTAGTCCTGATGAAGTTGCTATGGCCACAGACTCTGGCCGTTGGTTTGACGCTCTCGAGGAATGGCGTCTCGCGGGTAGCCACGGTCCGGCTCCCGGTACAGCGCCTGTCACGCCGATACGGCCCACCGCGGAGAAGATTCGCCCGGACATCAAGACGCGCGAGTACTCCCTCCGCCGCACGAACTACGAGCTTCGTCCTGAAGCTGTTGAGGCTCTGTTCTTGACATGGCGCATGACCCACGACGAGCGGTGGCGCTTACATGCGTGGAATATCTTCGTTGCGCTTGAGCGCGAGACGAAGACGAAGAGTGGATTTGCGTCGGCGTCGATGGTCGACCGGAGTCCAGCGCAGCTGAAGGACTCTATGCCTAGGTATGCGATATGTCGTCCGATTCAGCGCACAAGGCAGGATGGCTGATTTGAATCTTCCAGCTTTGTGCTTGCGGAGACCTTCAAGTACCTGTACTTGATCTTCATGGACGATCTCGTGCCATTAGACCAATGGGTCTTCAACACGGAGGCTCATCCGCTGCCTGTGTTCAGCTGGACAGAGAGCGAGAAGATTCGCTTCGGTATCCCTCCCTAGTCGCACAGAGATGGATTACTTACCGCACTCGTTATCACTTACACACTTACATCCGACCTATCGCATATTGACTCTGCCATGATTGCATTCTTTTGTTGCTCGCTCACTGTATATTATGGGGACCGCGCCTAAGGCGGAGGGGGTTCTGGACCATCGCAGCCTAGCGTAGATGCTCACTGGATTATAGGATTGTTTAACGACATTGAGTCAGACATCTGTGCTTGCAATGCCGACGCGTGAGATGCATACGAAAGCACAGCCTCGTATCAGTACCTATCGATCTCTCTTTGTCCTTGCAACAAAGAACACTGTGGTTGATACTCGGCCGCGTGAGAAGAACCACAGGCCCAAAGCGGTCCACGCGCCACGCCTTCTTAATCTGAGCCACCCTCCACCACCGCTCTCATGTCCACGCACCCATCCCCCATCGACGAATTCTCCTTCCCGCCTCCGCCGCCGGACATCTAGCTTAACTTCCTGTTCAACCGATCCTTCTGCTGGCCCTAGCTCAGCAACGGTGTCCCGCTCACGATGGCGTACCGCATGTTCTCCTTCGAAATCGACCCGAAGGATATACCGCCGGTAGACCAATCGATGGCCTCCATACCCAGCCCCGAGCTAAAGAATACTTTGCAGTACGATGTCAAGGGCCTACGCAACGTGCCTGCCGTGATGAAGGACGTGAAACGCGCATACAGACAGAGGAAACGAAGCGACCTTCACCTTACCGAGTTCCTGCGCGTCTCTCAAGCTGTCGTCCAAAGCATCAACAGAGACTTCGCCGACTCGAAGAGGGTGGATGAGAAGACGGTGCGAGCACTCTTCAACGACGGCACTTTCGAGTACGCTTTCGACGCCTTGCACGAGCCGGGTTTCTTCGAGGAATCGCAAGCGGTATGCACACTTTCCGCGTTATAGATATCGCGATCTGAACTGACTGAGACGTTCTGTGTCGTGGTTCTAGTCCTCGTCAACGATGATGCTGGGTATCTTGTTCAGTCCAGTTGCTCTTGTAGACGAGCTTGAGATAGTCGACCTTGCGGAACGCATCGTCAACAAGTTGACGCCGGAGTTCTGGGAGTGGATCTGGGGTCTCCGCCACATGACGCTTGCACATCCCTTGCGGCACGTCTTCAAGACCCTATCACATCTCACTGGAGCCTACGTTCGCTTGTGCCAGTTACTGTGAGCGATCTCGAAGGAATACAGCCAGATGCATTGAGCTAACTACTATCCCAGCGGAAAGGAGCGTTTGACCGCAGCTGTTCAGACTCGTGTTGTACAGTGGACCTTCTTCGCCTGGCTCAAACTATCCTCAGATTCCAGCGAGGACTGCGCACTTACCGGCCGTGACGCTCTGCGTAACTGGGGTATCTTCCTCGAAGTGAAGGACGCCCTCCCCGAGCACAACGACTTCGTCACCCCAGAATCCAAGTTCTACATTGACATTCTCGAGACATATGGTGCCGAGGAGATCTATAACAGACTCGTGTTCGATTATAAGGATCCAGGAGCGCTCGCTTACAGCTACAAGTCTTTGAATCAGTACTATCAGCCGTCTATATCCAAGCTTCTATGGAACCTAGGCGACTTCCCCGAGACCAGCGATCACGTAGTTTCTTCTGGGATCCTCACACAGCTGGTACGACGCATTGAAGATTATTCCCACCCGCATCGGCATCACCGAGACTACAACAACGTCATCGTAGTCTGGAGGTAAGAATGACCTACATAAGTCTCAGCAGTCTCAGCATCTCATCAGTGTTCACCATCCAGCGATTGCGTCAAAAACTTTGCAAGGAACATGGACTCAAGCTACATCTTTCTTCCCGAGGATTTTGCCAGCTATTTGGCGCACGGTATCAATGCCTATGCCCTAGAGCTCTATGAGACGCAGGAGCAACGAAGTACGTGACTGGCGGTTCAAGCGGCCGATCGACTCGCTGACTGCTCAACAGAAACGCACATGGAGCGTGTGATGACCTTGTTCAAGTACCTCGAGTCGTTCAGCACGTTGGGCGACGAGGCCGGGTACATTCACTACATGGACGGTTTATACGATCTTAGCGACACGCTGGTCGCTGCGATCCATCGCAATGTCCAAAGCTACTTCGCGAAGAATAGAGCCAGTATATTGGAGGAAGAGGCCCCGTCGATTGGCAGTCGCTGGCTCAGCTTGACGTACAAGTTCCATTGCATGACTGGAGTCGACATAGGCTACGCGAGGTCGGTGTACAACGACAAGCGTGAGTGGCTCTGCGATTGGCAGCGCTGTCGGCACAACTGGGACCCTGTTACCGATAAGAGACTCAAGCTTTGTCGAGGATGTGGTATAGCGCGCTATTGCGGCTCGGATTGCCAACGCCTGTAAGTGTGTCTGCTCAGGTGCTTGAGGACATGCGGCTGATTGACGTCTAGGGACTGGAAGGCAGGTCGCCACAAGACCATGTGCGGCAAAAGGATCAAGGACCATTAGTGTAAGAAACTCCAAAAACCTGTATGGTGTCGCTGTAAACACATGAACTCAACTTGTATGTACCGTGTAGCCCAAATAGCATTCACTTTCACCCAAGCGATTGTCAGACCAATCAAGGATAGATAATGTTACACAAATACATTGATGGGGTATTTAGTAGATTTGTGCGGATACAACAGTACAAAATACATATGTAATACAGTTATGCGCCTTCGTTGAGCCCGGATGATCCCACAAAGCAATTCACGATGAGGCCATAGATATGTGTGCGTGTGCAAATAGCGTTTAGTCGGAGTCGCTCTCGCCGCCAGAAGCGACGCCCTCCTCCCAGCCACGGGAGCGCTCGACAGCGCGCTGCCATCCACTCCAGCGCTGGGCACGGTCCTTGGCGCCCATGGAAGGCGTGAAGGTGTGTGCACCGGCGGTGTTAACCTCCTTGAGCGTCTCCGGATTGGTGATGTCCCAGCCGAAGAGACGAATGGCGGAGCCGGCCAACAAAGCCGAGCCGAGCGCGGTCGACTCACGCATCTCAGGGCGAACGACGTCGAAGCCTCCGATGTCGGCGAGGATCTCCATGGCCATCTCGCCGTTGGTCATACCGCCGTCGACCTTAAGCTGCTTGAGCGGCGCCTTCGAGTCAAGCTCCATGGAGTCGATGACAGCGCGAGTCTGGAAAGCGTTGGCCTCCAGCGTCGCGCGGCAAAGATGGGCGGGCGTGGTGTAAGACGACAGGCCGACGATGGTACCCGTTGCTGCTGGGTCCCAGTAGGGAGCGAGCAAGCCAGAGAAGGCGGTTACGAAGAAGACACCGCCTGTCGTGGGAACGGAAGCTGCGAGGTCGTTGATCTCCTCGGCAGACTTGATCATACCCATGGAGTCGCGAAGCCTTGGAAAGAGTGTCAGCATAGGAAGACAGGCGTCGTAAAAACGACTCGCGTACCACTTGACTGCGCTACCGGCGACGGCGATTGCACCCTCGAGAGCGTACACAGGCTTGGCGTTCGGGCCCGGCTGGTATGCGACCTGTGAAAGAACGTCAACAGGGCATCTAAGCGGCTGAAGTTGAAGTAACATACAGTGCTGAGGAGACCATGCTGGCTGAGAACAATGTCCTCACCCGTGCAGAATAGCAGGAAAGCACCAGTGCCGTATGTGCACTTAGCCTCGCCCTGCTTCAAGCACTTGTTGCCGATGAGTGCGCCCTGCTGATCACCGACAAGACCACCAATCGGGACACCCTTAAGAGCGCCCTTGCCAACCTTTCCGTAGACCTCGGAAGTCGAGACAATCTTAGGAAGGATAGACTCGCGGAGATCGAAGAACTTGAGGAGCCTAGGCTCCCACTGCAGCGTCTTGACGTTCATAAGAAGCGTGCGGGAGGCGTTGGAGACCTCAGATATGTGAAGACCCCCATCAGTTGCACCAGTGAGGTTCTGAAGAAATAATGAGTAATCCGTCCACTTGTGACCCGCTAGCTTGTGTACTCACGTAGACGATCCACGACTCGACCGTACCAAACATGAGGTCGTCGGACTCATGAGCGGCGCGAACGTTCTCGTGGTGCTCGAGCATCCAGCGAAGCTTGAGCGCAGAGAAGTACGTTGAGATGGGGAGACCAGTGAGCTCCTTGAGGAGCTGAACGCCGGCGGAGCCATGCTTGTGGTGGCCAGGAGCGGTCTCGATGCCGTAGTTCTTAAGCTTCTGCTCGAAGTACGTGACAAGGTTCCTTGTGCGCGAGTCGTCCCAGACGATGGCGCGGCATAGAGACTTGCCAGTCTTGCGCGACCAGGCTACCGTTGTCTCACGTTGGTTAGTGATGCCTATAAGATGCGCGGAATCTAATCAGCCCTCGAGCGATCGACCTTTAGTGCAAGGCACACGTACCGATGACCTTGACGCTGTCACGGGCCCATCCTGCCTGCTCCAGCTTCTCGCAAGCTTTGTCGATACAATCCTCGCAGATGGCCTGGAGTTCTTCAGGATCATGCTCGTGCCATCTGTAGATCAAAAAGATAAGAAGAGAAGCGTGAGTGAGGTCATCGGTTTGAATGCGGGGGCGGAGTGCGGGGGAATGGGCGCTTACCCTGGGTGGGGATAGTACTGAGGGAACTCCTGCTGGTGAAGAGCTACGATGTTGGCGTACTGGTCGAAGATGATGAAGCGGGTCGAGCTGAAGAGATGAAAGATTAGATCGGTCAGGTCCTCGACGGATGAGACTGAAAACCTACGTTGTACCGCAGTCGAGAGAGCCGACGAACTCGCCTTGCTTGAGAGAAGACATGGTAGTAGATAAGAGGATGGCCGTAGAGATCAGGATGCGGCTCAGATTTTCGGATGCGGGTTCTTATACGCTGGCTCGGGGCGCGCTTTCGTCTGCTCATAGGGTGACCGAACGTCACGAAAGGACCCCTGATCAGGTCGGCAACCCGCCGGGATCGGACCGTCACCCGGGCCGTACGCCAATAACGAGTCGTTCCCGTATTGCATCTTTGACCCGCCTCGCCCTGCCATACCCGGCCGTCGGTCTCCCCTTCCGGGCGCAGTCGTAGTGTCTCTGCCCCATACGAAGAATCATCGATGCCCCGGAGCGGGGCCCAATTCTGTCAATGAGCCCGCGTCACCTCCAAGGGGCACACGATCTACGGAACATTCTGAGCCTTTTCATGTGCTCCGGAGTGCCCGACGAATTATCTCTGACCGCATAAACCACATCCGAGAGCAGTATACGGTATGGTATCGGTACATGTTTACTCCACAATGTCATGGATGAACGACTGCCGAGTTGTCTATGTCATGATCGCAGGACGCATCTACCTGCGCACCCTGCCTCGCAGCTCGCAGGGCGCGGACAACGGCTCCGAGAGTCTACCCTACGAGAGCCCGAACTTCGTCTTTTCTTCCGCTGTCCACATGAACACGGGCATAGGGTGCGCCTCCGTGTTGAACACCCACTTATCGAGCGGGACCAGTTCCTCGCCGGAAAAGAGGAGATAAAGGTATTTCAATCTGGTCAGGCAAAAGGCATTTAGCGACTCTTCCAGCAGAAGATCCAATCAGTACAACGCACGTCTCGGCAGTGAAGTAACTGGTAGAGAAAGTGAGGTCAGCATGGCAGCGCTCCTCTCAGATCTGTCGACGTACCTTGGCATCGAATCCTTGTGCGACGGCGGCCAGTCTGCAACGTTGGACACGGACGCATACCCGGTATCTTTCTTCGCCGATCTGACAATGGCTTGGAACATGTTCCATCCATGCGTACGCCAGCGCACATCATGGGTCGTGCGCCAAAGTACGAACATAGACTCGATAGTCTGCGCGATGTTATGGGTCAGGATCTCGATGCGATCTAGCCGCGCGCCGAGAATACGCACCTCAGGTCGCAATTCATACGCAAATCGCTTTAGCTCGTACTCGTGAAACTCGTACCCCGCCTTTCCCCGCACTGGTATCACGGGTGCAACGCCGGGTGGGGTCCCCGCACTACCACCTTGTCTCCAGACCTCGAGCTGGTCGATCCAGCGTACCGCAGTCCGGGTCATTTGCGCCTCGTCGGGACCAAGACCCGTAGGCTGATCAGCATACATGACCGCGCAGGCCTCTCCCATGCCAACGGCAGCCCAGCGATGTAGATCAGAAAGTTTGTAGTGCGAGAGCAGCTCGTATTCAGCTTGACCTGCGGGGCTGAGATCCTTGCCGAGTGCCTGGAAATCGATGCCGATGGAGGCGAGATTGTCGAGTGGAAGATGCTGTACACCGAGTGCAAATAGTCCCGGAAGGAAACACGCAAGATGCTCGAATGTACGCTCGCGTTCATCCTTGGGCATAGCGCCGCGAGTGGCAACGGGGAAGAGAATCTTCCGCTTCGGCGTTATCCACAGCATTCGCGTTATCATATGCGTAGTCATCCTCAGGTCTGCGCGTCTGGCATCAGTACCATCCGGAACAATACAAGACACTGCGTACACATTTCAAGCAGCGCTTTGTCCGTTTTCCCTGTGAGGATGTACTGCTTGAGTAGGTACTCATGAGCGCTATCGCCCTGAGCGCCGGCAGTTAGCTTCTCTGGAGATCTGGTCAGCTGCGAACCAGCACGATACATACGGTCGGTACGTACCGTCGTTTGGTACACCCTTGTGTATCCGCCAGTCCGTCGGCAGCATGCCACCGAACTTGGAGACGTCTGCATTCTGCAAGACGCGCCACACCCTATTAGCCTAGGAACCCCTTGATCAGTTGTACCTTGACACGGAGAAGTGATCGGGGAACGTACATATCGAACGTGATCGCCATGCCCCGTGGCTTTACTGAGGTAGCTATATTCGGGCTGACAGCTGGCAACCTCGGCCAAACAGACCGTCTTGCGGTCACTGATAGCTCCCCTGTAATCACAGTGAGTTCAGACAGTATGCCAAGTGACTGCCTCCAACTCACGTCGTGGGGTTGACGCTGTATTGCGGCAGCCCGCTGTCTGTATTGAAAACGGGCGACAGCTTGCGGGCAAGCAGATCCGCTTTCTCGAGCATAATGGCATCACCGGAGATCGCGTACGCAGAAAGCAGGCCGCCGACGTGCCGTATGGCTGTCTCGAAGAAGGGTGCCTTCCTGGACTGCACACATGTAAGCACCGGAGGACCCATGCCTGAACCGTGACACTTACCGGGTGAAGCCAAAAGTCTGCTTGCTCAACCTGCTCGTATGCGCGCCGATACATATCGGTCTGATTCATGAGCAGCATCGTGTCGAGCGAATCATGTAGTGTCACTCCCCAACCATTGAAGCTAGACGGCCATCAGATACGCGCTTGAAACCAAAGGCATAGTACGGACTTGTTGATATGGCCCTTGCTCACTGGCAGTAACTCGTCGTGCGGAGCCGCAATCGCTTCGTACGCGGTGTAGGCGTGCACAAACTCCTCCTTCACCAACTGCGCGGCTGTGTCCCAAGACTTTGGTGGAGGTGGAGGGTACGATGGAGGGTCATGCGAATATACATAGTCCGGTCTTGCGTACCAGTCCGCTGGCCAACCGCCGAAGACACGACTGTGAGTAGGGGACCCGCTAGTGTGAGAACGCAGTATCGTCCAAAGAAGTATCACGAGCGAGAGTGGCAGGAGAACATAGCGGACGACAAGGCCGCGGTGGAGGAAAACCTCTCGCACGTTCTGAAGATAGAGTTGTGGCGTCAAAGGCCACCCGCGCATCGACGCCTCAGAAGGCATGAAGGTCCTGTGACGCGACAGAACACTATTACAGTAGTGAACTTGTCCACTGAGCGGCTGAGCGTCAAGAGTGAGGGTGTAAAACGAAGAGGTGAAGCTGGACCAGCGTCAATCCTATCCGCCTTGACGTAGGCTGGTGCGCAGCGCGCTGCGCAGTTCTAAATTCGGTAGAGACTCATCGCCCTATACATGGCGTCGGCCAAGTCGACAACACTGGAACGAAGTAGAGTGCGCGTATATGCTTCCATGCCCATAGCGCGAATCGTGATGGTGGTTGCTCGCAAGTGACGGGGTTCAATTCGCAGCGGCTATTGCAATTGATTGGATATCCACATGGACCAGGATGTCTCGCGATGTGGGTCCATGGACCGGTCTGTGCACCCGAGTTTGGAGGGACAGCGTACACTGTACAGCACTGTAGCCTTTCAGCGATGTACTATATAATGCTATACAGCGATCATACGCAGTAGGTCCTGAAGTGAAATGACATAGACTGGTACATCATAAACATATGGGGGGCAGCAGGCCAGCGGCGCCGCTTGCTATCGGAATTTTTTGAGCGGATCACTTTTCTTCCCTCCGCGCCCGCCGCCTCCGAACTTCCCGCCACGGCCACGACCTCTCCCCCTTCCCCGTCCGCTCTTTGTGAAGGGCACGAAGCCGACATCTTTCGGAGTAGCGGCGGGCGACGCGTCTTGATCGGCTTGCTCTGCCTGCGCATTCTGGACAGAAGCGACGCGCGGAAGAAGGTACTTCGGGATGTGCTTCATGTGCGATTGCACGCGGGTCGGATGAAGCGGCTTGTCATGCCGAAGGAACTCCAAGTCGAGTGGATTATCCTCGAAGTGTGCCTACCGGCGGGCGGAAGCGGCGTCAGCGCGATCGACGAATCCCAAAGAAGCCGGGGGAACGTACCTTGAGCTTATCCGAATTCAAGATCTCTTGCTTGAGCTCCTTCACCCGGGCTTCGCGTACCGCACTCTTGGTCACCGCCCTGAGCGCGTCACCCATACGATAACGGAAGGCCTCCACTTGCTTCATGTCGAATTTGTACTCGCGCACTTTGCTACCGCGGGCAGCCTGGTCCGCCTCAATCCGCGCCCACACCTTTTCGTCGTGCAGTGTTGTAGGGACGCCCCCAACAGACTTGTCTTTCCCAAACTCGTCTTTCGGCAAGACGAAGGAGAGTGACATGCCGGAACGCCCGGCACGCGCGGTGCGCCCAACCCGATGAGTGTATGAGCGGGCCGTCGTAGGCAGATCGAAGTTAAGAACACAAGCCACGTCGATGAAGTCTACACCGCGAGTTACTCCGTATTCGTTATCGGCCTTGCGTGACTTGCGTCTTCGAGACCGTTCACTGGGCGGTGGGGACCCGCGTTTACGCTTCTTCGAACTTGGTGTGGACTCGGGCGCAGGCGAGGAAGGGCCAGCCTCAGGCTGACGTTGCGTTGAGATGACTACGCAATAGGTCAGAGATCAGTCGCGAGCGTGGATGGAATACTGACAGTCAGCTTCTTCAGCGTCCCCATCCTTACCCTCGCCCTCATCTTCGACCTCAACCTCCGCCTTTTCCGGTACCTCGGCGTCTGGGTCATCCATCTCAATCTTTCCACCTTCATCTGTCGCGATGATATAATCGTAGACGCCCTTGTTAAATTCTTGGACGACATGATATCTGGCGATACGGTCAGATGATGCGACGCCTACGGACAGGAGAATACTATGACTGACCTTGAATTGAGCGGCAGCTCTGAGTTCAGGACGCAACTCTTTATGGAGAACTGCTCCAAGAAAAGTTTGAGGCGATAGCAGCGGTCGACGTCGTTGACAAACAAGATGCATTTCCCCTTGATGAGCTTGAGCTTGAGGATAACGTAGGTCAGCAGGAACTTGTCGACCTCAGAGCACCTAACAGAATGTGTCAGGACGACGCAAAGAGGAACCGCATCATGATGTACTTGACAGAGTATTGCTGGAGAGTCGCCGCTTCATCCTCATCCTCCTGTAACTTGAGAGTGACCTAGCAATGGATTAGAGCATACTTTTTCAAGCAACGCGCTTGAACTGACAGGGTTTCTCAAGGCCAAGCCCTTGAGCACATCGACGTCCTCGGTCATCGTCGCACTCATGAGAAAGCTCTGGTAGACCTTCGGTAAGAAACCACCTTCGAAGATCGCCTTCACGTCTTCGTCGTGACCGTAGGAAAGGATGAGGTCGGCCTCGTCAATGACAAGGGACTCGAGATGTGACAAGGAAAGTGTCTGTCAGATATGATGAGTGAATGTATGCGGTCGAACTAATCCAGTACACACCTTCGCCTGTAGTAATGCCAGTATTTTGGCAGGCGTTCCGATCACGACGTCCGGTTTATCCGCGAGTAGTTGCCGCTGAGCCTGTCCCCCAACCCCGCCCGCAACATTTGCGATCACAAAGTCGCTCTCGCAGTATTTTGTCAGGCTCTTGATATGACTAGAGACCTGCTCTGCCAGTTCTTTGGTGGGCACGAAGATGAGGGCCCGCGTGCACTGTCGATTCTCGTCGGAGTAGCTAAGCGGCTGTGTGAAAGCGTGAGATGCGAAGAGACCACGAGATACTTTGCGCACCTACAGTCTTCGCGTTGATTATTTTCTGCACTAGAGGGATGGAGTATGCAGCAGTCTTTCCACTGCCGGTGCGCGCGCGAGCCAAGACATCACGGTTCTCAAGCGCCAGAGGAATAGCCTTATGTTGTACGAGTGTAGGTCGCGCGAAGCCAAGGTCTGATAGTGCCTTGAGTAGTAGAGGCGATAGTAGATGCGCAAAGGCGGCAAACGAGTCTGGCTTGTCCTGAACCATGGCCGTGCAGAACAAGTCGAAGCGCACGCGCCGTGCCAAAATTCAGATTGATGGGTCGTGCGAGTGCCCCTATTCCCCGTTCGCCCGAATTTCGGCCACATCTCGACTTGACTGCAACCTCCATCTTGCAGCCATGGACGCGTCTGAGCCGTCCCCCATCGCTCTGACGCACTCCGATCTTCCTGATCTCAAGTTGCTCTCGCGTGGCAAGGTTCGCGATATATATGAGACTTCCTCGCCTGATCACTTGCTCTTCGTCGCGTCGGACCGCATTTCTGCCTATGATGTTATCCTACAAAACGTCAGCTCCAGCAAACCGTCCTCCATTGCGCGTCGCAGTATCTGACGCGTGCTACGGATACCGCAGGGTATCCCTGACAAGGGCAAACTGCTCACGGAGATCTCGGCGTTCTGGTTCTACAAGCTGCGAGAGATCCTTCCCAACCACGTCGTCGCTGTGGACATCGATATGATGCCGGAAGTCTACAAGTACAAGGACCAACTTGAGGGTCGTACTATGCTCGTACAAAAAGCCAAGGTTGTGCCGCTCGAGGCGATCGTACGCGGTTACCTGACTGGTACGCCTCTCCCACGCTTGCCCTGATGGCTGTTCCAAGATCGCGCCAGGGTCGGCTTGGTCCGAATACAAGAAGTCTGGGACTGTGCATGGTATCAAGGTTGCGGAAGGCCTGGTCGAGTCTTCACAGTTTCCCGAACCCATCTTCACGCCGTCTACCAAGGCCGAACAGGGCGCTCATGATGAGAACATCTCGCCCGAACGCGGTATGTGCCCTTCTTTGGCTTAAGATCTTGTCACTGACTCTGTATCAGCGGCGGAGATTGTCGGGCAGGATATTTATGACCAGATCTCTGCGGTCGCTGTCAGACTGTACAAAGCAGCCGCAGAATACGCGCTCTCTCGCGGCCTCATCCTAGCGGACACGAAGTTCGAATTCGGTCTCATTCCTTCACAAGACGGCGGGAAAGATCAACTCATTCTTGTTGATGAGGCACTAACGCCTGACTCATCGCGCTACTGGCCACTTGATGGCTATGCACCCGGTGGTCCGCAGCCTAGCTTTGACAAGCAGTACCTTCGTGACTGGCTCACGAAGGAAGGGTTCAAGAAGGGACTCGAGGCAGGAAAGGACGGGAAGGGATGGACAATGACCGAAGAGGTTGTACAGGGAACGAGGGGGAGATACGTTGAGGCGCGGGACCGCTTGCTTGGCATGCGATGAGCCTTGAGGCGTGAATCCAAATTGTTGTATCCTTATATAGATCTCGCCGTGCTACACAGTCTACTACTTGAGTATTTTTCCAACTCTCCAAGAGCTCATTCTGTTCGAAAGGTAGCTCAATCAATCCGCCGCGACTATCTTGGTAAAGAACGATGATTGAAACGATAGTTGAAGACAAAATCATGAGGTACATTCAGCGCATCGTACATACAGCAAAACTTCTATCTCGTCTCGGCATATTGTCAAGCGGAAGATCATCGCTCGAAGGTGAGCCGGCGCTTACGCCCAGCGCCCAAGAAGCGCCATCAAACCGATACCGAGAGCCATGCACCCGACGGCATACGCGACCTTGCCGTTGCTCGCCTCGCGCATCTCCGGGGAGAAGAGGAACTCGTGCGCGAGCAACTCGACGAGACCGGTGTAGATGAGGATACCGGCGCTGATCGCGTCAAGTACACCGCTCACGATGCTCGCGGTCGTGCTGCCCGGGTTGTACGTGGTACGCACACCGAGACCAGCAGCGATGCCGATGGGCGTGCAGAGACCGTAGACGAGCGCGGCGATGATGGGGATCGACTTCTGGTGCGAGCCGGGGAGGCGTAGGAAGGCAAGACGTGAGCCAAGACCGAGGCCCTCGAAGGTCTCTATAAGAAGATCAACATGATGTGCGCCCTCGGGTATCTATCGCACTTACGATGGAAGATCAGGACGACAAACAGAACCTTGAAGTCGGGATCGACAGCCAACGTCAGACCAATGAGCACACTAGATAGGATGTGCTATGAGTACAGACAGTTGTGAGGGGTTTTATTGACAACGAACCTGTGAAGGACGACCCCGAACTCGAGGATGGCGATCCCGATGATCTGAGCGAGCGCGGAGTGCATAGCCTCGGCTGTGTCCTGCGACAAGGCAGACTCTGAGTCGTCGATCTTCGCCTTGATGGCAGCTTCCTGCTGTTGACGCTCGAGATCGCTGGGCTCAGGGCTATGACCACTCTCCGGGCCATGAGCGGAATGACCGCCCAATCCGTGACCATGTGCATCTGAGTGCTCGCTGAACAAGAGTATGGCGGGTGAGAGCGAGTAGGCTTACCGTATGCGGGGACGCCAAGACGCTTGAGCTTAGCCGTACCAATACGGAAGGCAAATAGCTCGGCGACGAAGAGGAGGAAGATGGACAGAAGAGCGAGGGCGAGAGCGTAAGGCTGAGTATATGCGTCAGTATCGGGTCCCCAATAAAATAACGATAACTTACATAGTCCTGCCATTTGGGGTCTAGACAGTCGCTGCCGAGTTCGTCGAGCGCTGGTGAAAGAAGATGAATGAAAGCAGTAGCGATCTGCGAAGGATTATCACTTGGACGTGTCAAAACTCGAGGAATGAATTCCCACGTACGATGACACCCGAGCCGAAGTACTTCGCAAATTCGAAGACGCTTTGTGGAACGGCAAGACTCGTGCGCTTTGCCAGGACCGGGAAGAGCGTGCCTGCGGTGCCGCCCACCCAGATGATGAAGATGGAGGCGATGCGGAGGCCGGTGTAGTTGGTGGAACCGCCGCCAGAGCCGCAGGAATCAGCGTCGTCTGACATGTTGCTGTACAGAGGTGTCGCTTGCTAAGGAAAGGCGCTGGAGCTGGTACTGCTCAGGAAGCACGTCGGGCGTCTGCGAGGGGCGATCTGTTTATATACAAGGGATTTTGTACCACCGCAACAGTCCCTGCCAGACTGAGATCGGAAAAGTTTGCGCCAATGAGTTGGCGTATGGGTGATGTACCACATTGACGGTAGTAGACGCAGGCCGTAAGCGACCCTCGCAGTAGTTGAATAGCAGAAAGCGCTCGGACACATCTCACCCGGTGCGTCCGCGCAGCAATCTATACATCGTAGCAAAATTACAGGGAGCAAGTACCCTTGCGTAGCACGATCCACTACGCTGGATGTAAGCGTGGTGAGTTCAACCTGTCTCTGGCGCATAATAAGCCAGCAGATCACAGGTATTCTTCATGCGCAATGTACTGCGCGACGTGTTCAATCGCTTCGAATCGAATTCGCGGGGAACCAGATGTGGCTAGGCACGGTGCCACATTAAATGAGTTAAAGGTCGCACGCTCAGAGCCAATGGCAATTGCGGACTTACACTTCGCGTCACCGGTGTGGTACTCGTTCTTGACCTCATTCAGGGTGATGATGTACACGGCCGGTTTTCACAATCAGAGGGTGGCTTGCGCTCAAAGTACCGTTCAACGGGAACGCCATAAAGGTTTTGTCAAAGGATATGGCACACCGATTTGTCCATCTGCAGAGTCAGAAGCACGGAATGGTGGTGGCAGGAGACAGACAGGTGTCAACGACGACGCGGTTCTTTCGGGTTGATCGGGCCGTCAAGTTGCACCCGACAGTCGGTGCCACATTTCACTTTCGCTTTCGAGTGCCCGCCACTGTCCGGCGTCCCTCTGCCTTGTCTCTACTTCGGTGACGGCGTCGCATGCTCTCCGGCAGCGACGTATATCCGAATAGCAGGGGGCATATGAGGTGGGGGAAGGTACTTAGAACATCAGAGGGTGTCATGGACGGTCGTCGATTGGCTGATATCACCGCTGAGCGCTGACTGGTGAGGTTCTCGCGTGGCACGCAAGCAGAATAATTCACTCTCAGTTCTGCTTGTTGACACGCCGTTACCTCTGACCTTTGCGCTCCTGCTCCTTTCTCCAATCTCTCCCTCCGCTACGATATGTCGGACGACTCAAACTGCGGTGCTGGTGGCGGCTCTACAGACTACACGGGCCTCCGCATCGCCTCCATCTTCGTCATCTGGGTCGGCAGCTCAGCAGGAGCGCTTTTTCCCGTGCTCGCAAAACGAACGCCTTGGTTAGGCGTACCTCCAGCATTATTCGAGTACGGCAGATGCCTCGCTCGCGTACGATATTCATCTAACCGGTTTGTATCTTTATAGCTTCGCAAAATACTTCGGATCGGGTGTAATCGTACGTCGTGTGCTCAACACCCGCCATCACCAGTGCTGACGGTCGCCCAGATCGCAACAGCATTCATCCACCTCTTATCCCCTGCCCTAGAAGAGCTTGGCTCTCCATGTCTATCAGAGGCATGGTCAGAATACGTGCGCGCCTTTGTCCTCCCCTTTCTCTTCGCGACCTCTGACACGGCTCGCTATAGCCCTACGCCCTCGCAATCGCACTCGCATCAATATTCTTCATCTTTATCGTGGAACTCTTGGCCTTCCGCATTGGAACCGCGAGGTTGCGAAAACTTGGCGTACATCACGGTATGTGCCGTATGTGCATTCCCCTCGCATGGTCATGTGTAACCCAGAGTAGATGTCCACGGACACGGTCTCGGTGGCCACTCAGCGCACGGCCCGGAAGCCGCTGGCCAGTCGCGTGAAGCTACGCCCGGTCTGGAAGATATCCAAGAAGTGCTGCCAGCGTCCGACGCGGAGAGCCAGATTGCTGTGACGGAGAAGAAGCAATCGCATTCCCACGCACACGCCGCCCACGACGACGGGGACGACGATGACGAGCACTCGCACGAAGTCGCCGCTCAGGTCATTGGCATCGGAATCCTCGAATTCGGTGTTATCTTGCACAGGTCCGCAGCCGTCCATCGCTGAGGCGGAACCCCTTGACTGACTGTGTGCGGCGTACCCAGTGTCCTTATCGGCCTAACCCTCGCGGTTGACCCCAATTTCAAGGTCCTCTTTGTCGTCCTTGTTTTCCATCGTGAGTGTATATTCCGAGAAGCGTTCCACATCCGTGCTCATACGTACCATTCAGAAACATTCGAGGGACTCGCGCTCGGTTCAAGACTAGCGTTCATGCAGCTGCCTCCAAGACACAATTATATACCCATGGCGGCCGCAGCGCTATACGGGCTGACCACACCCATCGGCATTGCCGCAGGATTGGGGGTGCGCACCTCGTATAACCCCGGCAGCGCCGAGGCGAGCATCGTCTCCGGAATCCTCGACGCGACCAGCGCAGGGATCTTGATCTACACCGGCCTCGTTGAGCTGCTTGCACACGATTTCTTGTTCAGCCGGGAAATGCGCGAAGCAAGTAACGGCAAGGTCATGTATGCGGTCGGGTGTATGTGCGCTGGGTGCGCGCTCATGGCTCTCCTTGGGCGTTGGGCATAGCACCCTGCGCGTGAGTATGTGCGGGTTCCCGACTAGAGACTTTGACGATCGGGGACGTTTGCTGTGGTCTTGTTGTACGTCAAAAATGTACGATACGCATGGAGTAATGTACCAGTACTGTCGCATTCGCGACGCAGAAGAGAGAAACCAGTGTGGCCCTCTTTCTATGGCAGAGTATAGCCCTTCTCTGGCAATATCACACCTCGTGTATGAGATGAGACGAGAGAGCCAGTAGTTAGATCGTGGTGGCACCCGAGCAAATCGTTAGCAGCCCGACAAGCCGCGAGTGAGCTGACTCTTGCCGGGCGCGCGCGGTCACGCGGCATCGACACGCGGTGAGCGCGCGACGCGTCTCGAACGCGGGTTCGTCTTGACCACCACGTATTATTGTTCGAGTCCCAGTTGTCCTATCACCACCCGATCAAGTATCGCTTGAGATTTTCTGCGCGAGAACCTCAGCGACCATGCATGGATGGTGTGTAAGGTTCCGTGCACCGCCTTCCTATGGGATATATTCACACACCCACTCCGTCATGCAGCGGCATCTCTCTCGATATCTGGGCTCAGCCTTGGTACGTAATCTTCATTGAGACTACGAACAGCCCCCTCATATCCTGTGCGTAGCTCGAAGATGTCGTCCAACCGCCCATCCCACATCTCGTACATGGATTCATATTCGGCTACCTTCTCCGCTTGGAAGGTAGCATATAGCAGCATGCTTCCTACCAGGAGCATCCAGTCGAAGGACGGGCGAGATATGCCCCGCTTCCAACAAGAGTTCTCGATGTTCCTTCTCAATCGACCCGAACTAGCTATTCATTATCTCTGTGAACTGCTTCGCATTCGGAACGAACCCGGTGCGCCACCAACCGCTGAATCTCACTTTGTCGAGGCAGTGTGTGCTGTCGATGCTACGCTCTGGATCTCATTGAACTTTCCCGAGCACAACGATGACGGTGTCCAAAGAACAAGGAAAAACTGGTCGTGCTGGCTTAGAGCGGGATTGCCCGTGTTCTGCAAGGAAGCTTTCCAAGCTCCGGACTATTTTGGTGCCGAATCTGCACAGGCTTTGGTGAGCGTTGAATATCTGGCAGCATGAATCGCAACTGAGATCTACTTGTTTCCATGTAGCCTGGCTGGCAGGTCAATGTCATCGTAATACTCGCCGCCATCCTCTCGCAGACCACCCCGCTAGATTTGCCATCCCACTCAAGCTTGAACAATGTTGTTGCACTCGATTTGCCACCCGATGAATTGAGCCGCGTTTTGGATGAAACTCATGCGGCCCAGGATGCTCTATGGCCCGTGTTCTGGAAGCGTCACTCTATCTTTGAAGGAAAAGGAATCATACGTGATACTGAGGTATGCATGAGCCAGATAAGAACGACGGGGGAATTGCTCTGTCTTTTGAGATGTAATCTGTACCAACATTGGGCGGTCTCCCAGTAACGACATTTATCTCTTCATGTGTCACACACAAGTCTGATACTCCTGACAGCTGTTATGATTTCCTGGAGGCGCCGACTACTGTCTGGCTACGGAAGATCGCGTTACTGCTGTGGCTTCACAGTGACGATGACGCGGACTCAGACGACAATCCTGAGCCTCGATGGGCTTTATTACCCAGGATATTTGCTCCATATGTTCACGCTTACGAGCAAGAAATCGACATCGACCGTCCGGAGTTGGTAGCTTTCGTTTGTGATGAGCTACTTTCTCGTCAGACTGCCGAAGCCTTCTTCCTGGGAGTTCGCGCTGGGCTAGGACAACGGCAGCTATGGGGATCTTCCCTCAATGATATCATGATCATCATATATATCCTCATCACCAGCAGTACAACACTATTGTCTTCGTGCGTGTCCGCGCGCGTCTTCTCGGAAGTCCCCTTGGCGATATACCGTCACGAGCATAATGCCGAGGGTGGTGAAAACAGGAAGATCCCGCTTCAGCGGACGGTTAAAGCATTTTAGTAAGCATACTGCATGCATCCCTGGCTCCATGTCCTCACTACTTCACACAGTCACGTATTGCATGGTTGTGCTACGAAGCTGGAAGCCGATTCAGATACGGGATATCTACTGATCGATTGCAAGTTCTTTGACGTGTACTACCGTACAACTGTATCCAGTCTTTCCACGCAAGGCGGCGTCGACTGTGTGTTGTTTCCCTTTTCAACTGGTCCATCGTTCTAACGGATAGCGCGTCAGGGGCCATCGCAGCCACGAAAGGCATATCGGAAATGGTACTGACACTGTGCTTCAGACACTTCGCACGCTATCACGAACTCCAACAAGCCATATCTGCGATGTGGTATAGAGTACTCAAGCGCATTCGCGACATGTCTGCCGTTCGACCTGCGGACGAGTCGTTGCGCACTCTCATCGTACTATGGAGAGAATTCGGAACCCGGGCGGATCTGAACGAGAAGGCGGAGAGACGCGCATACGATGATGCAAAGCTGGCGGCGCAGAAGTGCGCTTGGACTGCGTGCGAGTGGCACAAGACTCCCCCTTCTACATCGACGCGTCTATGCGTGGGCTGCGGTGAAGTGCGCTATTGCAGTAAAGCGTGCCAAGTGAAGTCAGTATCAAGCTCATCCTGCTCGTCATATGTCGAATTGACAAGATTCGTAGAGATTGGAAGGAAGGTGGACACAAGGCAAGATGCAGGCGCCTCAAGGCACCCGCACCTGCAGGGTGATATGGTTTCGCTAGCGAAGGGGCCCAGAGGACTCCGCGTTGTTGCCGTGTTGACTGATGTAGTAGATGTGTGTTTTAGGACGGGAACCCAATCTATGTACCTTGTATTTATCTGGATCCATCTTACATACGAGGGTCTGCACCGCAGGATCATGAAAGGTTCTGGCTCCGATAGAGCGACAGTACTGACAAGTATACGCGCAAGGACGGATCTATGCGTAACTCACGTGCGCCCCTGGGACGTGTTCGATATCGGTGATGGCGTCCATGCGGAGTCGTCCCCGCTGCGGCCTCCTTGTGCCTCATCCATGGACTCGCCGCGGGCAACTTGGTCCACCCTGCACCGATATCAGGTTGCCGCGATACAACCCTTATATGAGCGACTGATGTCGTCTTGATCGTGGACTCGGAAGGAGTCCGTCGACACACTATATGAATGAGAGGCCCGGAGGTTCAGCCGACATTGCATCGATCCCCACCTCACTATGGTCAGTGAACTCAGGCAACTGCTGCAAGACGGGCGGTACTTTGGTAGGGGATTTCCGTTTAATTGTACTGGCACCATCTGAGAAGCCATCCAGCGCAGATCAAGCAGTCTGAAGCGCTTCCGACGCCAGAAGAGTGCGAAGGGAAGTCTACCGACGAGGTCACGAAGCTTGTCGCATCGAAACTCCTGGGCGACTCCTATAAGCTAGAGAACAAGCCGATAGAGTCTGGTGACTCTGGATTTGAGGTCTTCGATATCTTAACATCGGTACGCCCGACGCGCCCAATTGCCATGTGGGCATTGCTGAGAGTTCGACCATAGATCTTGCCTGTACTATCGGAGCAGTCTGCCTGGTACTGGAAGAATGCGGCCCGCCCTCTCGCATCTATGCTTGAGAGCGCCAAGTACCCTGTGCGCGCCCAAGCCGCCCATCTCATTGTGCGTACAATGGTGATCTACAATGCCGCCGGCGCTGATCCGTGTACTAGTTCTGGTGGGCTCGCCTCGGCGGCCTGAACGGCCTCACTACCCTCGGTCGCACAAAGGCTACACGTACCTACTGGACGCGCGATGGCTCCAATACCGAGCTCTCCTGGCAGATCTCGCACACGAAGAGCCCAGCTGAGGAGGCCAACCGTCGGGTTCGATTCGCAATTGATCCCTTCCATCCGGAGACCGGCCTCCGTCTTGCGGGCGGTGGGCTCATTGACTGGCTGTGGGATGATGGCAGCATGGGCCTTATTGACCGTGAGGGTAGCAAGGAGTGGAAGGATATCATCGAGAAGTGGCTCTTCCCCGACTTGAAGAGCTCAGACATCCCCGTTCCGGAGGCTCATTATGCACTTGGTATGTGCACCAGCTATGTCTATCCGGAACTCTTGTACTGAATACGACGCTCTCTCCAGCCTTTGATTTGGAGCCGGATGGTCTCATCGGACTGAAGTCCTACTACGTTCCTCCTCGTCGCCAGACCAGCGAAACATCTGTCGCCATGACAGGCCACCAGACGAATTTCGAACCTGTCGGCGCGTTACTCCCTCTTCTACACCCTTCCTTGATGGAGCCCTTCAACATGCTGTGCGACTACCTTCAGAACGAGGGCGTACCCTCACGCCTGCGGTTCATCGCCATCGCATCCGACTTGGTTCCTTTGGAAAAGAACCGCCTGAAGCTCTACTTCTTCCCGTGGGCCGACCATTCGTTCAAGGACGTCGTGCGCGATATGACTCTCGGCGGACGCTTGAAGGGCCCGATCGTGGACGACTCGATGGCGAATATGCGCAAGCTCTACCGCCGCCTCTTCCCGGAGAACGCGGATGACGAGGACGCTCTGATGAAGCCGCGCGACGGCGGCGTTGGTGGGCTCTCCTACTACTACGAGTTCATCGTCGGGCAGAAGGAGCCAAGCCCCAAAGTGTACTTCGATATGTCCAACTACGGCATCAGTGATCTCGAGACGACAAAGGCTGTCGAGCGTTTCATGGCCGATGTTGGCAAGCCTGCTACCGAAGGCTGGTATACTTCCTCGCTGGAGCGCGCATTGTGAGTTCTTATCTCACTTCCCGTGCTCTCGCCTGCTAAAAATACTTCCCAGCCCGCACCGTGATCTCGGCGCACGCTCTGGTATTCAGACAGGCGTCACCTTCGGGATGAAGGTGAAGAAGGGCTGGCAGATCACTGGCTATATGAGCACGGAGCTCTTCGCACCCGAGCGCCAGGTCGAGGGAGAGCGTCCACATGAAACGCAGGAGTCGCTCGTACACGAATTTTATGATGTGTATGCGCCTGGGCTGCTGAAGAAGCTGTACGAGGAGCAGAGTAAGGCAGCTGCTGCCGCAACCACCGCATAGAATGTACAATTGTGACTTGTACCATGTATGAAACCATTGAACGTAACGTGTAGCTCTGTGTCCCCTGCTCCTTGAAGTTGAGTGATGAGGCATCTTTCATCGAAAGAGCGGTCACGACCGTGATCCTCGTAAGAGAATATTCAAGCAAGCTCTACTACACGAGGCTGAATAGGCTTATCGCTACGGATAATTGGTCGACTCGACTCGAGCGCGGGCGCCTCCTGGTGCTCAGCGCTCTCCCGATTCGCCCGAGCATCAACCTCCTCCGCAAGTCCTTCGAAGAAATTCGTGTCTGTTGACAAGACCTGGCCAGCGTAGAAAGCGATCTTCGCAGATATATGGTCTGTCCGGGCTGCCCGGGCCGGTGTTGTCACAGAGGCGGAGAATAGAGCATGCAGGTCGGACAGCGCATGTAGAGCATTCTGGTGCTGAGATAGGCTTTCGGGTGATGTACTTGACGCGACGAGCTCTACTACTGGCGTCGGGCGGAGCAACCTCGCGACATCTTTGAGTAATGGTGCGAATGCACGAGAGTCCATGGAACCCTACGATGTGTTATCAGCATGCAGCGTAGGAGAGAGAGTGAGAGAATCCTCGCACTGGTTCAAACCGCGACCATACATCCGTGATGACGCTGTCCAGTGTCTCGAACTTTGTCGTAGATCGCTTGTCTGAGATAAAGGGAACAAGCCTGCAGATGACTTGACGAGCATCGCCGTTGAGGCCTGTTGCAGCGGACAGCGGTGAAGCCGAGAGATGTCGGGACGTATACGCATATGCGAGACTGGCGGGCATACCGATGAGAGAAGATACCGGTAGTAAGATGCAAGGGCTTACAGCATAGTGACGAGGTTGTATGCAAGTGCGAAAGAGCTTTGTTGCGGCTTCACCAGCGAGACTGGTACACTCATAAGCTTCGGCTTCTCCGTGGCTCGTCGGGGTTGTGCCGCAGAATGGGGTGAGATCCAGGAGGCTGTATTGGCGGAGGAGGTAGGGTCATCGGTGTCCGACTCCCACCATGGGAGTAGGCCGTCGACTTCGTTCCCAGAAGCTGCGAGTAGATCCTGAGCTAAAGTCGAAGACGGATCTTGCAGTGCGGACAGGAACTTCGTGCGCTGAGCAGGCGTCAAGAGTTCCCAGAGTTCGTCGTATGATGCATCGTCTGTCAGAGAGGTAAGACTTGGGAACATGGTCCATATTAGGGATACCCACCGAGGTTGACATCACGGAGCTTGCTCTCAAGTTCGTCCTCATCATCGTCCCCGTCAAGATCGTCTTCCGTATTCTCTTCTTCGAAGCGTTTGAGCACTTCCATCATCTCTTTACGCTCTTCGGCCGATTTCGAAGGAGCAGAGCGGATGTCGGTCTCTAACTGCGTGCGGTAAAAGCCCTCAGAGCAAGTATTGTGGGCCTGTTGACGCTGGAGTGAGTTGTGGCACTCCGAGATGAAAGTGCATGGGTATACCTCGGAGCGAAAGCACGGTAGTGAGCAATATGCCAAGTTACATCGTGGGCAGGAGTATCTTGAGAACTGACGATGGCACCTGTACGACCGATGAGAGAGATCCTAGAGATTCAGGGAGGTGCATACTACACTCCGCAAAGGACACCTTCGGGCTTTTCTTCGACCAGTTTTACCAGAATATCCTGGGACAACTGTGCTTCTTCCATGCTCAGTTCAGCCGAGCGATAAGTAGGCTGGAATAAGGCCGTGTATGGAAGCCGACGTGTCGGCGTTAAGCCACAAGTGATGGTCGAAGGCAAGTCGTGCCGAGTGGCGCGTCAGTTATGCCGCGGAGGCTTGCTCAGCACGGTGCTTCCACCGCGGCGGCCATGGCCAACTTGAACCCGACCTCAACATATCCTCATCGCAATCCACACCATGGGCGAACCAACTACCCAGGCTAAACCTCCATCTCAGCCGTTGCCTCCGGGAATGGTCCTAGGACCCGACGGCAAGCCATGCAAGATTTGTACCGCGTTCCGCAACTGGAAGCCGAATACGAGCGGGCAATACAATTCCAAGGCAGCTAGCGCCGCATCACTCTCTGCTGCTGCCACTGCTGCCACTGCTGCCACTGCACCGGCAATTTCCGAGCCAGCTTCACGGGAGAACTGTCCACCAGACGTGGAAGTACTGGGCCGAGCAACCTGGGCGTTCCTACATACCACCGCCGCGTACTACCCCGACAAGCCCAACGTGAATCAGCGCGCCAACATGCTGAACTTACTTCACGCCCTGCCGACCTTATATCCGTGCTCGCACTGTGCCGACCATCTGGGCCAGGAGATGAAGTCGAATCCGCCAGACGTGAGCTCCCGCACTGGACTCAGCTGGTGGTTATGCCAGAGGCATAATGAAGTCAACGAGAGGTTGGGGAAGAAGAAATTCGATTGTGCGAAGACGGACGAGCGGTGGAAGGACGGTCCCTCGGATGGAAGCTGCGACTAAAAGGTATGTTGGGATTCCTACAATCCCAAGTGGCAGTATTGTAAACTAACGTGCCTCCGTAGAACTCGCCCGTTCAATGAGCGAAATAGTAATACCCTCCACAGCTCGCCGTAGCACAATGCTATCGAGTACATTTACTGCACCATGACCTACCATAATATACATCCCTGCTCAAACATGAGAGCACTCTGCTGTGCGCAAGCAAACTCGGACCGTCAAGCCTCCTCCACGATCCGTTCGCAAGACCCCAGCAATGAGTCTATTCAAAATATACATTTTGTTTGTACAACAATATGCGCACTGCTCTAATAGTAACTGCCCATACCCTTACAGGACCTTCTCAACCATACCGATACCCTCCTTCTCGAGGATCTCGCGAATGGGGTCGCAGATCTCCTTCGAGTACGGCGCCTGGATACCCTTCTGGTTGATGACGCCGTCAAGAACGAGCTGGGTCGCAATACCGCACGGTACGCCGACGAGGAGCGCCATCGCAGAGTGGCCTGCCGGTGCGCCGTACGCCTCAAGAGTCGACGTGAGGATGCTCTGTTCGTAGACGTCAGCACAGCCTTTCGAGGATCGTGGAAGAATGTGACCAACCTCGGTGCCGTCAGCCCACTCGACGAAGAACTTGTGCTGGAGCATAACGAGGTCGCGCTCGCCCTCGTCGTACTTCATGAGCTCCTCAAGACGCGCGCAGAGCGTATCGAGGAGGTTGCCCGCACGGACGGGCGCCTTCTCCTTCGAGAAGAGGCCGATCCAGCGCAGACCGGAGATGATGCGCTGCTCCTCGGACTTGTCGGGGAAGCTGGTCTTCGACTTGATCGTCTCAATGAGCGCACTGTTCAGGTGTACCAGTCAGCAACAGTAGGGGACGGTGCACAAGGAACGACATACGCCTCCGAAGCATCCGACGCGCCGACGGCCTTCTGCGTGATCTCCGCCCAAGTGATCCCCTCCTTCAACCAGTCCTTTGCCTCCTGGTCAAGGAAACCAACATCGACAAGCGTCTTGATGAACGCGGGGAAGCCCTGGTAGCGGAGCGTACCACGGACGACGGTCTCCGCCTCCGGGATGTTGTACGCCTCACGGAACGGCTTTGAGTCGCGGTTGGGGTACGCGACGAACGCGAACGCAGGCGTGATGTAGTACGGCTTGGCGATACCCATGAGCTCGTCACCGCCCTTGACGTTCACCGCCTGGCCGTCCTGGTAGAAGCTACCGTTGTTGAGTAGCGCAAGGAGCACACCACGCGAGCTCCAGCTGAACTTGTAGCCAAGCGGGTTGTCTGAGCACTCCGGCGCGGGAAGACCACCGCAGTACGACAAGAACTGCTTGACCTTGCCGCCCTTGGCGTGCACCTCCTCGATCGTCTTGACGGCGTAGAGATGGTCGATACCCGGGTCAAGGCCGATCTCGTTCATCACGACAATGCCAGCCTCCTTGGCAGCGGCGTCGAGCTCGCGCATGGCGGGCGAGACGTACGAGGTGGTGACGACGTCGGTCTTGCCCTTGATGGCGGCCTTGATGACCTCGGCGTGGAAAGTGTAGGGGATGAGAGAGATAACGAGGTCGTGTGCGGCGACTTCGACCTCAAGAGCCGAAGTGTTGCTGACGTCGAGCGAAATCGCCTTGGTCTCGGGAAGACCCTCACCAAGTGCCTCAGCGCTCTTCAGCGTGCGGCAGGCTGAATGGCGTCAGCAATATGACAGATGCAGTCAATGTGACACTCTTACCGATCGTCAACGAGTTAGACGGGTCGCGAACAATGTACTCCGCTGCGGGGCGTGCGACGAAGCCACTGCCGAGAAGAAGCACCTTCTTCTTGGGCTTGTTCGCCTGAGCGATAGCAAGACCCTCACGACCGAACTTAGGCGTGATGTTCTTGCCCTCCTCGATGAGAGCACGACCGAACTCGGGAAGAATGAACGCGGCGCTGTGGACTTGCTGGTTGTAGTACCTGGTGTTCGGGACCTTGCGCACAGGCGTCTTCAAGTCGCGGCCCTTCTGCGTCGAGCAGACAACAAAGCCGATTTGACCGGACGGGTACGTGGGGATGGTGGTGAAAGCGTACTCGGCCGTCTCGAAGATCTCCCGGGTGCTCTCGCGCAGCTGAGAGATAAGAGGAAGGTGAAGCCAGAGGCACTCGGCCTGGGTGCTGATGTGACCGCCCGGAGTGAGCGCGTCGTGGAGGAGCTGGAAGTACGGCTTCTCGAAGAGAGCAGCGGCAGGGCCAACGGGGTCAGACGAGTCAGTGATGATCACGTCGTATGTCGCGGTGTTGTCAGCGAGGAACTTGAAGCCATCGCCGATGAAGACCTCGACGCGGTCGGAAGCGAGCAGCTCGGACATGTGCGGGAGGAATTGCTTGGAGACACGAACGACAGCCTATACAGGAATGAGTCATTAGATCCAGATCGGGTGCATATAACAACTGTAGACTTACCTCGTCAATGTCGCAAAGCACAACCTTCTCGACAGTGTCGTGCTTGAGCACCTCGCGCACAACACCACCGTCACCACCACCAATGACGAGCACCTTCTTTGGGTTCGGGTGGCTTGCCATGGGCAGATGCGTGATCATCTCCTGGTAACTGCATCGATCGCGCTTCAGCTTCAGCCCATGTCCCGAGTCGCAGATCCACGCACGAGAATTCGTCGCGCTCAGTGCACTGGATGACACCGTCAAGAACGAGAACGTTGCCGTATGTCTCGCTCTCAAAGACAAGCACGTCCTGGTACAGAGACTTCTCGACATGCAAGATTTTGTTGACCTTGAGGGTCATGGCCTGCCCGGGCCATTGAGACGAGATCTCGCGGAACCAGCCATCTGGACACGTTCAGCACGCGGTACTCAGAGATCGCAGGATGTGCGTACCGCGGATCGAAGGGTGTGAGAGAGGCGCCATGTCTACAAAGGTCGTGGCGGTCTGTAAGAGAGGCCGATAATCCGCAAATTGACTCGGGACTATCGTCCGGACGCCCAAAGCAGCCGCTCGAAATCTTAAACGCGATCATGTGAGTTCTGGCAGACAACGTTCAAATAACTGCGCCCGCGTCACGTACGCATAAACGCGCTTGTTGGTTCAGCACTCATTACGGGCACCTTATGATAGCGTGCAAAAGACTTAAGTGCTACGGTTTCTGCACGCGCTTGTACGCATAGGCTCGCGACACGACTGCGGCTCAGGCTACATTGACAATCGTCTACGTAGTTTGCACAATGATAGAATGGCAAGGATACATCCATCGTGACTTATGCCTCACTTTTGGCTCTCTTCGTCTCTCGTACTTCCGCATCATCGGGTGTAGGAGTCGGCGTACTACCCTGAGCAGCAGCCAAAAGCTCGCGCGTCCGACGCTTCCCTTCCTCCTTTGCGTTCTTCTTGCCCTCGGCGGTCATCGGATCATGAGCGACTTCGGTATTCTTCGGCATGCTGACGATATCTGCGTACAAGTCCAATGAGGGCGTCTCGCCTTCCGGAACCGACACCACCATTAAAGTTTGTCCGCTCTATATGGGAATCCCACGTACCTTGGATGAGACAGGAAGTATTTAGAGCCTGGAGGAGGGGGGAATCGACAGATTCGTGCATCTGAGCACCAATGTCAATTCTAATGAGCAGTACGATGGCACGATGGTGCATACCTTTGTCGGGGCCAAGCGTACAAGCTTCACAGATGGGGAAGTCGCGGGAGCGGCAGCGGCAGCGGTGACGGAGGGATCGGCCCATTGCGCGTCTAACAGAACCCAGAAGGTCGTTCCGCCAGCAGGGATGACGTCAAGTACGGGCTTGCCCATGTCATGAGCATGGATGAGTTCTCCGCTGGTGGCGTCGGCTGGGCACCAGAAGACAGCTGTAGCACTGGGTGTAAACATGAGCGAGGGGTATCACCCAAGTATGAAGTCCATAGCGCACCCGACTGCGTTGAACACGATCATCTGCGTTCCTTCCACCTCAACTGTCTGGATTCTTCGTAGGACCAGGACAGGCTCTGGCGGCTCCGTGGACGTCGCGATGGCACCGTCTGCTAGTGAAGGCCCCGTCTCCGGCGCAGTAATGTTCTCGGCCGGCACTGCAGTAGCAGGTTCGTCCACATCTTCGCCCATTTCTACATCCTTCGCGTCCTCTGCCGCATCAGAACCCGCTGTAGCCGCTGCGTTTGCGATCGTCTTGTTCTTCGCCCTTCCCTTCCTCCCATGCTGCCTCTTCGCCTTCTTGCCTTCGCCTGCTTCCCCGTCCTCTTCGTCATCGTCCCAGCGTTTTCGTTTCGCTACACGGACTGCGATATAGGGCAACACAGCATCCAATATGGGTATCTCGCCAGCGGGTGTGCCAGTCATCCAGTCCCATTTGCGGATGACAGGGTCACCGCCGCCGGAGAGAAGAACCGAGGGCGCAAAAGCAGGTATGTGAATAGCAGAGACGAATCTATACGACTCTTGTTAGTAGATGCAAAGGCAGCAGCAATGGGTCGCACTTTTTGTGCCCGAGACAATAGCTCTCGATGCAGTATCCTTGCGGATACCAGCTCACACGAATGTGCTCATCGCGGTCAGCAGTGATGATGTAGCGCCCATCGTGGCTGAGAAGTGCGGTAGTAAGGAGCGAAACATGTCCAAGGACGAGCGCTCCGCCTGACGCGTTATCGTGCGAGGTGAACTCCGAAGGTTGTTCCTTAGGTTCGTCCTTAGACGTATCTGATGGTGTGGGGTGTAAAGGATAACTATGAATCAAGATTCAATGGTCAGATGCAAGTTCTACGATGCAAGTCATGATTGTGCAACGCACCTGAAGACGTCGCCGAACTTGTCAGCGACCAGAATGGTCTGCTGATCTCTCGCAAACAAGACCTGCGTAGGTTTCTTCGGAAGCTCACTGCGGAATCACTTGAGTATAATGGTTTCGTTATTGGTGGAAGATTCTCACCGTTCGCTGAGCACCTTCAACCCGTCTATGGCCCAGACCTTCATCCGTTTATCCTCCCCGATGGTGATCAAGTGCTTCTGCGACGCGTCCACAGTCGCACACCGGATGGGACCCGACTTCAGGATAGCTTCCTTCCCTTCAAAGCCGTCCCTGAAGGTAGCATGAAGGACAGTCCCCGATCTAGAAAACGCTGGTTCCTTGCGTGACCTGTAGATCCCTAAGAGCAAGACACTCACGCCGACAGTGTTTGAATATGAGGGCCGGATATTACAACAGCACTAGACGAGCTAGAAAATAGGTGTGTATGAGGGTAGAACATGGTGATGATTTTGTATACGCCTGCGGAATGGGGCGCAGGAGATGAACGCAAAAGCAGAGACTCGAAAAGAGACGCATGCGGGCGGGATCTCCGGCCCGAACGCCAGAATGGCCGCCACGCCACAGCACACATGCGACGGCTTCAACCCATTCCACCACGAGCGGGGAACGCCCAACTCCTCTCGCCTTTGGGAAAATAGGGATGCAACTCATGAGCCGTCACAGTGGCTGAAAAGACGTTCGGATGTCAGTAAACCGCAGAGATCGACATCGGGCTGTTCGGCCATAAGAGCGCCCAGATGCCTGCTCGCTTCTGTTTCGACCTCACCTCGACAGCAACTGCGCTCCTCACCCCTCGAGATCCCTGCGAGCAGAGACATGAGATATTACGTACTGACACTGCTGGAACAGAGTATGGCGGGCAGGACGGTCAGCGACGGTGACGTGCGTTTCGGCGTGACCGGGGTTCTCGTCGGCCCCAGTTCTAGATATCTGCTCGTATGTCTGAACGAACTCGATTCCTCGCTTTGTACGTGGCACATTGTTCTGACATTTGAGCTTTTGTAGGAGTCAACGGTCCGAAGTGGTCGCTATCGACTGTTTGGGATGGATTGGTTGTACCCCAAACAATACCACATACCACCATCATGGGCTTACGCCTTTAGGATACCATCCTGTGCTGAGAAAGGCAAGTCCGGGCCTAGTCGAGGTCCTCATTGCGCTCACTATAAGTACTCCGAACCTCCCGCTGATTATCGCCAGGACACTCCCCAGCACATTATACATCCCCAGGACGACATGCCCGACGAATCTCCCCTCTCATCGCTTGTGTCTATCTTGTCCTCTAATGTCAAGGTTTTGGAAGCCGCTTACGCTAAGCAGAACAAGTCGTACCCGTCGCTCGACGCGGACTTCGTATCCGACCCCCTAGACGCGGACCCAGAACTCGGTATGGCGAAGCGCCTCGTCGTCGCTGCAGCCGCCCAGATCATCGCCACCGTCCGTTCCCCTATGGAGACCGTGCAAGAGTATGGGACGTCATCATACGCCGTTGCGTCTCTAGGTCTGGCCGTCAATATCAACGTCGCAGACATACTGAAGGATTCGGGCGAAAAGGCGAGTGGTTACATGAGGCCGTCGCCAGCCTCTTCAATAACGTTCAAGTTACTAGGGAATGCACGTTAAAGAGGTGGCTTCACGTACAAACGTATCGCATGAACACCTTGGTGCGTTATCGTTGCGCTTCCAGAATCACTCCAGAAGTACTCACGGCATAGTAGCTCGTCTTTTGCGCTACCTGGCTACCCGTCACGTGTTTAGGGAGGTGGCGCCGGATGTATTCTCCAATAACCGCGTCTCTTCCGTGCTGGTTAAGAAAAACTCGATCGAAGCCATCAAGGCTGAGTGAGTACACTTCACTGATTTGTCGACGCATACAGTCTGATGGGTACAACATAGCCCGCTCTCAATGTACGACGAGTCGATGCCGGCAGCTATCCTGGGTCACATGTGGGTCGAATTTTTCTGACGTGTTGGCTACGCTAAGACATCTACGCAGGTCCGAGGAGTGCATGAGAGGTGCAGTCGAGCTGGCGTCGTGGGTGCAGGATCCGAGCAAGCACGCGACCCCTTTCAACGCCGGTGTCGGTACCGACTTGGACGTGTTCCAGTGGTTCGAGACTCAGCCTTTGCGTGCCCGCCGCTTCCATAGGAACATAGGCGCTGCGGCCGATTTGATGTGGCCTCATAGCGTCTTTCTCGACGGTGAGCTTCATGTGAAAGGATCCATGTGCATACACTCGCTGATGGATGATTAGGGTACGACTGGAACGAACTACAAAAGGATGATGTGGTGGTCGACGTCGGAGGAGGCGTTGGCAGCGTCTCGCTTACCGTGCTCGAGAAGCACCCGGACCTCCGTTTCGTCGTGCAGGATCTGCCGAAGGTCATCGAGAAGGATGCACCCGACGTACGTAGACTGTTTCACACACCGGGGTGTGTGTGTGTATTTCTCACGTTTCCCGCTCGTAGTATTGGGCGGATCACATGCCTTCCGCCATTGGCGAGGGCCGCGTCAAGCTGCAGAGTGCGTTCCTGTTCCACCTACAGGATGTTGATGATTGATGCTTTTGTTTCAGCGATCGACTTCTTCAAGTCTCAGCCGGTCAAGGGGGCTGCGGTCTACATGAGTGCGGAATTCTTCCTTCTGTTGTCCTCGGCCACGACTGATAATGATACGCAGTGCGCGCCGTTCTGCACGATTGGCCGTCAGATAAATGCCGAAAGATTTTGAGCGTCATACGCGAGTCCGCCGCGCCGTCATCGAAGCTGGTCGTGTTCGACATGATGACGCCGTACGCTTGCGAGTACAACGGTCCGTTCGCGGAGGTCATCAGCCCGTTTAAGCCCCCTGCCCCGCTTCTGGCGAACCTGGGCATGGGCATGGGCGCTGCTATTACCTTCGTGGACATACAGGTCCGCATCTCAACTTAAGTATTCTTGATCCACAGCTGACCCGCATCATCGATCAGATGATGAATTTATTCGATGGCCAAGAGAGAACCGTCGGGCAGTTTGTCGAGCTCGGCGAGGCCACGGGCTGGAAGCTCGACAAAGTCACGCCAGGTGCGATGGCGACACTGGTCTTCACCACGGTGTAGTGCATGCAGTCTCGTCGTTTTTATCTACCTCGGATAAGAACATATATCGAGCCTAAGTCCTGCTCACGATGACTAGCTAACAACGCTTATGTCAACAAATATATGTATATGGGGACCGGTGATGCATTATATAACATGAGATCTCAGGCCAGGGAGTGTAAACACAACTATGGTGGTACAGATGCGATGGACGCTGATGAGCGTTGAACGTTCGAACGGCCGATATCAAGCGACGCGCGGTCAAGCGTGCGGAGCGTTGGAGATGCCGCGGCCGGTGGGCTCGGTCCGAGCGTCACACCGGGGCAGACGCGCCTGACGGTTGCTCTTGACCGCTACATACGGCGCACGCGAGTCTCGACACCACTTTCCTCCAAAGTTTCCCTTGCATGATCATATCCTTCAATGTCGAAACCAATCAAGACGCCGGAAGAACTTGTCCTCGCGTACGTTACGCACAGGCTATCTAGTAGCTATTGTAACATTGCGCAGGGTCATGCAGGTTCAAGAAATCCGGCGAGTTTGACCGCCTGCGCAAGCAATTGCTGGCCCAGTTCCAAAGCTCGGTCCGTATATCATCAAAGCCTCGTCCAACGGGTCTCGGTATACTCACTGAACGCATCTGTACAGGCTGCTATGGAGACTCTGACGGCTCGCGTGGATGACATCGCGAAGCGGAAGCTCACAGGAGACGAGAAGCTGGCTAGAAAGGCACCCGAAGAAGTACATAGAGAAGTCATGCAGGAGCTGGACCGGTATGGATACTCTCTGGCCTTGCCCGAGGGGTTGCTAACGTTTGGCACCCGCATGCGCGTCAACAGCTACCCCATCCTCGAGCGAGCTCTGGCCGACTTAGCCCTACCCTCAGATCCTGCATTCACCGAAGACATCCAATCGCATGCGAAGCGTCTCCTACAAGGTGATTTGTTTGTCTTCCAGACTGTTGGCGGACAGCTGAGGCTTTTCTTCAGACAGTAGAGCCAAGAAGTAGAGCAGCTGGGAACGTGACTCCCAAGCAAAATGACTCCCACGTCGGCTCGAACAACGCGGGCGACATGCCACTACGTGCGATATGACGAAGCAGCATGTCACACATTCCCGGTATAAATACTCCAGTCTCAGGAAGGCGATTACAGACGTGCCATGGATGCCCGCGGATTTATCGGCGTAATCCAATATGTTTCCCGTGGACTAGCCCAAGTTTCCTCCAAGTTCAGTAAACCAACTCTGTCATGCATTGGCTAGAGAACTTACTTAGCTGGGTTCACACTGTGATGATAATGCGTGCATGTGAGGAGTCGCCGAGTCCGGCACCCGCAGCGCGGCGCGCTTAGAGCTGCCGCCCACCTTACAGCGTCTGCGACGTCGAGATCTTTCCCGTGCCATGACATGTATTCCTAAACTAGCCCGCGCTTCGCATGACAACTCAGCAGGAACAGTCTCATCTCCCGCTATGATGACATACCCACGTCAAGCGATCTGGTCGCGTCGGCATCCCCAGTGGTTTCCGAGACTTGAATGATGCCCCTTACTGAATAAGATAGCTCATACGATTAATGATTGCTCGAAGCAAGCAGGCGCTGATATTTGACTCAGTCGTCGAATGTGAGTTCCAAGCACGAGAACCAGACGAGGACGATGACGCGCCGGACTGGCTGTCCCACCGCTTGCACCGCGTATCCCTCCATCTATCTTGACGAATGTGCAGCTTGCCTTGCGCCCTTCAACAAGCCTTCGCCCGTTCAAGCGATAAGCTTCAGACTGACACGGATCGTGTCAAAAGATGGACGTTCCGCGAAAGCGGTGCGATGGATGGGTAGGGCAGCTCATATACCCGGTATAAAGCACTCGATAAGCCCACCACATCCCGTCATCTACCCCCCTGCATCAATGTCGGCCTCTGAAGCTCAAGCCATCATCTATGAACAATCCAGTATGTCATGTGCATTTATCGATTCGGCCACGGACATGGGTGTTGAAGGCTATCTGTTTAGATGCCCTCCATAATTCGGTTATGGTCTGTACTGGTTTGTGGATGTGAGCCCTGTCTTCGTCTGTGTACGTCTCGATCTATGTCCTATCAGCGCTAACGAACGACAAGCTACGAGATCGGTCTACAAGCTCGGTATGACTGGAATCTAATCAGACAATACCACGCGTCGGGGCGCCCTGCTAAAGCACAGTTCGGAAAATGGGTCCGTTTCCCTCAGTTTCCGGGAACTGGGCAGCGCTGATGAGCCTCGAGACATACCTGGCTTGTAGAATCTCTATCCTGGTTTACAGTATCTGTGTCATCATAACTGCTTACGATAGCAACTCGACCTGCGAAGGAGTGAGTATCTACATCCTACCGGACCTGTCTTCGTGAGCTGAGGTTCCTATAGGTTCTGATGGGATGGCTTGGGGTATGTCGGGAGTCACCATCATGCTCGACCCATTTCAGGCACCAATTGGCGCTCCTCTAGGCATCGGCCCTGTTGGGACTTGTGTGCGCAACTAACCTGCTCTCCATACGAGTGTAAGCCATCTAGATCTCAGACGGCATTGACTCTTTTCGAGCTTACCATTCATTCGATTAGAGCTGCTGTATGGGCATGGAATAAATGGATCGTCGGCATCACTATCACGATATCGCTCTCACAACTCGCTACAGGTATCTACTGTATGTCACCGAACACACCTCACGGTGCCACTAACCGCTTTCTCACCAACATATTTATAGTCACTGTGAAGGTATCCATTCGCCTTTGGATGGTCTGAGCATCTGTGGTGTAGTATGTTAACCTCGACGATAGTCCACCTTCATAAGGAAGTCGCCGTCAGGAAGCTGCAACCCCACTGCAGGACACAGCAATCTCCCTATTGCCCTCGCCGGGTTTGCCGGAGACTGTATCCTACTGGGTCTTCTCTTCACGGGTCTCAGAAGGAAGTGGAGTGGTGCTCGCCAAGTCAAGAATGGAATGTGGCACTTGCTTTGGACACAAGTCAGTCATCTTCCTGAACTGGTAGTAAGCGGCTTTTTATCACCCCCAGGGCATGCTCTATTTCTCTATTGTGGTATTGGTAGAAGTGCCATTTGTTGTGAGCCAAGCTCCTTCACTGTGAAGAATCCCACAACTCATTGTCATCGCGTGCAGGTGCTATTGATAATGGACATCAACCGTGAGTGTCTGGATTACGTCCGTGGTAGATGCCTGACTGCGCACGGGTAGCCATTATGGACACGGTAAACCATCTCAGCCATCTCGCATGCCCTTTATTCACAATATCGGTTTCTACAGATCATGGCCACACCAGTAGGTCAGTGTCAATCTTGGTGTTTCAGATATATGCCTATGATGAAGGCTCGCTGAGGCTACAAGAATTACTTTACAGTCATCACCTTGTAAGTGGATCTGGATCTGGAACGTCACAGGTTATTGACTCGATGTACCAGATCTGTATGTGCGACGCATATGTATCGTAACTTGAATGGTACTCAGAGGGTACAGGGGCGGCTTGGGTAAGCCTTCACCTCATGGATGCTGAACATATGATCAAATATAAGTCAGGAATGCCGGTAGTGGAGAATCTCGGGGTGTATCAAAAGACAACGACATTCGTCTTATCGCGATCCGAAAAGAGCCTCCTGGCTCGCAAGCTCTTGTAGGCAAGAAGCTTTGAACTTGCGATGACTAGCAGTCCAGCATGGGCATGGCCGCCTGCTATAGTCGCCGGCCATTGTATCCTAGTGGTATCTACCCAAGTCTCGGTTATTATCTATTCGTGATTTCCCCAAACGTTTTGGCACCAGTGCTTTATTTCTAGGTCTTGAGGGTAGCACAGACAGACGTTCAGCGAGGAGACGTGCTCTGTAGAAGTCTATACGGCTTCGTGACGCGCAGCGCGAAGAGCGGGACCATCAACTTAATCTTGATCAGTCCTGGGTGTCGGAGGCAAGCTCCAGTATACGCTGGTTCGGCTTCCTTCTCTAGCTTTTCCCGGAAGGCTCTAATCTTGAACGAGTCATCGAGGAACTGCAGGTACTCGCCGACAGCTTGCGCGGCGATTGCAGTTGGCGCGGACATGCAGGTCGCAGGCATGATGCGGCGGCCACTTGGCGCAGGGCTCATCACGGCGGAAAGTGTCGTGCCCGCCTACTACTCGTTGCCGCGAGGAGCGCGGGTGTAAGCAGAAAAAGGTCGTCGCCCGCCGTCCCCCACGATCGTAGTAGGAGATTCCCCTGACATCCGCGAGTTTGAATTGCATGTGGCGCGTTTTCGGGACCGGAAGAGTTCAACTGTGGCCGACAAGGTGGACGCGCGGATCTTCCGACGTTTCCTATCTGAGCATACTTCCGCGTGTGCGATATAAGATTGGAACAATGGAAAAGTCCGAGTTGATGCGGATATTAGTCCCCGTGCTCCGCCGCGTTGGATGTAGTTTACTGTCTGCATGGTATCGCTACTGTCGCAAGCTTCTAGACGAGGAGACGGGTATGCCTGTATCGTACTGGTGTGGGTATAGGATCATGTTTGATGATGAACGGGAGAGAAGTTGATACGTTGGTGTGATGATCAGAGGGTACAGGGTATGTCGTGGGTGAAGATACCAGCGACTCGAGCGATAGCAATATGGAAAAAATACGAGTGCAGGAGGTATGAATGGCCATGGTGACCGGTGACGAACGCCGACTGCGGGCGAGGCGCGACAGAGGCCGAAACGAAGCTGAAGGGGGTGTGTGAAATTGATTTGGTTGCATGTGGACGGAGAGCTGGACGTTTGTTGCTCACGACTGCCGATGCGGCTGTCCAAGTCGAGCTTTGTCACGGGCAGGAAGACACTCAAGGAAGAGCGGCCGCAGCAATATCTCTCTCCTGACGTCGACCTCACCATCGGTCGCCACCCAGGCTCGGCCAACAAGCTCACGTTCAGCTCCCTCCACGTCCTTAATTCCAAGGACAAGTCGTCATCGTCCTCGGCTTCGATCCATTCCTCGGTATCCCAACAGTCAAATCAAGGGCCCCACCCATTCAGCGCTATGGTCTCCGCACCGTTGCCCGTGGTCAGCAACCGCAGGGAGGAGGAGGACGAGGACGAATGCCCGGTCTGCCTCGAACCGCTTTCGTTCTCTTTCCGGTTACCGGGCGAGAAGCCGCACATCGTACCAGAGTGCGGTCACGCTTTACACGAAGCTTGCTTCACGGCTGTCTATGGCCCACCGCCGTCGAACCAACGCGGGGTACGCAAGACGAACCTGGGTGTCTGCGGTGTTTGCCGGCGGCCGATGAAGGTTGGCGATGGCGATGGCGGGAAATCGAACAAACTGGCAGCTTTGACCGGCATGGGCGCACGGGACGGCCAGGACGGGATGTACCCCGGACGGGAGACACCGTCTTTACGGGGTGGGCCGCACACTGTGCGGCCAAGGGCTCAGGTTGTGAAGCCGTACGACCCCACGGAGGATGACGCTCTGGATCAGCCTGGGACCGCCTCTCTCCGCAACGGAGTCGGCGCAGAATATGTCGTTGCGCCCTCGATTCAGGTCAGGAGCGAATTCAGTACCATCACGCGCACACACGAGCCTGCGCAAGCCCTCACTTGCATCGTCGTTCTCGAGCTTCCCTCGAAGCGACAGGGCCAGCCAGTACCCGGCCCGGTGATGCCGGACCCGTACCCGCTCCGTGACAGCCAGAGCCCCGTCAGCAGCGCGTACCGACAGCAAGGCCATAGCCCTGACGCTTCCGATGGCACCGCGCGACACCGACAGCACATGTCCCCCACCCAGTCCTCGGGCCCATCCTCACTCCGCTCGCCTTCTTCAATGCATTCCCCCGAGCAGCATTACGCCCAATCGATCGCTCAAACGATCGAGCCGGAACAGGAGGAAGAGGACAATCCGTTTGCGAGTGTCACTGAGGATCTTCGGAACCGCATCGTCGACTGGAAAGGGCAACAGCTTTCCGGTTTGGGCCCTCTGCGCCTCTTCGATTTGCTCTCTGTCAGGCGAGACAATATCGTTCGCTCGTTCTACGTCTACTTGTTCAAGGAGGCTATCATCTGCGTAGCAGAAGAGAAGAAGCGGACTCTCGGCCGATTGCTCGGCCAGGGCGCCGGTCCAGAAGGCTCAGCTCAGCCCAAGGGCATGCTCCGTCTTCGTGGCCGCATCTACGTTCGCCATATTCGACACGTAACCGATACGAGCGTCTCTGGCGAACTCAGTCTTACGATCGACATGGAGGACGAGCGCCTAGATAGCTTCATCCTGATCTTCAAGGAGCGCGCTTCGTTGGAGACATGGCGGGCCGCCATCTCGGCGCTCATCACCTACACCCCCCGTGCACCGCCTGAACAGCCCGGCCTTGACATCGAGGAGTTCGGCGCCCCGTCGGGCTCTAAGGCCGCAAGGGTGTTGTCGGGAGGGACGATGAGTTCGGGCCAGAGCGACGCTGGACGCGACAGCCTGCTGCAAGGCCAGGGCAGCTCGCGTAGTACGCAGAGCAGCTATACGACCAACACCAACATGAGTGCCCACTACGGTCGTAACGGCCACATGCAGAAGCTTGCCCCACTTGACGAGGATGTCGCTAGCGTGAGATCGGACCTTCACCAGCAGCACCACAACCAGCAGTCGTACGGGATGGGATACCAACCTCCACAGCAGCCGCTGTATGCTCCTCACATGAGTGCGGGACCGAGCAACGCGCTTGCGCCGTTGCCTCATCCGCCCATGGACCTCCTTCTCATCATCTCGCTCCCGAACATACACGCATCGCCTAGCACTGCCTCGCTCAAGCTGCGCGTTATCAAGGCAACGCTCGACTTCGTCCTCGCCAGTCTTGGGCCACGTGATCGTCTCAGTCTGGTCACTTTCGAAGTCGGCTTGGGTGGCCCTGTGCGCAAGACGCCGTTCTTGTCCGTGGGACGGACGCAGAGCCGAGCGCGGCTTGGGAAATTCGTTGACGAGACTGGCGTGCGGGAAGACGAGCGTAGTACGGAGGACGAGTTCGCTGTCAAGGGTCCAAGAGACGAGAAGACGGATGTCGTGACAGCCGTCAACCATGGTTAGTGTTCCGACTTTCTGACTTCTGCTCGTGGGTCTAACGCTTCGCCACCTAGCCCTCGATGTTGTACTGCAGCGAAAGGCGCGCAACCCGGTGACGGGTATGGTTCTCGTTAGCGACGCAGCAGACAGCACCCGACGTGCCCAGATGGATCTCGTCTTGGCCCGTGCAGAGGCAGCAAATGTGCCTATCCACTCGTTCGGATATGGCCGAAGTCACGACCCAGCGTCTCTATGGCTCATGAGCAACCATACTAGCGGGACGTACACGTTCGTCAAGGTAATTTGTGTTTACAGTTTACCTCTTGGCGAAAGGCGTGCTCACAAGTGCTTCTCAGGACTGGTACGACTTGCGGGATTGCCTTGCTGGGTGTGTGGGTGGCTTGATGAGCATCGGCACAACCGGCTTCAAGATGCACATGCGTATCGTGGATGGGAACAGATTCCGCATTCGCAAGGTAGCTATATTTCTTCTCGCGGCAATTGAACTAGAACACTGATGAACGATTAGGTTTCTGGTGGTCCGGGATCAATCGTGTCTTCCGATGGGCGCAATGTTGATGTCGATGTCGGGGAGCTGCGCTATGGCGAGCGCAAGGAGATGCTCGTTGAGCTCGAGCTGGACAACACCGATGCGCCGCCTCCATCGCATAGGCACAACCACCACGAGATGCATTCGCCGATCTCTCCCTCCTCCCGGGGCGGCCCGCGCGCGCTCAACGCTACGGACCGCTTCAACGCCGCCCTGGGCTTCGACGCGTTAGCGATAGACGACGGCGCAGACCTGATGGATGGCATGATGGACCGGATGATTGACGAAGTGCCTGTCTTCGAAGTCGATGGTTCCTTCTACGACCCGAACGCAGGCAAACACGTCTCGCGCCTCGCACACCCGGTACTGCTTACCGTCACCCTCCTGCCGGCCTCATCTGCGACCCCAGCACGCCCGCCAGCGAACGCGAGCGACCCGGTGATCGTGCGCAGGCGAATGGAGCTCCTCGCCAGCGACATGATTACTCGCGCGCTAGTTCTCGTCAGCAGGAAGAACTATCCTCAGGCCCAGAAGATCATGGGCGAGACACGGCGCATCCTCGCTACTGTCCTTCAGACTATCGGCGCCGGTTTGCCGCCAGGCAATACGGGTGCTCCCCGCAACAGGCGCGAGGCGCTCACCCTCGGTGCTGTCCGGGTGCTCCAGGCCGTGCTCGCGGACATGCAAGTCCTTTCGGATGCCCTGGAGGAGAACGTCGAACTTTTCGCTCATGATGCTCGCAACTTCGGTGCGCAGCAAGCGATGATCCTCCGCGATCAGAAGGCATGGACGGGTCGCAGCGCTACTGAGCGCGTGTTCTGGACTGTAGATGCTGCTATCGACATGGTCGGAAGGAGCACAGACTGGATCGCGCGCGAGTAATGAGAGCGTTCCACATCCCATCTCTAGTCGCGTTACCTTTGTGTTCACCCCTTTCGTCTCCTGCGTTCTCCTCGCGAACCCCTTGTTGTGCGATATGTATCATCGACCCCCCGCCCGTGAACATTTCGTGCCATAACCCCCTCCCCGCCAACCCACACTCCTTTCCCTCACCTCGCGGCTTCCCCTCCCCTACTATACCTCGTCACGGTGCCATCCACTCTCTCGCACCCTACGTTTACCCTGCCTTCGCCTCTGATCTGCGACTCAACTGACTCTCGTTACCAATACTGAATTTCGCTGTGAATATTCCTTTCTTGCTCCCGCTGTGTTCCAGTTCTGGATGTCCCCGTATCCGCACCCTGCGCCTCCCCATACCTTCCTTCCCGTCCTATTCGCGGCTAGGCTCCGCGTTGTATGCGTGTTTTTGCGGTTGAACATGTGTTTATTTGTCTACTTACCCTGTCTGTCTACCTGTCTCGGTGTGTGTTCTGTTCCGGCGTGTCCGCCGTTCAGGCAGGCTTGTTACTAGACTCTAGGCCTGGTAATCTATATGCTATATGCCGTTCTCGCACCATCACAGAAATCGATCTCCAGTCTTGATATGATCGTCGTGCACTACAATCTGAATTGCCGATGTCTTCTACTGGCCATGGCTGTATCTAGCTGGTTCTGCTGATAGTCAAGTTGTAGAAAGGCTTGAGGAAAGTGGTGCGACATCCTCCGATGGGTCGCGCCTTTCAAGAACCTTTCAGGCACCTACAGTCCTTCTGGACAGAGTACATGTAAGAAGGTAGCCACGTGACCCCAGTTGAGGACAGGTCGAGTCTGCCGACGGGACAGGCGATGATCCGGGATAGCCGCCGGGTGAATGGTACCCACTCCACGTTTTCATCCGCATCACTCCGTCCGCAGAGGAGACTATCTAGCCACCCAACTCGAGACCACGACCAAGCGCGAATGCTCGAGGTCGAAGGGAAGGATCTGTCGGGACGATGATAGCAAGGACTGTGAGTTTTACTCACTTGAGGATCAGTGCACTTGTAACCCTCTGCAGGTGACATGCAACCCTGGGCTCGTTCATCAAATGGCGTAGTTATGTCGGCGTACGTGGATGATGAGAAGGTTGCACCGGCTTCCCGCGCGTGCTAGTTCAGATATTAGAGAGTATTCCCAACGCCGAAATCGAGCCTCTGCGAGTGTGAACTCTTCGAATGATGGCCATCAGGCGGCTTGTTGATCGCCGCGTCCTGCCCGGGTGGACTCGCTTGGTCTGCCCTATGCCGCCCGCCTCGTCTTTCGTCAAGAAAATTATATGCACAGAGCCGCGCAGGTGCGCCGGATACGATGGCGAGCCTCTGGGGCTGGCGGGTGGACGGGGTTGCGCGGACGAGGCGAACGGCGTGGCGAGCCCGATCGCTGTGGCGCCGTGGAGCAAATCACCTCTTCAAAGCTCTTCGCGAAGAGGGCCAAATTCGCGTTGGGAATACTCTCTATTCAGAGATATGACCCTCAGTCTTATGGCGGTCAGTTTGTTTCAAAATTAGGGGATCAATTACACACACCCCGCGCA